CTGCACGGGACTCTAAAAATAGCCAGCGCTTATTAGAAAAGACTAAAAATAGCTGCAAGTTGATGCGCGTCGCCGTCGCGTTGTGCAAATAAAAATACAACAAAAAAATAAAAATAATAATCGTAGTAAAAGAGACGCTCGAAAAGCAGCGAATAATGTGATTGGTGCACCAGACACTAATAAATTTAGAGGTAAGCAAACCCATTGGTTGGGTACAGTGAACCGAACTCGCCTTCGCAAAGAATTTATAGCAATTTTAACTGTTCTTTATGCTTAAATTAAACACTTTACTTTAACTGAGCAGTTTTTAAGATACTCGTGTAATACTAACACAACTGATAAGGATAATGTTGCGAGGATGTGAGAAAAATGAGAGGACAATTGGTGCGATATATCATCTAAGGGTATAAGCTTTTGAACAGATGTTTGCCACATTAAAATATTGATATCTTAAAGTTGAGTTACTTCTGCGAAATGAAGCAAGTTTTTAAGTAACAATTGGTAGTTCATTCAGTTATATATACATATATATTATATTTATGATATATTTATATCATCCAAGGCTCTAAGATTTTCTACAGCTGTTTGTCACATTAAATGTAGGGTATCTTAAAGTTGTGTCTTGCCTGCGACAATCTGCCCTGCAGAGGAACAGTTTGCTTAGTGGATAGTTTCTAGATAACTGTTGATATTAGGTTATCTTTCCGCAGATGATGACCTGTCTAAAATTAACAATTGTTTGTCCTTCTAAATGAATAAGTCTACATAGAAGTTTGCTGGTGAATATTTTCTTTATTTCTTTCTTAAAGTATTTTCGCATAGTTACACATTTTGTACTTAAGAATATTCTACATAATTTCGCCACAAGATGCCCGAAACTTTTTTCTCAGTCCAAAAGAAATGAAAGTCAGCATAATTTCAAGCAATTAAGTTAAATTCCACTCGTATTTTGGAGATATTTGCACGGCAAACAGTTTGTGGCCGAGCAAAAAGAAAAAATGCTAAGATCAACCAGGGGAGATTTGGTGCGGGGCTAAAGGGGTTGCCGAGTAGGAAACGAAATCATACAATTCCAAAGCTCGTAACGGATGCCATGGTAAACCCAGTAATTCAAATAATACAGGTGGCAAGAGGAGTGGGGGGTGGGGGCGGTTGGTGTGGAGCAACAACAATAACAACGCCACTTCAAACAAACCAGCAATGGGAGCAAGCAAAAGAAACAACGGCGAAGCCACGGTATGCAGCAAGAGAGCAAAAAAAAAAACAACAAAAAAACCCAATAACATAAAAGCTAAAGAATTTCTGCGCCAAAAGGATGGACGGCGACAGTGACTCAAAAAAAAAAAAAAAAAAAACTATGGGGGCTGAGTTCAGCTGAGCATGTGTGTGTAAGTAGAAAAACCCGCTTACAGCAGCAAAAACGGCGGCGTCGGCAGCAACGCCAAGTGATGACCTTGATAAGTTTCACACACAAACGCACACATACACACACACACACGCACACACACACAGAAGCTGCCCACGAATAAGGAAGGGCTGCCAAGGAGCACACGAACAGCCTTAGGGGGCAATGAAAAGAGGCCCGCGCGCAAACACAGCCAGTGTTGTTTAGTGTTTTTGCTGTTGCTATTTGCCATTTGCTATTTACAAGAAAGGGGAGCACAAAGAGGTGGGCGCAATCGAGAGTATCACACCACAATCGATGGCCGAAGAGCGAACGCGCGCATGGTGAGTTTCCCCATGTACGCCGTCTCTCTCTCTCGCTCTCTCGCTCACTCTCACTATCACTCTCTTTTGCATCAACAAGTGTCTGCTGCTGCTGCTGTTGCTGCTCCTGCTCCTTACTCAATTTGTTTTTGTGTGTCTGTGTGTGGCGCGCTCTTTAATCAACAGCGCGTGGTGAGCTTTTTTTTCTTCTTCTTTTTCTTTCTTTCGTTCTCGTTGTTGTTGCACAATGTTGTACAATTGTACATGTTGTACTTAATATACTATAATATACATGTGAGTGCACACACATATTATCGTGCTCTGCGTTTTATTATTGAATTTCTTAAGTCGCCTGCTGACGCATTTGAGAACCACCCCTTTCCACTCCCCCTCCCCCTCCCACCCATCAAGGCAAATGCCTTTGCCGAGGCACTTTCTCTCTTTCTCGGCCATTGGCGCTCTCTCAATCAGCTGGCAATCAGCTAGAAATTCAAATTCAATTAATGTTATTTAATAAATTCGCATGCAATATTGATATGACAAACAAGCGTTTGCTTATGTACACTCAACGAATGTGTGTGCGTATGTGCGTGTGTGTGTGTGTGTGCGTGTGTGTGTGTGTGTGCGTATAGTAAGTGGAAATTTTTTTGTATTTTTGTTTTTTGTTAGCCATTGGGAATGTGGTGTATGCAGCAAAATCAATGCAAAAAAACTTCAGCAGCCGCAGTAGCAGCAGCAGCAGCAGCAACAAAAATGATCGTGCAACGTGCCTGAAATTATAAAATACAAATCAACGCGGAACCCGCGAACAGAAAACCGGCGCTGCACTTGCTTCCAACTGCTGCCTGCTGACTGCTGCCACAAACAACCGGCTCAGATCAACTGGCAGACAAACGGACGGACGGACAGACGAACGTCTAGTTTGAGTTTTGAACGACAGGCGAACACAAGAGACAACCCATAATTAATCAGACTGCCAGGTAACATTTTACAATGTCCAATGTACAGCCAACAACAAATTGCAAATTCCAAGCAGATCCTTTACAACAGCAACAACATTAAAATGTTTATAGTTGTAGTAAATTTGCATGTTTTTTTTTGTTTTTTTCTCAACTTACTCTTGAAATTGATTTTTTAGAACTACGACGTTCTTTCACCAATAAACAATAAATATATATTTTTTTCAGCTGCACACACACACACACACAGCAAAAAGTGTTGAAATACATGTGTGAAAACAAGTTTTCAAACATTAATTCGCATATTTTTACAAATTATATTAAAGCTCATACATAAAGACAGAACAATAACAATAACAAAATAACAACAACAACGACAAAATGAGGAACAAGCATTTTGTTTTCGTGTACTGCGAAAACTTGTTTTACTTGTAAAACTATTTAACAATTGTGACTCCAAAACCAAACAGTAAATAAAATTAGACACAAGAATTCATAGGTAAATAGAGATTAACATAGTAATTTTTATTAATAATACTACAATTAATTTACCAAAGACTAGAATATGATTTATTCAAATTTGAATTTGAATACTCATTAAAAGCCCATTTTTTTTTTTATAAACTTTGAATAAATATATAGTTAATAAATATATATGATTGTGTTGGGATTTAAGTTTCTTTGAAACTTGGTAAATTAACTAATATTTTTTCAGCTAAAGTTTATTTGGGAGCTCAGATATTTAACAAATGGCTTTATTAATAAGCAAAGCTTAGTAAATGTCTATCTCTGGTGCTTATCACTTCGAAGACAACTTAATATATGAGTAATACTATCGGCAGATAGTTGCATCAAGTTTTAGACTGCGCATGGAATCTGGTTGATAAAAGCATGACTAAGTGTGCCTTTACACATGTATATATGCATGCTTACACACATTTACTTTTAAGCGCAGCTTTTATGACTTTTATCACATCATTATATGCATGTGCATTATAAGCAACTACACCGCAAAAACATTACCAGCCAGACAATTAAAAATACATTAAAATTCAATAGCCAACTATTAAAGGCAACTGTAATAATAAAGAGAATTAAAAAAAAGAACAAAACAGAAAGCAATATATCTCATTAATACAATCCGAAAAGTGAATTGATTGACATTTGTAGATTTCGTGCAGTGTACGCTAATCAAACGGAAAATTTGTATACTTTTGTGTGCAAATGAATAAATTACAATAATCATAATAAAAATATAAAAAAAAACCCTTAGTTGTCAGCGCAAAGTTATAATTTAAGTTACATTGTCATTACATATGAGTGTTTGTGTATGTGTGTATGTGTGTGTGTGTATATATTCTAAATAATATTGCTGCTCTGGGTTTTTTTTCACTCATATGAGTTAACTATTGTAATGCATGTGTGAGTGAGTATAAATCTGATATAAATATATGAATAACAACAAAAGTTTTACTTAATCTAACTTAGACGTGAAGAGAACACCCCCATTTATATATATATATATATATATATATATATATATGTGTGTGTGTGTGTGTCAGGCTTCGCTGAGAGCGAATTAAAGTTCGTTCTTCGCTTACGCACAGAAGAAGAGCAGACACGAAGGCTGCCGCAGTCGTGCAGCTTACGAAGCGCAGCTTGCACAAGAGCAGCTTCAAAGTGACATTTAGAACACTAATACCAATGCACTCGCACACTCTCATACACACACACACACACACATCTTGTTGTCTGCACTACACACTTATAAACGAATCAGAACTGAGCTGTGTGTGGGGAAATGTCGTTGATCCATTGCGTTTGGGCAATTTATGATTCTCGTTCTTGTTCTGCTATCAGTGGACGCTATCCGGCTACTGCTTGCTGTGAGCTTGTCACTTAATTTGATGTACTATGTTGCAATCAGCGTATACGCATATAAGCACACACACACACACACACAAACTTAACTTGGGTTTTTTTTTAAATATGCAAAACAAACCTATTCAAGTGGATGGACAAGTTTTAGCTAGTGCTGATAGAGCAGTTTGCGCTGGTCAAGCACATAACAACAGAGATAAACAACAGAGAGAGAGAGAGAGAGAGAGAGAGATAGATAGAGAGAGGGAGCGAGAGAAGAGAAAAAAGGAGAAGAGTTAGTTGAGAAGAAATCAAAATGCAGTCTCAGCCCATAGTGAGTTCGATAAAAATAACTTAAAGTCGCCTGCAATCAATTTTAAAATAGACTCTTGCGAATGGAAAAATGAAGGAAGAATGTGGTAACTAAAACTAGCCAAAAGGCAGGTAAGAGAAACAAGGCGATTCTCAACTTACCGCTGCGCTCCCGCGCCGCACAAGTTCAAGGCCAAGTGGCCACGGTGCCTCTCCTCTCTCTGCACTCTCTCTGTCTCGCTCTCTCTCTGTTTTGCGATTTGCGAGCGTGTCTGCGTGCGGTGTATCTGTGTGTGTGTGTGTGCTTGCTGTTTTTTTTTTTACTTTTTTTATGCGCAATCGTTTGCATGCGAAAGAACTTTCGTTTTCAAGTACGCCTCCTCTGCGTGTATTTCGCTTTTTGTTTTATAGTGTTGCACTCTTGTTGTTGTTGTTGTTCTGCTTCTCTTTTTTGTTATTGTTATTGGCAGTTTTGTTTTGAGTGGGTGGGTGTCGGGAGCACGCGTGGTGAACAAAGGGGAACTCGCACTTGTTTTTAACACGCGCTAAATTTTGTTTCTTTAACAAATTCACAAATATATATATATGTATTTTTATATTGTATATGTGTATGTATTATTTGCAAGACTCCACTCAGCACTCGTGCCAGAGGCTGGCGGCTTTGTAAATTAATTAACAACACTCACACACACACACAGACGCACACACGCACACTTGGTCATATCAAGCGAGCGAGCGCGCGCCGAGATAAGCAAAACAATTTATTTGCACTAAAATTTACTTTTTGCACGCTGCTGCTGTTGAGGAGCTGCTGGCGGAATGTCGGGTGGGGGGTGGAGGGTGAGCCAAATTCACCACATACACAATCAGAGTGGAATTCACACACACTCTCTCACACACACACACACGCAATCCGACGTAAGCGCACGTTTCGGTTACAAATGATGCCCAAAAAAATATTCTGTAATTTTGTCCACTTTGTCAATAGACACACGGACACGTTGACAATTTGCGCCGCAATTGCATTCAGTTAAATTGAATATATATATATTTTTTTGGATTAGCGAGCGCCAACGAATATTAAAGAATTTAGAAACAACCAGAGACAACGAAAAACGACGACACCGCGATTACGAGGCGCAACAACAAATGGTGAGTGTGGAGAGAGCCAACATGCCAGAGTTGCCTGCTTATCAATATTTTCTTACCCCAAAAAAGCTTATCGGCAGTGTTAGAAAACGCAGTAAGGCGAGCACATATAAAAGAAACGCGGTTTTTATTTCTAGCTATATTACACTTATGTTGAATCGAATTTAAAGCATAGGCAAACTGGCCTTTAGGGCATCGAACTCCTTGCGATCCAGTGGTTTGATATTGGTGCCCGAAAAGGGTGCCTTGAATTCCACATCGCGATGTTTGTTGACCAGAATCTTTTGCTCTGAGTATATCAAATTGATTTGTTGATTTATTTGCTCCTGATCTGCAAAAATAACTCATGTATATACATACAGATTATATATACAATATATGTATACCCTTCTTGAGCAGCTGTATTGCTTGTGCTCGTTTCATTTTGACCAACATGCTGCCAATTGTTATCCACACTTTTGGCTCATCCGATTTCTCAATCAGTCGCAATGCTTCCCGGGTTTCCTGGCGCCGCCTGTCCATTACCGTCAGCTCCTGCTTGTTGACCAGTATCTTGTCGGCCAGCTCCTCTGTCCTGGTTATTATTTCAATACTTTTGTCTAACTCGGCTTGCGACATGTTCTCAGAGAAGCAATTAAAAATGCCGACGAAACGTAAACAAATCGTGGCAGGGTGACCAAAGTTGAAGATAATATTTTGTCTTTTTTAATACTAGATACTGGTCACCTAAACAGCTGTTTGGAGTCTTTAAGGGGTCACCTCTTAAACAGCTGTTTGCTTCTGTACGCGCCAAAATGTATTTCAAAATACAAATTTCAATTTATTTTTCAATTATAGCATACAAAACACTATTTTAGTGCATACCCGATTAATTTGTAATTTATTTCGAAAATATATATAATTGCCATGAACGAATAACAAATCTTTAACCGTAATCGAATAAAAACATTTAAAGCTCCATTAAAATTGAGCCGCAATCAAAATTCTCAACAATTTCTAATGTTTGTAGTGAGTAAGATGATTGATCATCTCGTAGAGCCACTTGGGCTGATCGTGCGGAGCCATGTGACCGGCATTCCGAATCATAATCTCAACCAGATGTCCGGCATGCTTCACATAGCCAGCGATCTCTCCATCAATGCGCCAAACCTCTCGTGGAGCGGTCCTATAAACATCCGAGCCGGGAAACTTAAGCTTCTTCAGATAGTTGCGGGTCAGGGGATAGGCTACAATGATGTCCAATTGGCCGCTATAGATGCACACCGTGTAGTGGCTGAGGAGTTCAGCTATCCAAGGTGCCACACTGTCCATAACATCCTTCATCAGAAACTTCTCCACCTTGTTCTCCTTGTCCAGATCATGGAACGTCAAGTTGCCCACATGAATAGCGCGACGCGTGGCGCCCGCCTGCAGAAACTCACCAAGTTTGGCATCGGCCGGATCTGGATGGGTAACCAGATAATTGTAGTACCAATTGTAGCCCGTCAGATTGCTAAAAAGGGAGCCATTGGTCATGTCGCCATTGATAAGGGAATCAAAGACGTCAAACGCGCAAACCATGTCCTGTTTCGCAATGCAATCGGCGCCCTTCTGCTCGGCAGCGTGGAACTGCGCCAAGCCGTTGTCATCGATCAAGCCCAGCTGATACAGATAGTCGCCGTACTTGAGCTGATGCACTGGATCGGACAGTCCGTTGCCAATGGCCACGCCCTTGAGCGGCACATGGACACGCGCCTCAATCGAGTTCTGCACCTTGTGGATGTGATAGGCGAGAGCGGGCACATATTTGCCGGCATACGATTCACCGGTGACCCAGAAGCTACTGCTCCACCCGAACAGCTCGTACAGCTGCATCACAGCTTCGTGCAGATTGCGTCCCACATCCTGTTCGTTGCGCGCATAGCCCTCGTCGTGATCCGTGAAACTGAACCCAGTGCCCACCGGATTATCAATGTAGATCAGATTGTGTGTCCTGCTCCAGGTGTAGTTGCGCTTCTGCAGCTTGCCCTGCTCGTCCAGCTGCAGCGGTCCGTTCTCCGTGAAGAGGCCAAAGAGCGAGGAGGCGCCCGGTCCGCCCTGCAGCCAGAGCACGACGGGTGCAGACTCGCGATCCGTTTCACTGGGGAAATACCAGAAGAACATGTTCGAATTGTAGCCCGTGTCCACAGTCAAATATCCGGAATAGCTCTCAACGCCTTGGAATTGGTCGCCAAGAACACGAGCCATTTGCTGCACCTGCCGCTTGGGCAGCGAATCGTCCTGGATGAGCGGGGTGAGGAAGAGCGGCTCGCCGGGGTCGACGCCATCCTCGTAGAACTTAAAGCGCGGATACGGATTGATAAAGCTGCTGCGATAAGGTTGCTCAGCAGCAGCAGCAGCGCCAAATGCGGCAGCAACGCCGATAATTAACAGCACGCAATGAATTGCGTTTTTCATTGTTCCAGACTTGCACTTTAGCTGTCTGCGTATGGGGAATGTATAGTTTAATCAGTTCGGTATATTCAAGTTTACTGTTTACGCCCCACTTACCCCTTTTGCAGATATGCAAATTCAGCACTTTTACTTCTGCTCGTTGTGAAAATAAAATCTCTTCTGAGCCGGCAAAAATTGTGTTGCAATCAGCAACAGCAACAAATGTTTTTTAGTCAAGTGAACCAGTTCGTGATTTCGCACTGGGTTGTCCAACACTGTTATCGATATGAATTGCAGTAGTGCTTTTGAAGCGGTTGATTTGAAATGAATTATTAAAATGGACTGAGAAGGGAGAAATTCAAAGCGAAAACAAAACATTTATGGTTAGCTGCGAATTTAGCTTATATTGGCATATTCTAATTGCTAAGCACAGTTGTTAATTTTCCAAGTTTGTTGTACAAATAATATTAAAGGGCAACAAATAATTTAAAGTATCCTTGGGTAGTTCAGCAGTGAACTGTTTTAATTGAAAAGTGAACTAGTGAGCAGTTCGTGCAATCGCAATGCTATCGACTAAATCGAAATCAGCTGTTGAATTTAAACAAAACAAGTTTAAAATATCTAAGATAAGAAACTATTAAGCAAAACTATCAAATAAATGGCAACAGTTGTTAAATGGTTAAGTGCTAATGACAACTACAAACATGCACACACACAGCGTGGGCAACAACTATCAGTTAAAGCAAATGGGAACAAACAATGCTGATAAAGATGAGTCATGGGCAGCGACGCCGGCGTGGGAGCAGCGCTGCTTCGCTATTTGTTGTGGCCTTAAAAATTGAATTGAAGCATTACCGTTTAGGCAACTAAAAGTGTTGGACGGCGACAAGGCGAGCTCTCTTTTTGGAAAAAGCGGCAGTTACACGTACATGAAATAATATACATATATATATATAGATATATATATATATTTATCTCACACTCCCACTTCAGACAAAAAACAATGTTCGATTTCAACTTGGAATTTGCGCGTGGCGGCGCCACCTTCACCACGGAACTGTTTCATCTACTGGCCGCGGGGGGCGTTAAGCAAAACATTGTTTTTTCGCCCTTCTCGATTCAGGCCTGCATTGCGCTGGCCTTTGCTGGCGCCAAGGGCGATACAGCGGATGAGATTGCCAAGGGTATGCGTTACGTGTCCAATTTCCCCCCCGAGGTGGCCGAAACATTCCAGTTTGTGCTGCAAAAGTACAGGAATAGCCCTCTACTAAAAGTGGCCAACAAGATCTACGTGCAGCAGGGTCATCCGCTGAAGGCCGGCTATGAGACGAGCATCAAGCAGGATTACAACTCGGAGGCGGAGTCCATTGACTTTGCACTCAACGATGCGGCGGCCAAGTCCATCAACAGTTGGGTCAATGCCAAAACAGAGGGCAAAATCAGCGAACTCGTCTCCGCCGATAGCTTCAATGAGTACACCCGTTTGGTGCTGCTCAATGCGCTGCACTTTAAGGGGAACTGGGCGCATAAGTTCCCGGAGGCGAGCACCGAGGAGGATGACTTCTGGACGGGCGAGGAGCAGAGCATTAAACTGCCCTACATGAATCAGAAGGCCAAATTTGGCTATGCCTATTTCGAGGAGCTCAACTGCACCGCACTGGACATGCCCTACATGAATTCCGATTTATCGATGCTGGTGCTGTTGCCCCAGGAGCGCGAGGGCCTCAAGGAGCTGGCCGAGAAGCTGAAGAGTGTCAATCTGGTCGATTTGGCCGACAAACTCGTCGTCGAAGAAGTCCAGGTCAAATTTCCCAAATTCAAGGTGGACTATTCCGTCGATCTGGGCGACAAACTGAAGCAGGTGAGCAATTCTCAATTTATGAATACAAATTCTTTTCTTTATTTTTTTTTATTGACACGTCGCTAATCGCGTCTAATCAATGGAATTTTCTTTCCTACTTATTATTTATGTCGCCTATCTTTGTGAAGTACTTTCGCTCTGAGCTACAAATTATTTTGGTAGCTTATCTTTCAAATTAGACACAGTAAAAACGGTTAGTCTGTAGACGAATTTCTGTTTTTAGCCCAGTTTTATTATGCGAATATGTTTGTTAAGAGAACTCTGAAATTATAGTATAATTTTAGACTTCAACTTTCCCTTGTTTAAATTTGATTTGTAACCATTTTGCGCAAATTAAAATGAACTCATCAGAAATTCCCATTTTTAGAAAACTTTTAAAATCATGACTAAAAGGGTATTTCTTAAAACCCGTATTACTAAAGAAAAACAACTCAAACAATGCAGAATGACATAATTTTATATATTATATACGGCAAAATTATATGTGGCAAATCTTATCGCTGCCATTGCATCCTCCTTTTGGAGTGAGCTCATCAATATTGTGGTATTTAATCATTGTTTATTTTTATCGATTTGTTTATTTATGCAATTGTTTGCCGCATTCTGCTTTCTGGTTTTTCAGCTGGGCATCACGAAAATGTTTAATGATGGTGCCGAATTCGATAATCTGCTGGAGACGCCTGAGGGACTTTTTGTGTCGAAGGTGTTGCACAAGGCGACGATTGAGGTGAACGAGGAGGGCACCGAGGCAGCTGCTGCCACTGGTATGATCATGATGACGCGCATGATGATGTTGCCGCTGCAGTTCCAGGCCGATCGTCCCTTCCTCTACGTTATCTGGAACAAGAAGAATATCGTTTTTGCCGGCGCCTTTGTCAATGCGCCAAATGCCAATTAAGATGTGCAAAGCAACCATTAATTTATAATTTGTTACAGCATTTTGTTTTTCTATTAAATACAAAAATTCAAAGCATATTAATTACAGTTTTTATTTTATTATTTAAGCGTAAGCTTTAAATTGAAAGTACTTTAAATGGGCAGCACTGGAAGAATGTAGCGCACCCAACTTCAAGTGAGAGCGCAATTAGCGCGCAGCCAACATCAAGCGTGCTCCAAACTTGAACTAGTTCCAAAGCAGAACAAACGCAACTCGCAAAAAAAGAAGGGACAACAAATTGTATATATAAAAAACAATGCGGGCTGAACGATTGCCAGTCGGTCAAATAAAGCAATGTCACTGCGTGCACTGAGGAAACGCGATACTCAATTAAGCACCAGCAGCGCCGCCAGCAAAGCCAAAGCAACGCTTTTCAGGAAAGCCAACAGCACCAGCAGCAACAACAACAACAGCAACAATAATAATAACAATAACAACAACAATTCAGCGACAACGTCACCGAAATTTAAAAAATCTTTAACTGTGAGAGGCGGCAGCAGTAAGCAACTGTTAATCCAGCGTCAGCTGCTTGGACGCGCCACATTTTCGAATCCAGAATTAAGGACATTCCACAGGACCACTGCCAATCACCTGTTGCGCAGCAAATCGGAAGGCGATGTCAAAACTTTAAATCTGGCTGGCAAACCAATTGGACGCCAAGCGGCAGCGAGCGCCAAGTCGGAGGTGTGCCTCCAGCAGATCAGTTCGCACAGCTACGAGCCACAAAAGACGCGCATCCAGCCGGATAAAATGCTGGGCGGATCGCGTTCGTTGCGCGACTTGAGTGGCGATGATTTGGAGCATTCGGGCCGCGGACCGCGACGGTTGAGCGAGTGCAGTGGCAGCATGATCAGTGGTCGGCGCACCAGCTCCATGTTCACCAGTTCCATGTCCGCCAGCCAGATGATGTTCGCCTCGGCCCCCGTCGATCCCAATGCCCCACTGCGTGTGCCAATCATTGGGTATGAGGTGATGGAGGAACGTGCCCGGTTCACCGTTTATAAGCTGCGCGTCGAGAATCCGGATACGAACGATTGCTGGCTGGTCATGCGACGCTACACGGACTTTGTGCGGCTCAATGGCAAGCTGAAGCAGTCATTTCCCCATGTGAACCTGGTGCTGCCCAGCAAGAAGCTATTCGGCAACAATTTCAATGCCGTCTTCCTCGACAATCGCGTCCAGGGACTGCAAATGTTTGTCAACTCGATCATGGCCAATGATCAGCTGCGCAAATGCAAACTGGTGCGGGAGTTCTTCTGCCTGGACGAGCCGCCCTCCTACTCCGAATCCATGGAGGAGTGTCGTGTAAGTGGCAGTGGATACAGTCTGTGCTCGATATGCTGTAAGGCATTGCAAATTTGTTAGCTGATATCTGATTATGATAACAATGTTTACTGTGGCTGCCAATTTAATGCTGGCAATTTAACAGAGTTTATCTAGGTTTTTCATTATTCCAGTAATCAATGTAAAAGAATCCCAATTTTATTATTCTAGTTAATCAATAAGAATAGGAATAAAATTGTTAATTGTTCATAGTTGTTAGGTGATCCATGATAAGTAATAGTTTCTAGGTTTCACAAATGCCAGTGATTACTGTAGCAGCATATTCAGTGTGAATTATTGCTTACCTGGAAATCCAACAGAGGTATTTCTATTTACTAGTATCTATTGTAATTTTAAAGCAAAAGTCTTGAACAAATATTCCATTTTTATCATTCTAGTTAATCAATAAGAAATTTCTTAGTTAGTCTCTTAGTTTTCACTAATACAAGTGTTTACTGTGGCAGCATATTTCATACTTATTTTAATTTATTGTTCTAATTTTGATCTAGAAATCTAATTGATTTATTTATTTGTTATTCATCTCTAGTTATTCACTAAGAAAGTATCTTAAACTAACCCATTTCCTCTTTCTATTTGTCCAGGCAATATTTGAGGCACAGGAGGAGACCATTGTGCACCTGAAGCTGCAGATCCAACATAAAAACGATCTCATTCTCAGTCTGCAGCAGAAGCTGCGCGAGGAGATGATCGAAAAGGAGCAGCTCCGCGAGGAGTTTAAGTAAGTTGCATTTAATAGTTATACGCACATTGAAGATACAAGATACATTTCTATATATTTTCAATTGCAATCCACAGAAATATCAACCTGGACTGCTCACATTGCTCCTCGGCAAACGATAGTATGACCCTCAAATAGTTAGGAATGCAATCATGACCAGGAATGAGCGTGTGTATTTATTGGTTATTATGCTGAGCATAATTTTATAGTACACTCGACGAAATATCACCCAAGTGCATATCATCAAATCAGGCGCCGCCGTAAGGCTCACCCTCAACAGTGCTTTAGTATTCAGCTGATAAGAAAGCCCAAATGAAATACAAATATTTTTTAATATATATACAAATGCGGGTCTCCAACTCGTTGAACATTTTAATTTAGTATTAGCACAACTCAATTTACAATAATAAAATCTACAATTATATACGATTATAAAGTGCTGATCTTTGACAATTTTATATGAATATCTATATATATATAAACCATTTAATTATAATTATATATATATTATTAATAGGCTAAGAAGTCTTGGAATGAAAAGCAGCAGCTTCTGGATCAACTAAACTAAAATCTTAAAATGTCTAAATGTATAAGTACATTTTATATATTTATATATAAATATTGTATATAATTATGCTTGGCTAAGCGGCTCAGAGGCTCGTCATGGCTGGTGGGCGAGCATATGCCTTGGGTATGAATCCATATTTGCGTGTCTTGGGCGCATAGGCCCACAGCCAGCCATCGACTGTTTGGTTGTTGAGATCCGCATAGATCCAGTCGCCGCGGCGCACGGACAGATCGTCGGGTGCTTGCGCCTTGTAGTCGTACAACATGACCAGCTCTGTGCCATGATACCGCAAATCATCGGTTCCTATGCCAAGTTGTTGTTGCTGCTGCTGCTGTTGTTGTTGTTGCTGCTGCTGTCCCTGTTGTTGTTGTTGGAGAATGCTCTCCATGGCATTGAGGCTGCCACCGGTTAAATTCGCATGATGTTGCATGTTGGTCTCGTTAAGGGGCGCGGCGGCTGCTGGCGTCGCCTTCTGCTGCTGCAGGACACGCACACTGTCCGCGGGATATATGAAATTGGCCGGCACAAAGCCCTCCTGGCCATCGCTGCGCATTATCCAAAACCAGTCGGGATCCTCGCGATTCAGCACGGTGACAAATTCACCCCGTTCCACAGACAAATCGTTCTCATCGCGGGCAATGAATGTGTAGAGGACAATGCAGCGTCCCGACGGCTCCTTGATGAAGGCCGTACACTCGGGCATGGTTGCCAACAGATTGTTCTCCAAGCTATTCACTGTGGAGGCATTGAGCACTGCCATTGCCGTCTCATCGCAGAGCACATCCAGCTTGTTGTCAACGCCCAGCAACGGTTGATTCTCATCATGCGGCTGCTCGGGGCACTGATCGCGTGGCAGCTTCTTTTTAATGGCCAACTCGGCCAGCTGTGTGTTGTACGGTGCACAGTAGCTGAATGGAATGAAGCCCTCCTGTCGCGAATCCTGCCCAATCACATAGACCCAATCGTTCTCCCTGTACAGTATGTTGACCAACTGGCCACGCTTCACCTCCAGCTCATCATCGACGCACGGCGTGAAATCGTGTAAAACAACCATTTTCGAATCGGGACTAAATAAACAAAGGAACATATATAAATAAAGGAACATATATAAATATATTATTAACAAAAGTATGTGAGAACTTACCTGAGTCCATGCTCCTTCTCAATGCCAACGCGCACCAGCGTCTCAATGCTGGAGGAGCCCGTAATTCGACCCATGCCAACAGGGGCCAAATCTCGTTCAATGTTGGCATTTGTCGCTGTGCGGAACGAAAAACGAAAGAAAAAAAAACAAGTTTGTTGTTGAAGTTATTCGTGTGGCTTGTTTGCTTGTTGCGCAGACGCACCTTTCTTTTTATCGCGCCGCATGCGCACCGGGCACAGAAAAGCCATTGCTAAATTAGTTTGCTTAATTTCGATTAGTTATAATTAATTTTCAACACTTTTTCTTTTAATATCCAATCGTTAATTGTGTCCTGCTTCCGATCGAATTGGAAAGTGCATTGCAGGTGCGCTCGATTAATTTTGTTATCTGAACGTTTATCGAACTCACAGTGTGTATTTATCGAACTAGCGCAATTGACCGACCTCCACACACAGCAATCGCATGCATTTTAAAATTCTAGTTTTGCTTTTGCTTTATTTATGTTCCATATTAAATGGAATAAAATATGCCGCTACGTGATTAAAATAACGTTTTGCTGTGCCTTCAAGCGAATAAGTATTGAACTGGAATTGTGCATTGCACTTATGCAGCTGACTTGACCTTAAAGAGTGCAAACCTTGAGGCAGGTTCAATGCACTTGCCCGTTAGCAAAAGTGTTGCAAACAGTTAATTATTATGATAATAAATTAATGTTTGCTCAGAATAAACGCTTAAGCTTGCCTTGGTGTTGCACTTGCATTATTTGCAGAGCACGTTCATCCATTAATCATCATCAGCAGCAGCATCCTGTCAATGCACTATTTTGGTGCCAAGGATAACGTCGCTTTTGCATGCCATTTTCGATTTATTGTTGCAAGGGCTGGTTTTAGTGTGTGTGTGTGTGCGTGTGCGTGTGTGTGAGGGGGTATGACAAGCGAAAGTTAGCGCAGCACTAACAAACTGACCTACACAGCAGCCGAGGGCTGAACCCAGTCCCCAGTCTACACATGCCCCGGCTAAGTATTCAAGTTTCGTTTTCATTGCCAAAAAAAAAGAAGAAACTGCGCATTACAATTGCTCTGCTGCGAGCATTATTCCCTTTTACCTTCCTTTAACCCGCTGCAACCCTAATCTATTTGGTTGCCAACCTCCCTCCTCGCTGCTCCCTGCTTGCTCCTTGGCGGAAATGAGCTCTTTGTCTCGCCCTTCGTCTCGTTGTTGACTTTTGCTTACTACGCAGTTGATTTTACATCCTGTCTTCCGACTCACTGGCCAGGCGGGCAGCGCCACCCTCTTGGATACCCTCATCCCATGGCCTATCCCAAGCATAAATAGCTGAGAGCACACGCTCTGCTGCTGCTGCTTCCTCTTCGAATAAGGGAATCGATAGAAAGGCGTCTGCGCATTCGTCCACACGTGAAACCATTCACTAAAAACTGAACAATGAAACGGGCAAACGAGATGATGATGATGATAAACCATGCTCGATGCTGATGATGATAATGCTGCTGTTGCTGCTGCTGTTGCTGGTGTGGTTACATTTTGGGTTTGGCCAAAAAATGAGCTTGCAACGCCGTCTGGGGAGCAACAGACAGACAACTCCTGCAGCAACTCGAGCCACGAACCGTTTTAAGTGGGTCAGTTATTTTCGGCGCCACGCGCTGTTATTTATGGCTAACAGTTGGTAGGATCTACCCCCACCAGGTAGCTAGCTAGCTAGCTGGCTGGCGATGACCTGTCGACCTACCTTTGTGCTCGTCATGCTGGGATTCAATGGCTCGCAAGTGCCGTAATAAAACTGTCGGTGTCATTGTTGCATTTCCATGAATTGTGAAATTACAACATTCACATGATGCGTGGGCGTCATCGCCATTGCCAGCCATCCACGCCCATTTTAACCGGAACGAGCGTGTCCTGCGTATGCAGCGTTCTTCGAATCGATTTGTGCCGGGGGTGGGAGGACTTCTCTTTTATGAATGACATTTCAATTTCCCCGAAAACTTTCCACACTAAATGCTGATGGACGTGCTGTGCTGCGTTATTGTAGTCAATGTGCCAGGCATGTTTTTATGACCTTCTCAAGGATTTATAGCTATGATGTTTGATACATGTTTTGGGCTAAATTGGTTTTTTGTAACTGACAACTATAGTCTCAAAAACAAGGACTTTTCAAGTTTGTAACAACGACGTTTTCACCACTATATACGTTGTACATATACATTATTTAAAGTTAATTAAACTCTTTCAAGATTTAATCAAACAACTAAGATTTGTCTGATATCAAAGTTAAATTCCTTTCTTTCATGATATAGACAAAAAACTGACGTTTAGTCTATTGAGTACCCAAAAATATTTATTAGAATATGTAGAATATCAAAGATCGCCAAAATATATAGGGAAAACAATTCTAAGAACCAAATTGCGCATCTTGTTTAAGGAATTTGTTTTCTAATAAGGAAAACCTTATATTATAAAGCTTAAAACCCAAAACAACAGCTGCAACCAAAAATAAAGAATGTTTTTCTTAAAAACGAAAAGAAATCAGACAACAAATTTGATTCCATAGCGTTTATTCAAAATTGTAGATATAACCATGTGTAATTTGAGACACTTGAACTCAAATGTTGCGTGCTATAAAGTCATTATTCTACACGATCTTATCATTATGGATTTCTAATTTTTGGCTTTGCGCAATGCAAATTTCGCTGTTTCGCACGATTTGTTCGCGAAAGCAATCAATATCGAATCGCATCGAGCGAATTTTAACGAGATTTTTCTAAAAATGCAACAGTCATAAACAAAATCAAAATAAATGCAAAAATCCGCCAAATACTAGATAAAAATTAAATAATGTAAAACTGTTGCACAAACAAAAATTGGCAAAATGCCCAAATGGATCGACACAGATTAAAAAATAAAAATGGCGTCTATATATATATATATATATATGTATGTAAACGGGAATAATTAATGCTGTAAATAAAAGCTAAATTGCTGCAGGGCACATATATTAATCAAGCTAATAGCGGCATTGCTGATTGCATAAGCTGACTGGGAGTGGCCGAAAGGGGCGCACAAAGACTCTTTTAAGTGGTGATTGTGGGCTCAAGACGACGTGGCAGCATCCATAAATGCCACGTAGAGCACAGCACAGCACAGCACAGCCCACGCAATAAAATGACAGCGGCGACATACAAAGTATATATGTATATATATATTCAAGGACATGCACTCGCAATTGGCGAGGCAATAAGCCATTTTATGTGGCAGGCAGATCATCAGCAACAACAACAATGGCATATTTAATAACCAGTGTGAAATGTATTGCTACCCAGTGAGTCTATCGTAATCCTGCCAGCCAAACAGCCTTTAAAATGCAGCCACGTCCTTGAGAGCAGGCAGAGTTAAATCAGCCAACAGTTCGATGCTCAACTGCTGCTGCTGCTGCTCCTGTCGTGTGCAGCATTCAATGAGTTCACACAGACACCCACACACACACACACACACGCACTCACACACACACGCCCACTCTCTCGTCCATTCTCCCACTCTCTGCGGCTCTCTCGCAGTGTCGACGTCAGTTTCGGCACGTGCGCCAACGTGGAAAGTGTGCCTTCGTCGCTCTCTCGTTGCGCGGTGTTCAGTTGATGTTGGTTCGTCGTACGGCGTGGTTCGCATTTTCAAAACAGTTCGCTTGCATTGTGTGTTTAAACTGTGGCAAATCAACATTTCAAATTAGGTAAAAATTAAAGTCATCATGCTATATTTGCTGCAATCATTGTTGCATCACTCAAACCCAATCCAACCACACCCGACCCTCCCTCTTCCCTTGCTGACATTTGAATGCATTCATTTCATTTGCTGCTTATATAAAAAAAACAAAATAGAAAAAAAACAAAATTGCACAGGTGCTTTGGCATTATTTAAGTTTAGAGCTGTGTGGGGCTTCTTCTCTTGGCGCCACTTCCGGTCCTAGACAATTACAAGTATATATACATTTATATGTATGTATATAAATATTTATCTAAATATTGATGTCGATTTGTTTATGTATCAGTATCTTTTTTATTTGCACGTTTCGCTTTCTGTTTTCACTCTCAACTTCTCAGACGCCACCAAATTTTTGCCCCCCAAACAAATTATTTTCGGACTGTCTGCGACGTCAAAGTGAAAATTCTTTTCTTTTTTTCTTTTTTGCTTGTAGAATATATATATATATATATGTATATGCATGCGTGTGTATATATGTATATCTATTGTGTTCCATTCGAATTCATATTTATTTGTTTTGATCATAAATATTTATGAGAAGCGAGCATTGTTGACACGCGAAAAGTCCATTCCTCAAATATAATATCGTAGAACATCTGCTTTTAAGGCAACTAATTAAAATTTGACATACCCTGTGTATCCTGCTTAGAAAGAGTATACATCTTACTACATTTGTTTCTTATTTGCCATAAGCAAAGTCGATGGTAATCAAGATAATATTTTCTCAATTGTAAATATTAAAATAATATAGCTGAAGAATATTGTACATTTGTCATTTTAATTCTGTAATTAATCGTTGAAACTTGCATTTATATTTTATTTTGAGCTCTTGAAAAATCTATTATAAATTTAAAGAACAGCTTTATTTTCACTATGTGTGTGTACAGAGAAAGAAAATGGATTCTAAATAGAAAATTGTGCATTTTTATACTTTTATTCCCTAAAGGAAGATCTAATATTAAAATAGCATATAGACTCTCAAATTAAGAATATATTCTATTAAATTATACGAGTAAACAGACAAAGAAATTTGTAAATTAATAAAAATTAAATATCAATTCCCTTGTAGGGTGATTTATAGTTCATCCGATGAAATTGATATCATTCTTCTAATGCAAATGTTTGCCAAATTTGAAATGACTTTTCATCAAGGTTAAAGACCAATGAGATCATTTCTAGAAGCTGTGTGTTGTATTTTCACACGTGAGAATGGACATGACACACACACTAGCATACCTGTACACAGACACGCACTAACACACACACACACACACACACACACACACATAGATTAGTTTGTACGACGCAATTTGTTAGTCTTTTGGATTGTTTACTGTTCCGTCAATTTCTCGCATGATGTAATTTTGTTTACCAATTGACCAAGTGCACCCTCAAAATCACAAATTCATATTTACTCGTACCTTTCCAATGGGGTGCATTTTTAAATACATTTTACATACATACATATTTAGTGTGTGGTGCGGAAACAATTGGTATTTTTCAATTGAACAATTTATACACAAATCACAGATGCAACAGAATCACAGATGTCCAATTTTCTAGTGTTGTCGACGGGCGTCCGTTGCTCAATTTTTGTATTTTCCACTGCATTTACAATTTTTGTTGTTTCAACTTGCATTCTAGAATATTCCAGATAGCAATTAATTAAATTGAAACATGACAAACGAAATTGATTGCGCTCTTTGCGCCCTTTTTGATTGCAGTCCATTCTACCGTTATAGTTGTAGTCAATTGGAAAATTTATGGGATTGTGGTCCAATTGCTGGAGAAATTTAAATGAGAATTTTTTTTCAGTTATCGAATGAGCTGTCGTAATTAGTTTTTACTTTTTAATCGCTTATTCATAATTTATTAAAAATTCAAACTCTCTTTTTCTCCCTCATTCTCTCTGTGTCTCACTCCATCTTACTCATACATTAACGCTCCACCTTGTTTTCTCTCTGTGTCTCTCTCTTTCGCAGCTATGGAAACGGAAAAACGAATTATCAATATGGATTCCATTTATAAAAATGAACCCAATAAAATTCGTAATATTTAGAAGCAAAATTATTCCAATAAGCATAACATAAGAATTAAGCTCGAAGCTTTCTGTGCACATAACAAAAGCAAAAGTAAAAACACACTCAACTCTTTGGCAGAGTGAACTCTTCATCAATCAAAGAGAGCGAACAAAAGAGAGCGCGCGAGCGCACTTTGCTTTTCCCTACACGCCCATTTCTACCACGAATAAGCGATTGGAACTAAAAATAAAATTAAAAATACAAAATTTAATAGACGTTTGGCAATAAATCAATTAAAAAATTAATTCAACGAATAGCAATAACAACGTTAAACGATATTTAAGCGGCTTGCAGCGGCAACTCAAAGTACCAGCAAAAACTCAAAGAGTTTGCGCAAACATAAAGAGAGCAAGCAAGCTGGCAATTGCACTGAGAGAGAGGGCGCAAACACACAAATAAAGAGGACGGCAAACTCGCTTGTCGAAAATACAACGACAACAAACACACACACACACATACACAAATATACATACGTCAACAAATTTTGGTTGAGTGCTCCAAAGTCTCGTGCTTGGCTCTGTTGGCTCCAGATAGAAATTGAGTCTCTCGCGTGACACAACGTGCGTCCAAACGAGCGGAAACTTTTTCTTGCGTGTGTCGAAGTTTGCTCTGTTTTTCTTTCTTTGCTTTTTGTTGCTCATTCGTTTGAGCAACATTAGCAGCACCAGCGCCGCCCCGACTGAAGTCGGTCACCAAATAACCACGAATTCGCAATACAAAAAGTGTGTTTTTTTGTCTAAACGTCAAAGTCTACTGCAAATCAACATAATTTATAACAAGTGATGTAAAAGAGGCGAGCGCAATAAATAAACATTGCCGTTTAAAAGACGCGACTTGGAAAATATTGATTTTTTTTGTGTGAAAAGCAACGCGCGTCGATGACCTCGACGTCAGCGACTGCGATAACTGTATAAAAGCAAAAGCGAGAGAAAAAGAGAGAGAGAGAGGCGACAAACAAAAACGTTATTGCCCAAATCCAATTGAGCCACGTTTTACATAATTACTCAAGCGCACAAGGCAAACGCAAACGAAAACGCAACAAAAGCAAAACCAAAACTAAAAGCAAAACTAGCAAAAGCACAAATTATAACGGCGTCCGCAAACCGAGTGCAAGTGGAAAAACTTTTTGCTGCTGGCAGAAGAAGGCGTAAAAGTAGCACGACACTTCCAGAGAGCGGCACAAGCAGCTGCAGTCGAAAATCACAGAGACACATGCTTAGATATCGGCTCGTATCCACACACTTCCTAAAGCAGCCGTAGTCAGCCCACAGGCAACGCTAGCGAGAAAGAGAGAGAGAGCGAGCTAAAGCGAACGAGTGTGAGAACGAGTCAGCAGCAACAAGAGTGACACAGACAAGAAAAAAGAGAGACAGAGAGAGCGAGAGCGATTGAGAGCGCACCGTCACTGGAAGACCGACCGAGCGATCGCAGGATACTCCAACGACAAGCGGCGAGCAATAAAAAGTACGTCAGGTGCGTCGGCTGTGCCCATTCACGTGCAGAACGTTGCACTGCGAGGAACTGTGACCGGATTTCTTGAATTATTGTCTAGCGATTAAACGTTGCCCATTGCTTGGGGGGTCAGCCACAACTTGAAAGCAAAAGCTTAACCCTTGAACGCCTGAAACACCGCAACAGTTGCAAACGACTTGCAGCAGAGCGGCATCTAATTTGCAACGAACGGGCATTATAATTCAGTCACAACGTATTCGCTAGGCGTTCTCCGATTACTCGGTTTGAGCTGTTTTAATTTAGATAGCGAAAATGTGCAGAGATCGCGATATGAGTTTGTCATAGATCAGCGCAATCGTCAGTATAAGGTTAAGAAAAAATACAAACCAATGCTGAACTGAATGTAACAGGCACAGACTGAGACAAACAGCAAGCGAGTGCGAGAGCGAGCGAGCGAGCGAGAGAGAGAGAGCGCGAGAGCTAGTACGAGTGAGAGGAATAGAGCCTTGGACCAAGCAACAACAACAACAACAACGAGGATTTCTACACACGATCCAAGCTAAAATACCAAAGTTAACAATTTAAGCCTACCCCCCATGAGCCATTTAGCCAAATCAATCAATTAGCAACAACAGCAATAAAAACGACAACGTCGATCAAAAGGATCACCAATTTGCATGTGTGTGCGTGTGTGTGCTCACTCACCAGAGTACAAATTGTGAAATGTGACTATTATTTGCAAGCACTCAAATTCAACCAATCCAAGACCAACAACAACAACAAAAGCAACAACATCAAATAAACGCGTTATTTCGCCTCTAAAATATAACAAAGAAGGCCGAAAGTGGTTTATTCAATTCTCGGATTGCGGTAACGCAGTAAAATTTCAACAGAGCCATCATACAAATTATACAAAAATAATTAATATTAATTTTATTACTCACAAATAACTACAACCGTCGTGCAGCTGGCGAACGTACGTGGAAAAATCAGCAAAATTGAAGACTTTGCGAAAAACATTTGGAAGTCCGTTAAGGCTTGCATTGTAAGTATGGATTAAAACCAAATATTAAATCGATAATCGATATTATACGCATCTTTACCATAATATTGTCTGGCAATTTGTAAATATATATATTTTTGATCAACATCACTATACACATGTCCGTCTGTCTGACTGTGTTCCATGAAGCTATCTTGTTGAAACTTGGCATATATCCGTTTTTTGGCCGAATCTGATCATATTGCCATCATATAGCTGTCATTGGCACGATCAGTCGAAAGATTACTTATTGTATGCAAATCTTTTTTGTTTAACATGTTATACACATCAAATTTACTTATTATGCTTCTCAAATTTGAATAGAAAAATAAATAGCTGTCATAGGAATAAGAGCATAAATATGTGGTTTAATATGAAACCTTTTTTGTTTACCAAGATATCCAAACTTAACTTGCCCAATATGCGTATTGTTATGCATTTCACATTATAACAAGAATTCCTACAGATCGGACTACAAAATACAATAAATTATAGCTCCCAGTTATCTAAATTAAACATTCCAAATGTGCGTATTAATATACATTTCATGTTTGAACAAGAAATCATCGAGATTGCCTTAATATATCACATATCTTCATTCGGTCGGTGTTTTTTTTTTATATCTATAGGAAAAATTTGGCAAATTTTGGTTTTGTCTATTTAATCAAGGGATAAAGTCCATCGCTCATTTTCTATGTCCCATTCTCAGCCAAGTTTGTTAACTCAATTGTCTCGATTGACGTACTCCGTCTGTCACAATTATTGATAATCCATTTCACACATTTGTTCAGTTTGTTGCTAATCGTGTTGAATTTCATTGTTGATATTGTTATAAAGCAATTTACACCTTTTGCATTCGCGAGCTGAGCGTTGCCAGGTACAAAATAGAACTCCGGGTCCAATTATTGATAAGTTGAGTTTCAGCTACTTTTTTTCTATAACTAACACAAACGCCAGACAGCTGTGTGTGATAAAAAGAAACTTACACTGGAGGGCTATTTCAGCAATCATGATTGATATCCAAAAAACATACTTCAACATGTACAATACCAGATAATGACTGGCACAGGTAGCATTTGGACTAGGGTCTGATTTTGTCTATGACAAACGGAATTTAACGATTGCTTTTCAAGCCATAAAATTTCCATTGCATTGAGTTATTTTTGTTGTTCTCTATTTTTATGTGTTTTCCACTTTTGTTTACCGTTGAGTCATTATGGTAAAGAAGGAAGAGTCCAGACTCTAGAGTAAACTTGTATTTATGCGCCGTGTTGCTTACTCTCTGTCTCTCTCTCTCTCTCTCACTCTCTCTCTCTGTCTCTCTCTCTCTGTTATTGGTATCTGAGCTGGGAAAAGATAGGAAAATTTTGTCTACTTGTTTTTTAGTTATAAATTTTCCATTTGGGCAAGGTGACAATACAAATATTTGTTTTTTATTTTGGTTGTCGCTACTGATTGTCACCTTTATTGTTTATTGTTATACTTGTTGTTGCGGGCTAATAAACTGTTGCGTGCTTTTAGGCCTCAGTATCAATTATATGTCATTTGCCGCGTTGACTGTTGACCCAAATAATGATTTGGTTTTTTGTTCATTATCCAAGTCAATAAACCGTTTTGTACGTATTACGCCAGCAACACGAGCAACTCGAGCAACTCTCTAAGGGCTCTAAAATATATTCCCCAAGAAATACATTTGGTATTCACACGCCAGCTGGGAGCTCGATTAACAAATATCAGCCCAACACGCAGAGAATGTGTGAATTTTCTATATTTAGTTTGTGCAAAGAGTGCACATCTGTAAAAATATGTTACGTTGTTTGTATTCGCCAAGCGATTTATTTTTAAGAAATCTCTGATTTATTTTTAGAGATCTAGTGTGAATAATTTAGCGTTGTATTTGCCTAAAATATGAAAACTGTTGTAATTAGAAAAAAAAACAGCAACAATATAAAAACAAATAATACCCTTGCTCGTTAGTAGTTAAGTCATTTTGACTGTGAGCAAATTGTTCTTATATCAAGTATAATTTGTTCGGTACAAATTCGAATGAATATCAAAAAGATTATCTCAAAATGGAACATGAAAGTTTAACGATATTCTATGCAAGCTGAATATATATTCTATATGTATTAATATCTTGTTGATTCCCTTGAACTGCATACAGGGCATCTCCTAGTCGTTTCACATGCATTACTTATTTGTTTTGAGTTAAACATTGTTTATATTGGTATTATTGCTTTGGCCATATCACACGACCTCCATTACTAAAAAAAATCTCGTGTTTTCATTATTATTGTGCAAAACAAAAGAAGAGAATGATTTAACTTAAATAGCACGATTAACAATTCATTTCTGAGTGCTGCTCTAAGAGCATGTTAAAATTACCTGCCACGTCTGCAGACAGCAGCAGTCTGCCATCGCCAGACAGGAGTTAGTTGTAATTAATAACGAAACCGCCATTATTTATGCATTTGACAAAAGAAGAATGCAAAAAAAAGAAGCAAAACAAAACAGATTTAATATGTTTTAAATTAGAAACCTGTTTGCACACTCATCAATTAAGGCAACACTCATTTACATATGTATGTAGATATATGTGCTGCTCTTGCGAACTGTTTTCGAAATACTTCTTGCTTCAATGCTTGGCAAAGTTCACTGAAGACTGAGAAAAGAAATTGCCCGCGGGCATCAATTGAATTTGATTGATTTTAACGAAATGCGAGTAAGAAATACTTTTCTCAATTAATTGAGATGCCAACAACAATAACAACAGCAACAGCAACAAATAGTCGAGAGACAACACACAAATCATCAATGAAATGCAACCGCTGATTGCGTCACGTGCTGTCAATCAAAGCATTCGCTTAGAATGGGAGCGTAAGCATAATCGGCATCGGCATCGACATAGTTGTATCGGCATCGGGGTATCGGCATCAGCATCGGAATTGTCAACGTGTGTGTGTACATTGCTCCGTCTCAATTCACCAATACACCATTACCTATCCCATCATATTTTTCATTCTCTTTTCGCATTTACAATATTTTTGTGCTGTGCTGATTCTTCCGCTAGTTTTGTTTGCTGTTCGCCAATTGTGGCGTTAGATTTGCCTCTTTTTTCGGTACTTTTTCATACATGTAGCATACCATCACGCATTTATATGCACGTTAATATTTATTGTTTCATTTTCTGTTGTTTTTGTTTTTTTCCGTTTGACAAGAGTGCTGTTAAATTCGCCCTTGATTATATCTGTATATTCTTTTTCTGTACTTTTCCACTTATACTTGAGTTTTATTTGTATGGGGGTATATATGTATGTATGTATGCATATATATTTATTTCTATATGTATATATACCATAGCATCAATTATTTATATGGACTGCACATTAACATTTTTGTGATTCTTTTTCTGGTTTCGTTTTTTTGTCTCCGTTTTTTACTGTCTGTATATATATAGTATATATGTACATATTTCTGATCAGTCTACCTTTGAGTATATATTTAACAAAGCTTTTTCTGTTATTTCTAAATTAGGAAATTCAAAAGCGTGTTTATATTATAATAAAAATGTATATAATGCAGGGAAAATTGATGCAGGTGCACTGAACCTGACCAGCTTTATGTAATTTCAGCTGCTGTTTGTGATCGAAATACTTTTTTCTGGAAAGAAAACTCACATACAATTTCACAGTATGTTTAAATTTGACTTCTCTTAAGTCTTGTTGCTATATACATAATGTGAATTATGGAAGCTATTCGCATCTATTTTTAACACACACTCTATAATCTTTTGTTTATTTATTCTTCATAGCAGATTTACATAATAAGCTTGGCTCTATTTCAGTCATTGCATTCGCATTTGATGCTGTTTGCCCAGACATTTGTAGCTTGTAGATACAGACGAGGTCATGACGTCACATGGTGTCTCGTCTTTGTTGCATATTGTTGCGCAATTGCTCAAGCCACATGGTGCACGTGTCTCACATTAAACGCACTGTTCGGTTGCGCTAAGCCCTGACAACATCTAATGATATATATATACATATATATATGTATATAATATATATCGCATTAAAGTTTGACGGCTTGTTTGTTTAGTCGATAGTTACTAAATTGATTGTTGCCACACGATTGTCGGCATTGATAAAGCAAACGAAAGAAATGGAAATACATACATATTAAGTACAAAAATAGCACACACTAATTATAGCAATAGCAAAATCAATAACTTACCGTTACCGTTTCCACAACTGTCAGCTTCTTCAGATGCTCCTCCATCAAAGGAAATTATCAATATAAACCACAACAACAAAAGCCGATGCTTATCAAACTGATGAATCGCCACGCTTTCGACTATTTATGGCTGGCACATTAATTAGGCGCTGTCAATAGATAATAAGGACACTAAACTGATCTACTTTTAGTAATACAAATACCCAAATCTTACTTGAGCACTTGAGCCATGTGTAGAAAGTATCACTGAATTAAATTCCTTGGCTAGTTAGCGTTTAAAAGTGTTTATCACGTAATTGTTGTTGATGGTGCTGTGCGCTTCAAATTGTAAATACAATTAGCCCAGACGATCTTGGGCTGCTAAAGATAGCCGCTGCTACTGCCGCTGCCGCTGCTGCGGCTGCTGCTGCTGCTGCTGCTGCTGCAGATGCTGCTTGTTACCGGTTTGAGCCGGTCCATGCTGGCGTTAGGCAGTCTACTCTGCCGTTAAGCCATTTTAGCCATTTTGCAAGCCATTTAGCCGTAGCCTTTAGCTTCAAATCTTATCAACAAGCACTGCTGAGCGCTGTGAAAAATAACTTTTTAATATTTGCATGGAGCGCAAAGAGGCTCAATAAAAAAAAAATCATTTTGTGATTGTGGGTCTGAATTTACACAGATTTGTTAAAATGCGCAAATCGCACATACGCCACTTGTTACTTACCATTTTAGCAAGTAAGTGTCGTTATTGTCCATGTATGTGTGTGCGTGTGTGCGTGCATATGTGAGTGAGTGTGTGTGCGTATATGTGTGTGTGTGTGTGGGTGGATGATGCTGTTGCCGTGCACTGAGCAACCCAAATGCCTTTTTTGTACTCATGACTTTGTTTTCATGCCCCCAGTTTCGAGGTAAACAATTTGATTAAGGCGCGTGTCGATCCAATGAAATCGTTTACCGATTTTAAGCCCAACGTAAAGGTTGTTTCTCTTGTTATGGTTGTTCCTCTTGTTGTTGCTGTTGTTTTCAGAGTGTGGCCCTCGTAATTCAATAGTTTAATAACATTTCGTCGGACATTTGAACGACGATAATATTATTTCACATATTTCTCATGAATTTTATACTTTATACGTTTCCATAGAATATTCCATTTGTTGATACAACGAGCAAGCCTCACTTCCATTACATATGTAAACAATTTGAAAATGTTTTGAGCCAGCAAACAATGTATAAAAACAAAAAAAAACAAACAAACACACAACAATTATGTGCCTCGATGGCACCTAAAATTAGATTATGACTCACATTTTTCGGTTGCTTATCAATTATTTTATCACAATTCAACAGTTTTGGCCTTTTTGTACTGCATTTTAACTCTGTTTCTCGCTGAATATGTTTCGGCTACTAGTTTATCATTTCTTCTTATCAGTGAAACAAAACTCTGTGGCATTTGTTTGAACAGAGTTGGGTTTTTTTATTTAATAGGTTTTCCTACCGCATGGGTTCGCCAACTAATTGCTTTGGAGTGCATTTGTTGAACTTGCAATTGACTTGTGATAATTTATTAGTTCCCAAAAACCGAATGCGAATGAGTCACAACCAGAAAAAGCAGTCGTTGGGTCAGCTGCTTATATCTCAAATAACATAAACAATTGATAAATGCAAAGAAATACGCATAAACAGAATCATGAGACTATTTATAACCATGCTAGACGTATTGCTATAATTTCAATACATTGCCTAATACTTTGATGGAGTCATTAAACTGTATGTTTTTAAAAATGATTAAAAGAAATCTATTTAGATACATCTTTATCAAACAACTAACAAAAGTAGCTGAAAGAAAGTCAGAATGTTCTAGGAGGTATTCAAAACCTAATTTTAAATATATTGTAGACTTGCTGATAATAGTTTGATCAATATGAAATAAGTTTAAATTGATAAAATCTAAAATCTCATGTTAATTGTTGATATGTCGGTGTATATTATATGTCAAGGCTATATCCTTACACAAGCTTATCAGGAATGTAAAGTTGAGATTTGATTTATTATCTTACAGGATCTGAGATGTTTCTCATACACAACTTTATTAGAGTTTACACTTTCCTAATGGGCTTAGGATATGATCACTCTTATCATAAACTTAAGTCTCATTAATGTATTATTGATTGGAAGACATACAGAAATTTGATTGTCATGGGACACACGTACTTATCTAGATATTTTCTTTATTTTATTTTCTTGATAAATATTTGTGTTGCCTAAACACTACAAATCACTTGGACTTCGTTCGTTGTGTACATTGTAATTGCTATCATTTTAATTGCTATCACTGTTGCACATTCATTTTGCGCTGTCAGAGCCAGCGAATTCCATTCCAAACGAACAAAAATCCCCGCTTTCCGTTCCGTGTGGGTGTGTCTTAAGTTAGGCCAATTTATTTGATAAGCATTATTAGCAGGGCTTCCAAAAGTTTCGTTATCGAACACATTTGGAATGCGTTGCACGCGCCCCAATCTTAATATGAGGTATGAAGTCCTTTTTGTGCATTACGTTGGGGCGATCACGTCGACCATTTTGTATGAGTATGCCAATACATCTGTGCCCCCCGCCCCCACACCTACCACTCCTTGCCTCATTGCTCCATGCCACATTTCGAGCATTGACGTCAGCGGCGCGTGGGCTTTAATTGTCATCATTCGTTGAGATTCGGTTTTTTCTTTTTTTTCTTTCTTTATTATGGCTGTTGCTGCTGCTCTTTTTGTTTTTATTCTGGTTGTTGTTCTTGTTGTTGTTGAGGCTTGTTGCGACAGCCTCTCTGTGTTGCCTCTTGCCTGTGTTGTCTCGTGTCTGTTTTGTTTCTGTGTAATTGTTGCTCTCGGTGCACAAACAAGCAATTAAATGTGTAACCTGGACGCAGGGTGATTGACACAGTTCTGCCCAGTACTATGGGCGCCATTTTGCTAGCTGTCTGCTGCAAAGAGAGCGCGTGATTTGCTGCCCCATATATCCAATTAGCTAATTGAGCAGCAGCAACAACAACAGCAACAAGTATTTTTATATTTGTTGCATAGCTCTGTTAGCCAATTGTTGTTGTTGTTGTTGCTACAGTTTTCCGTTTGCTTTGACCTTTTTTTGTTGTTGTTGTGTTTTTGCTGTGACATTGCACTTGAAATTTATTTGAGGAAGTGTCATTGTTCCGAGTCTATGCCGCATGCATAACACAGCGACAGCAACAGCAACAGCAACAGAAAAATTCAATAATAATCAAATACAAATACGCATCAATTGTATTTAAAATTGCGAGCAGCAGCGATGCAGCGCCCAGTTGGGCATAAACAAGTATATAAATTCATAAACATCTCCATAAACACCCACGAAATTAGCGTGATTTATTTTTAAATACCGACCGCGCCAGCAAATGAACGAAAAAAAAGTAGCAGTCAAACAAATAGATAGATAGATACATATATGTGTGTATTTTGGGCTTACGCACGCCGTGTCTGCTGATAAGGCCAGGTTGGCTGCGAAATCGATCAAGTCAGTATGTCTGCAAGTCTCTTGCCTGGCCTGACCATAAGTTTGTATAGCCTATTGTTGTATAATTCTTCACACCTTGTCGCACTCGCGGCATCGCTCTCACTCTCGCTCCCTCTCCAATTCTCGCGGTCCTTCTCGCTCGCTCTCTCTCTCTCTCTGCCTGTGTGCAGAATGGCGCTCGTCTTATGATCGATTTGTATTGTATTGCGCAGGCGTGCTCTCTTTCTCGCTCGCTATCTGCAACGCTCTCGCTCTCTCTGTCGCTCTCTCGAGACTTTTCGCATATAATTCGCGAGGTCGGCTGAAATGGATTTAATCGTTTTTCGGCCTGCGTAAAGAAAGCAACGTTTTCATATTCTAGTGCTTAACAAAAAATAAAAAAAATACAGCATACAAAAATACAACATACAAAAAAAAAAAAACACTTGTACAAAAATGATGCGAAAATCGCATTGCAATTAAATTGTGATTAACCACAATTTGAATTTGCAAAAAAAAGAAGAAAGACATAAATTACAAGATATTAAATCAAGTTAATAATAGCAGCTTTCAACTTGCCTTAAATTGGCCAAAGTCGAAAATTTTCAATTGACTTTGATTGAAAGTAATTGCATCAGCTTCGCATGACGTCGAAAAGCTGAAAAGTGATTTCTTAGACAATTTGTGATAAATTTATTAAAATTGTGATACACACAAATATATATATTATATATATATATTAAGTATAGACTGATACGCTTATATTTTTAAACGTTAACTCAACTTCAAAATGACGCCCAAACTTATTACATATTTTCTGGTAAATATAATAAGCGTGCACTAATTTATTGATAACATTTTCTAAGAAAATAATAATTGCGCAGCTAGATCAATTTTTCTTTTTATTTTTTTTTTTGTTTGCTTACATAACACGGGAATGGAGAAAACAGATAATTAGCTTATACAGCTGCTTAGCACTTTGGGAATATATTTGCCCAGCTTTGGCTGTTTTTTCTCTTGTACAAATATATACATATATATGATTGATACAATTTATGGCAAACATTGGGCCAAGTCTGTTTGACAGGTGGCATATCGAAAGAATTCCGTTTCTCAATAAGAAGAAAACTTATAGTTTCTCATCTAGAATTCGAACTAACTTTCTTTTGTGACTCGTTGCAATTCTTGCAACATAGTTTAGACAAAATACTGTTGACTCATCGATTAAATTTATATATATTTAATCTGCAGTTTTATAAAACAAATGTCACCCAACAATTGCAATGGGAGTTTAATTTGTTCACCTGTTCACCTGTTGCCCGTCGATTACTCAAGTCAATGACTATTTGCAGCATGACAATGCGAATCTAGCCTTACTTACTCATAGCGCCTATATTAACCCACTTAATGGACGGCATGACATTTTGCAATGTTTTGTGTTCAATTAATATTTATAATTAAGCGTTTAGATCGCCTTTGCTGCGAGTTGTGCCAAACCGGCCGAAAGCGGTTTAATTCAATTTGCAATAGCGACTCGTGATACTCGATTCTCGTGTCGCAAGACAATTTCAATAGTTTGCTGATTGGTTATTTTATCCTATTGATTTTATTCTATTCGTTTTGTTTGGTTGTGTTTTGCAGTGCGGCATGCGCCATCCCACAACAGGCCTTAACGAAGACGACCTGAGTCGTCTCACTGGTTCATCCTCTTCATCATCGTCAGCTGGCGCCAATTCCTCTCCCGCCTCCTCGTCGTCATCATCGTCGTCGTCGTCATCATCATCATCATCTTCGTCCTCCCCAGCCGCACAGGCTACGCAGGACATTAGCGATGTGGCACAGCACACATCGCATACGCATACGGAGGCGACAACGCCACGCTTCAGTTCCACCTATTTACCCGAAATCATAAATCCACTCGAATGGCAAAAGTCACGCAAACGCAAGGAGCGCCTCGACAGCTGCTCGGCGAGCATTCAGGATCGCAAATTGCAACGCAGCAACAGCGAGGAGCTGCTCACTGAACCCGACACAGCAGCTGAGTCCACTGCAGCAAACACACCATTGAGCAAACACAGCGAGGTGATTAGACGCGTCTCCTCTGAGGATTTCAAGCGGACCGCCAGCTATGCCAGCTATTGCCGTGAATTTGAGCGCGATGCGGACTCCGATCTGCCGGAGCAGCAGCAGGAGAATAATGCGTCGCTCGCCAATGTTGCCACACTCAATCACAATACGGACTCCAACAAAGATCGAGCCCGCTTCGAGACGAGTCCAGCGCGCTCCGAGCATCTGCAACAGCTGCAGTCGCAGCAGCAATCAAATCGCGAGACCAGCGATGACAGCGAGTGCGAACATGAGCGTCGACGCAGCAGCGAACGCTTCTGCAAATCCCGACAGCCGCCGGTGCGCAAATCGGGGGTCAGCAAGAAGCCCAACACATCCTCCACGGGCAAATATTTGCCATCGCGACGCGACGAGCAAAGCGCCTACAAATATGATTTGTCTGCCTTGAAATACGAGCGACGTGGCTTCATCAGCAGCAAGAAACAGCAGCAGCAGCAGCAGCAGCAGCAGCAGCAGCAACAGCAGCAACAACAGCAACAGCAGCAACAGCAAAGCACCGCAGCAACAGTTGCCGATCACAATGACAACAATTTGATTGACTTCCATCAGCAACAGTTGCAGCAGCAGCAGCAGCAACAGCAGCAATCCCAGTCAAAGCACAGCACCAGCATCTCACCCACGCCGACGACAAGCAGCTCGTGCAGTTCGGCGGGCAGCGATGACAGCACACCAAATGCCGCACCGATCAAGGCCAAGCCGCCCCAGCGCCAGCAACAGACACTCAACTTGACCTCCGCCCAGGAGTCGTTGCCGTGGGTGCGTGGCGATGAGCCAGCGCCGGTTTTGAGCCGGCGCTACGCCCACTCGCGTCATCATGCTGGCGAGAATATAGATGCAGCCGCCAAGCTGTCCAAGGTGATGCCCTATCCACAGCAGCTGCCCAAGCAGGCGGCCAGTGTGCAGCAGCTGCTCAGCGAGGATATGGACTGCATGGAGCCAATGGATGCAGCGCGTGCGTTTAGCTCGCTGGAGAATATTCGCACACGGGATGTTATGCAGCAGGTGGTGCCGGCCATGATATCCTACCAGACGCCCGAGGAGCGTGTCAAGGCCATCAACCGTCGCGTGACGGCGTTGAAGAAGAAACTCGTCCAGCTGGAGGATTCGCTGGAGCAGCGTCTGGGCTACAGGCCATCGCAGGCGGAGCGCTTGAATGATAAGTACATGAAGAATGCGCTCGCCGAATTGAGCAAGCTGCGCAAGGAGCGTCACGAGCTTAAGACTGATCCCATTGCCGCCTTGGGCCTCAAGGTGGGCAACAGCGGCTGCGGCGTCGGCTGCGGCAGCGGCAGCGGGATTGCAGCTAGCGGCCAGGAAGCGGCCAAGAAATTGGAACGCATGAAAAGCACTCTCAGCGAAATCGAACAGGTAAGCAACAATTAAAAACTAAAAAAACCACTCAGCATCAAGTCACGAGACAATCATCCATGTTTGGCACGACAAATTAACACGTCAGCAAATTCATTTGACGGTTTGTCAAGTTGGGAAAAATTTTTTCACAACTGAGAAAAAGGCTTTGCGCACTAATATGACAGAAATGTCGACAGAAAATCGTTGACAAAGGGTGAGCATATCTTATATGTCTTACGTAGTCTAATAAAAATAATAAACAACAAAGGAGACTTGTTACACTTGAAAAACACTTGAGCATTTGCTGCACATTTTTAATTATATAACATTCTCAGGCATTGTTGTTAATCATTAACAATAATTGGGACAGTTGTTCTTATTCATTATCACGTGACTAATTATTTTTGGAAGGCCTTTAAATAAAGAACACATTAAAATCAGAAGCAAGTTGAACTGATAAAACAAAATTGAAGGACGCAAAGTCCAACATACAAAATTTATATCACGTATACGCCCTGAAAGATATGCTCATTTTTTATATTCATATTTATTGCTCTTGTTTGAAATCATATGGAAAATATTTTATGAATAATATTTTTCATATTGCGGGCATATTTTGTTAGAGCTGCTAAGAACAAATATAATTAAAAACAATTTTCTTAAGAGGTGCCTTAAATAATGTCTCGGAATCAATATAGATCTTTATTTTGACAGCGGCAACGGAATGCTTGAATTGTTTTCATTCCTTATAAGTATATAGTACATACAGTGTGTTACAGTTCATTTCGGGCAGTGTCTAGCAAAAATTTTAATTGCCTGCCATTAATAAATTATCCAATATTTTTCAAAAATTCCAAAGACCGGTGGCAGGTACATATATTAACCACCATAATGGATATATGACCCCCATAAACTGGGGTTTCCCCGCCGGCTAGGCAGGGTTAAGTAAAAAAGTACCTGAAAATATGGTTACATATTATTTCGGGCAGTGGCATTATGGACACCTGGGTGCCATAAAACCCGGATTTTTTTACGCCGGGATGATTATTTTTGGAATAAATAGACCAATCCTTCGTAGTCAGTTTAGTTATATCCTGCATCTCGGGTGCCACCAGCCAACAAGGACTATGGGCAAACGGACTACCATTGAGCAACGGAATCTCATCCTGGAACACTTCAAGATTGGATATTCACATCGCCAAATAGCTAAAATGGTAAATCTAAGCACCACAACTGTATTCAACATCATTCGACTCTTCGTCGACGAAAATCGGATAGAGGACAAGGGCAGAAATGCACCAAACAAGATTTTCACCGAAGAGGAGGAGCGGAGGATCATCAGGAAAATAAGGGAAGATCCCAAGCTATCGGCTCCAAAACTGACTCCACAGATGGAGGACGAAATGGGGCAAAAGTGCAGTGTGGAAACTGTGCGCCGGGTTCTGCGCAACCATGACTTTAATGCCCAAGTACCACGGAATAAGCCCTTTATAAGCGCAAAAAATAAAGGGACTAGGATGACATTCGTCAAAACCCACTTGGACAAGGATTTGGAGTTCTGGAACAAATTTATATTTGAAGATGAGCCCAAATTCAACATTTTTGGCTCAGACGGACAAAATTATGTGTGGCGACAGTCCGATACTCAGCTGAATCCAAAAATCCTAAAGGCAACAGTCAAGCACGACGGAGGAAGTGTCATGGTAATGGCATGTATCTCGGAAGCCGGCGTGGGACATTTGGTGTTTTTTGAAACAACAATGGACAAGAGTGTGTATTTCAATATATTCAAGGAAAATTTACTCCAAAGTGCCAAGAAGCTAGGAATCCGACGTACTTTCCGGTTCTACCACGACAACGACCAGGACAAAAGCTATGCATAAGTCCGGATTAGTACGGTCTTGGCATATCTGGAACTGCCTCCACATGATAATTCCACAGGTCCAGCCTCCAGACTTAAATGTTATTTAAAATTTGTGGGCTCTGCTGGAAAATAACATCCGGAATCACAGATCCGATCTCAAGAATGCTCTGCTGGATGAGTGGAGCAAAATCAGTCCAGAAACGACCCGGAAGCTGGTATCTTCCATGAATAATAGGTTAAGGGGAGTTATTAAGGCTAAAGGATATCATACTAAGTATTAACATCCTTATTTAAGTTTTTATACGCCTAATATGTTACTTTTCCAAGACTGTTCCAAAAAAACTGTAACATGTATTTTGGATATGTTTTAAGTTTTGACTAATTTTAATTAATTAATTAATATTTTAATAAAAACTGAAGCTTCCTTTTCAAACGTGATATAACATAAAACAAATTGGCATTTAAATATTTTGCATTTGTTTCTTTGTTTAAACTTTATAGCACTTTAAAATTTTTTCTAGACACTGCCCGAAATGAACTGTAAGCCACTGTATATATGTATTTAAATACCTATATTTAACGATTTGTTTCGAATATGGCGCAAAAACATGTGTTTATATAAGCACAATTTTATGCACTACGTATTTTATGTGTGTGTGTTGTTTTTTTTTTTTCGGACCGGCCTCCCTCTTGCTTTGAAAACAGAAAACTTGATGACTCGCCTGCTGTCATACGACAAAACAAACAACTTGAAAGGCTGCCAAAGAGCAGCACAGCACGGCACAGACGAAAGCAGATGAACAAACCGGGCAAATAGCAAAGTAGAAATATTTGATGGGGATGTAGAATGTGTGTTGTGTGTGTGTGTGTGTTTGTGTGTGTGTGTGGGGGGGTGACAGTTACAGTCACATTAAGTATTATGTACATTGGTTTTCTATTTTGGTTTCGCGCATTTTCCGTTTGGCATTTTCCGCGCACATAGAGCACATCGAATAATGCCTAATGCATGTCGCTGATTAATTGACTTGTTTACCAATTTGCCTGCCACTCTATTTTTTTTCTTCTTTTTTTTTTATTTTTTTATTATCAGTTTTTGGGCATTATATGGGCTTCAGCGACACATCGCTAAACATGACATTTCGTTAATTACAATTTCATTTTTGTCTTAAAGATGATTGATGGGTTCGAAATGGCGTCGTTTTCTTTTGCGGCTTCCAATGAAAAGCCTTTCATTAGCGCCACTTTTATTTGTTTATCATCCTTTTTTTTTGTTTGTAATGTCCAGTTTATCTATCAGGTCACTAAACTTCACATGTATTTAATGACAGCGGCTTTCTGTTTTATCATTTAAAGTTAGTTGCTCACATTTTTCATGTCGATAAACATTTTTGATTTGAGATAACATATCTAAGACTTTCTTCGTCTTGTTATTTTAACAGAATCTCAGCGAGAAACGCACGCAAAATCATCGGCCGCAGCCATTGGACGAGCTGACATCCGTTCAGTTGGTGCAGGAGAAGAGCGCCGTGCAGCATGGCCTGCTGTATTTTGAGAGTCATTACGGCCATCCCGTTACCAAGGAGGAGCGCGATGCAGCGCGTCCTCTCTACGATCGCTATCGTCAGCTGAAGCGTTTGGTATCGCGCAGCATTATGTTTGGTGGCGGCACCGGTGTGCCCGAGCTGCCCACCATACTGGAACACGAGGCTATGGTCTTTGAGGCAACATCGACACCGCTGCAGTATTCATCGAACAACAGCACTGAGACAACAAACTCACCCAGCGACTCCATGGCGCCAAACACTCAAACACAGAATGCTTCCTCCGATGAGTCTACCACCACCACGACGACAACAAATACCGCAACGGAGACGCACACCCAGGCGGAGAATATAGCGGCACTTAGTGTGGATCAGCTGTGGGAGCAGCTGGATCGTGTACGCGATGAGAAGACACTGCTCAAGTCCACCATACGCGAGTACGAGTCCATATTCGAGGATCAGAACGGACGCAAGATGTTGAAGATCGATCGTAAATCCCTCGAAACGGAGACCTATGCTCAGTATAAGGAGAAGAAGGCAAAGGTGCGTCTGTTGCAGGCGCTGATCAAGAAGCACATTGGACACTAGTTGGCAAACAACAAAATTGATCCAACTACACACACATATACACACCCACACACACACACACTCATTCAAACTATTTATTTCATACCCGTAAATTAAGAATTATTTCAATATATGATTATATACATAAACATACAAACAAATATACAGTACTTACATAATTATATATATAGTACTTACATAATTATAAAAAGAAGAAAGAAAGAAAAAGAAAAAAAAACAAAAGAGAAACATACATATATGTAGTTTTTAGATTTACATTTATCATATATTCTATTATGATAAATTTTATGAATATTGTTGATTCCTTATTGTTTTTTGAAAACATCTATACGATAAAATATACATATAAAACAAATACAAAAAAAAAAAGATTATAATATGAAATTCAAGAAGCTGCAAGCAATTTGGTTCTCAAAGACAAACTCATCTTAAATTGGTTCATAAGCAAGAAATATATATACATACATATACATATATATAGGTATATTTCCTACATCCATATATCATGCAGACTTCAATACGGAATTGATATCTATATATTGTATTCGAATAACTCCTTGAGCTTCGTATAACTCTTTCAGTCTATCGTCATTGATGTTAAAAAATGAATCTTCAATTTTCGATGAAATTATCATTCTTTATGTTCGTTCCCCTTAGCAGAGACCTTAAACGCTCTATATATGACTGAACCGCTTTCAGACATTTACGTATTTGAAGAAAAAATAGAAGAACAAAAAATAAGTCGAGTACATTGACATTATTTTGGAATAAACGATTTCAATTCACATATTTTTGCACTTATTAATTAGTTGTAGAGTTCTATGTGTGTTAAAGCATAAATCAAATATGAGAATATTAATATTTAAAAGAAAACTTTATAAATGTTGTCTATCCACTTTAGTCACAAAATTTTATAACGCTATCCAAATACTACATACATATTTATAACTATATAGATAAGTGTATATGTGTTTAGCAATTAAAAACGGAAACATTTACTTATCATGCTTGCAATCAAACCTTTCAGTGTAGGCACACACACACATACACACACGCACACCACATCACATCACACCAACTTGGTAGATACACGTGTGTGTAGAAAGGAAACGGAAGCAGCTTCTATCAGCTCGATAGCAACCAAGTGGATATCGATAAATGCATATGGCGAGAGGCCGATTGCCTGCTTGCGCATAGTGCTAATAATGGTTTTGTGTTCGTTTTCGGTTGTTGTCCAGGATCTATTGAAGGTACTACGCATATGCGTATTAATATATTAATGCATACATATATGTCTACTATTACGAGTATAAATTTACAAATACCAAAACAAACATAACGCGTATACAAAACATATTGAACTCAACATTTACAAACATAATTATTCGTATATTAAATGCATGATGGCAGCGTATGATGGTTCAGAATGCGACAAATACTCCAAGAAACAGTAAATGTCTATAATATGAAATGCAAAATAAAATATATCACGTTAATATAAATAAAAAATTGCATTTATTTATTCAAGTTCACATTGTACATAAATGTTTAGTCTACGGCGATGAAGAGACTGGAATAACCGGGTTGTCCGCCTGCAATAAACAAAAGATTGGAATAAGTATTTTCTTAAATTAACCACTTAAGTCTGTTATTTATTTGTTTTTGTCAGTCGTGTGTAGTCCACATATATATTCGGTTATATGCTTGTCAGGGTTTGTTCATCAATTTCTCTCATCTCTTAATAATTTAAATACTCTTCATTGAGCTCACCTATTTGCAAAAACTTGTTTTACTGGTCTAAAGAAATTTCGGGTATTTTTTTCCGTCTGCCTGCAATTAGAAGATAAATATTATTTCAAATGTGTTCAACAAAACAACAGGTAAATTTGAATTTATTATTTTATCAGTATATAAAACCAATCGTCATTGTTAATTCCGACTGGGGCGGTATATTAAAGCATCACTTAGAAGCGTGGCATACATTTCAATAATTATAATAAAAAGTTACCTTTTGTTTTCCTCAGTGCCATTATTATTCGCAAGACCGAGCACAATGTTCTAGTCACCTAAAAAATGTATTGAGCATTGATTATATGTTTAGAGTTACGAAGTAATCTACTATTTATAATTAATCAGCTTATTTTATCATCAATTATTCTTATGACAGGGATAACTGTTTGGCTTAAATAAGGTGTTCATCATAGTAAATGTTTTCTATAAAATTTGACACTGATTTCAGAACTCACCTCATGGAACGCAGAAAAATTCGATTGCTCTTCAAGGACCAAGAAGCGTAAACTGCAAATGAAAACAAATATTAAAACCAATTGTTAAATATACTAACGCATAAGCATATAAAGTGAATTTATTCAGACCAGTTTATATAGCAACATAAAAAATTCAGTTATATGCTTGTCTACTGTAATATCATCACAATAAACAAAGAATATATTAAATCGGAACGAAACTTACATTTAGTTCAATTTCTTTTCACATTCATTGATAGAATATTCTCCACCGAAGTCTTGTGGTCTTCAACCGCAACTGAAATAACAATGATTTTCATTAGTTATAGAAATAATACAATCTGAAGATCTAATTTGCTCTTTTATTTCGTATCAGCTTTTTGTATCATCAATTATTTGTTTATGACAGGGATAACTGTTTGGCTTAAATAAGGTGTTCATCATCGAGTTCTACACAAAGTCAGTTTAATAATTCTTTCTTAGCTCACCTTAGGTACGGGAACAACTCTGAAGATGGGCCTCTACACGTGGGAACTCCATTCTGAAATTTACAAAATGAAATTTAACTTTTAGTACTGTCAAACACAAGCGAATAAAATTGTATTTTTCTTGTAAATTTTTTATCAGAATTGAAAACCAATCAACACGTCTTTTCAGACTGGGGCGGTATAGTTAAGCATCATGGAAAAATTACACTCGTTTTAATTAGCGAGCTATATTAACTACAGTCAAACACAAGCGAATACAGTTGTACTATTCTATATTGCCGGGTAAAATTGAGTGCATCGAAACTAACCTCACACTCCCAGGGAACACGTGCTACATATGCTTTTTCGGGGCGCCACTAGCGGCGATACATTTTCCATTTCCTTCAAGTCATTGCTACTTTAGCTATGTTCTCCAATAACTCTCCATCTGTAAGTAATACAATGAATGCATTAAAATAGTCTTCAAAAATAGATGTGCAAAACACGTGTACATTTTTATCAGAATTGAAAACCAATCAACACGTCTTTTCAGACTGGGGCGGTATAGTTAAGCATCATGGAAAAATTACACACGTTTTAATTAGCGAGCTATATTAACTTACCGTCTTAATTTAATGTTGATTATCTACTCTCAAGGCACTTTTAATTATATTTTGGGGAGCGATCGAGGAAGCCAACTTTGCTGTAGCTGTGTTGCAACGAAAAAGAAATGCTGGAGGCAATGTGGTTGCAGACTTTAAATCGATAAGTGCTCATCACATATTATATGGCGGTTGGCCGATAACATGCACAGCCAACTTAACCATACAGTTGAAACGTATTTAGTGAATGGCAATTATCGACATGTAATACTCGATTGAAAGGAATAATCGATTATTAATGAATACGCGCGTTTTTGTGAAATAACAATACTCGTTTTATAATGTATTTCATTTAGTTTTAATGCTGTAAATATGGAAAGTGCTATTGTCATGGAACAGGAAGAGGAGCAGGAAGTGCAAGTCAGCATAACATTTGGCGAATTGCAATTCTTCGACTGCGATGACATTTCTACATGCGTCCCAATACAATCCGCACTGAAGATCTGCAGAAGCAGTTTGGAGGATCTAAGTGCTAAGACCGTTGATGTATTGAGTCTGTGGCTGCGGAAACTGCTTAGAGCCTACATAAGTGAGGCCGATTGCTACATTGATATTTTCAAGTGCCTGTATGAATGGTTTCAACGACTGGTAAGTGGAGTGTTTCATCATCAGATGAAATTGTTGCTAATCCTCGCTCATTGCAGAAGAGCGATGTGACTGCGGAGAGTGATGGAGCCTGCAGCGATTTCATTACGCTCATTGCGGATGCCCTGAGCTTTGCCGAGTGGGCTAAGCAGAAACTGCTGACGGCTGGCGAACGTTTGGTGCACACAGCATCATTTTTCCTACTGGGCATTGTCTACAGCTGCCTGCAGCTGAGGTACGACCGAGATTCAATGCAGATTAAGCCAACTGCTAACTAATGTCTGTCTGCAGCAACGAACAAAATGTGGAGGCGCTTAAGCAGCATGAACCGTTGGCCATCGAGCTGCATTTGATTGTGTTATACCTGCTGAAAGAGATAACCTCCACGTCCAACAAAATACATCCTCGCATTACGCCACGTATGCTTAAGTTATTTAGAATTATTTAATACATATATAGATTTATATATATTTTTGATTAGTGCTGCGACAGCTGGTGGATATTGCTGATTTTCTTAGTGTTAATATGACACACCTTCATGCCTTTGTGAAGACCGGCAAAACCATGACAAACATTTGCACCCATTACGCCAAATGTATCGATCTGAGCCAAGATGATGGCACAACCATGCCCGACTGGCTGGAGGAAACAGTTATGCATCTTTGCGACACAGTTCTCACACACCTAGAAACTGTTTGTAAAGAGGCAAGTCAGAGTATTCAAAAGCATATCGTTTATTGCGTATTTATTTTTTGTGCGCTTGCAGGACACACCGTCAGTTCCGGTGGACAAAATTGAAGAGTATTTGAAAGTTACGCAGGTCTACTTAATAATGTTGCACAAACTATTGGGCTGTGGTGTAAAGCATATGGATACAGATGTTTTGGACGACATAGTGCAAGTATTGAGTCTGGGTGAAATGTAAGTTAGAAACGCCTTTGATCTATTCACACTTGTGATCATCCCGATTTATTTGCTTAGCAAACGAAAGCATGACTTAGGCCAAGACTTACATCAGCTTATAGCCAAATATGTGCGTCCAATTACACTGCAAATTTTCGAGTTGTTATATCAGCTGGAAGATTTTCAAAAGGTAAGCTACTCACTTTGTTATAATTTCTTGTGTTTATATTTTAAATACGCTTTGCTTATAGTATCTGATTGGTTGGCTATCGAAGCGCGAACAGGTTGATGTGGATTGCTTTGAGCTTTGTTTGGACTATATAACTGCGACCATCACTGATCGGGCAGAAATTAGTCAGCCTACTTGCAAAACATTGCAGAAAATATTTGAGTATTTGTTCAAAGGTAGAAATTACTTTATGTAAATGCATTCAACTTGTAACATTTAACACTGTTTTGCTTTCCACAATAGATGCTTGTCATTTTACCAATGCCGCACGTTACAATCGGATTCTGGATGCGTTTGGCACTCTCTTGCATGTGACTTGCTCCGCATCATTGATCAATTACTTTTGTACTGGACTATTTGAAGAGGATATCATAAAGTCTCAAGTCTGCTCCGATGTACTCACGCTTTGCTTTCGGTTAGTCAAATGCTTTGATTTAATTTGTAGTTGATTTATAAATTGAGCTTGTGGTTTTACAGTCTGGAAGAGGCGAATCACAGCTGGAGTAAACCTGACGTCGTAAAGGCAACGTCCTACTGGATCAAGTGCAATAATTCATATGCTATGTTCTCACAGAACTTGAGCCAGTTGCACATACAGCGCATGCTCAAATATTTCCACAGATTAGGCAACAATGAGATGCCTATCTTTAGCATGAGAAGCTATCGTTATTTGCACTGTGTGTCGCCCAGAACGGAGCAACAGAAGCGGATCTTGTTGCTACGCTTGCAGCGTTTAATAAAGGAGCCCTTGAGCGACATTCAGCAGTATTACGAATTTGTGAGTGAAACCAAACTGAACTATGCAATTTGAATTAACCGATATTCCATTCGTGTAGTTGGCGCTCATGGAGCTGCTGCCGTCGGCTGAAATTGAGGGATTGCCTCACCTATGGTCGAAAGTGAAGGAAATGATGGTTGGCGACAAGTGCAAGCATTTGGCCAACACTTACTTCAAATTGGCTCTGCAATTTAGCCCAGCAACCAAGCTACGCATATTGCAGACAGCAGAACCATTCCTGTCAAAGCCTGAAGCCAACAGCTGTTGGTACATGCAAAAGTTTTTGCATGCCTGCAAACGCAACGCTGATCCGCAGCTGAAGTCTCTGGCTGAGCAGCATGCAATTGACAAAGATTTACTATCACTTTTGGACGCGCTGCAGCCAGTGTCAGTTTCTAAACCAAGCCCGAACAAACTTCATAATGTGAACTACAAATTAAGCTGTAGAAGGCAACATATGCATCAGTGTAATTTGACCAGCCTAAAGCGCAAACGTTCACATATCGAGAAAAAGGAATTGATGCAACAGCTTGAACAGAATTCACAGCAGTTGTTGCAGTGCTCCACGGAATTGGACGCATCTGAGATTGTGCAGCTGAGGTGCATTTTTGAGAGGTTAAAAAACATATTGTCACAGCATGAAATTCCTAATAAATAAATTAAAACCATCTGGAATTCTACCAAGCTTGTTCAGTTCGTCTTCGTGAATTAAAATGCCTGGGATCGAAATGTTGAATGCATATAGTTTGTTGAGCCCAGACAATACTTTATATACCCGCAATGGATGCTGCGGTAAAGCTGACAATGCTGCCGGCAAGAAAGGCCCTCACGGCCACTATTTCCGGTTGTCGCGTTGATGTCATTGCGGTAAGCGTCGCTATCAAAATGCCCAGCGAACCGGGACTTACAAACCGGAATTAAGCGATGCTAGCGCTACGCGGCTGTAAATGGCATGTCTTCTTAGACAGACTTCTCTGTTCAAATATCGTATGCATGCCGAACCCATCTCTATTACCTTGTTGGTGATCATATCACCCAGGTGCTTATAGCCAACAAACTCGTTGATGATTGTCTTTTGAGCGATAATTAATGCGACCTTCTCGCAACCTTTGGTAACAGTATCATTTAAGCGCTTATCGATAAACGGCTTAAATACGAATAATAAAAAATAAGGAATTCATAGCCGTGGCACCAATTGAAGTGGCATAGAATATGCAGTACAAATACTTCTTCACGTGCCACTAGCATTCCTAGCCATTATCATCGGCAGATGTTGTTAGGTTTCCCGAGGGTTTTTCGCATTTCATTGTGTTCCTATCTAAAGCATGTGGCATGGCTGCCTTAGTTTATATGTACGATTGTGTAACATTTAAAATAAAAAATGAAAACTATGTGAAAAAGCACATGCGCAATGACTTTTATTATTCTTAAAGATCGGGACTCTTCCTTTGGCTGGTCATCTTCATTGCGCTCCTCCAATTCCTGTATTTGCTAGACTAAAAATCTACACTTTTGTCACGTTGTGTTGTCCCACTTTTTCGAGAATATTATTAACGACATAACTCTGATCCTGAATTAAAATACCTGAAAAATATAAAGGAGCAGTGTAAGTTAAAATGGAAACAAGGTTTTTATCTTGTTTGCCAAAGTGCTCACCTGCGAAACTGGCAGATATAAAGCAGACAATGCTGCCCACAACAAAAGCCCGAAAGGCGACCGAGGTGATAGTGGACCGGCGATGGGGAGCCATCGCGCTTAAGGAACCAATGAGTATGCCCAGGGAGCTGGGATTGGCGAAGCCACAAATCGCAAAGGTGGCAATGCCGGCGCTGCGAACCTGTGCATTACATCAAGGTCAGTTTCTATAAATTATACGTTTCGAATACGAGTACTCACTTGAATCTTCTCTTGGGTGATCAACTCGCCCAGCCGCTGGTAGGCGACAAACTCATTGATAATTGTTTTTGTGGCCACAATCTTGGCAATATTATCGCAGTCCTCCCAGGGTACGCCCATGGCCCAAGCTAGCGGTATGAACAGCTTGGAGAATATCCACTCAAAGTCGACCACTTCGTGACCAATTAAATACCCTAACCAACCGACAACGCCATTCAGGAAGGCGACGAAAGCCACAAATGCAACAATGTTGGCAATAATGCCCAGAACAATGGGCACGGCATTTGAGGCGCCACTAGAAGCGGCATCCAGCAAAGAGGAATCCTCGCTATGGAGCAAAAAATAAAATATATATATTTATAAATATAAAAATGTACAAACTCCATTAGAAGTAAACAATGCATTACTAAAAAACAAAGCGCAAAAAGCTGTGTACTTAAAATCAATCGAATTGTAATGCATCATTGGAAATATCAGTGATTTTAGTGTTCTGAGTAGAACCAGTAGATATTTCAACAGATCGATTGAATTTACATTTTATATATCAACTTACGATTTCTCCAACTGTATGGTATCGCTTGAGGTCTGGCTGACTTCCGTTTCGGGCATGTACAGCTTGGATATGGCCAGTGTGGCAGGTGCCGCCATCACGGATGAGGTGATCAAGTGGGCAGCGTTTGCCCCAAATGATAAATACGCGGCAAGAACAGTGCCGGAGACGGTGGCAAAGCCCGACACCATAATGCTGTGTATTTCGCTCTTGGTCAGCTTATTGATGTAGGGTCGTATCAACAGTGGACTCTCGGACATGCCCAAAAAGATGTTGGCCGCAGCAGTGACGCTCTCACAGACCGTGGTGCCCAGTATCTGTTGCAGTATCCAGCCGAGCTTGATGACTATCCACTGCATGGCGCCCAGATAGTATAGCACCGATATGAAGAAGCTGAAGAAGAATATCACGGGCAGTACGGCAAATGCGAAGACCGAGCTATCGATGAGAAAGTCGCCAAAGACAAAGCGTGCCCCGTCAGTGGCATAGTCCAGAAAAGTGGCCACCTTATTGCCCAGACACTCGAAGATCTGGCGACCCACCTCCCACCGTATGCATAAGACGCCCAACAGAAACTGACAGGTGATTCCAGTGATCACAATGCGCCACTTGATGGCGCTGCGTTTCGTGGAGAAGATATAGCCGCAGAATATGAAGAAACAGGGCGCCGTCAAAGCGATCAACTTTTTGGGCTCCTCCTTCGTCTCGAAGAACAGAAATGTGACCAAAAGTATTAGCAATATTGCTACTAAGGCATACGAAACGACTCTATATCCAAAGAGAACATATTGGAAATGTATATATAATTATTATATAATTAATTTATGTATATATATAATTAAATGCATATGGAATAAAAGTCAACGTACGGTGTTCTGCTGAACTTGTGCCATTTAAGCGACGCTGGATGCAGATAGTTCGTATGCAAAAAACGTCCTAGTTTTGGCTTAAATATCAGATAGTAGAACAGTCCGATATAGATAAATCCCAAGAGCAGGACGAGCATTCCATAGCCAGAGCAAAAGCGTATGCCACATTCTGACTGATTAAAGTCATAGCAGTGATAGTTTTCTGATGATGTAGAAGTGTAAATAAATTGGTTATGTTGAACAATTTTGAACTTGAGTTTAATACGTACTCATATCATTATAGTGATATGTGGCATAGGAAAAGTATACGACAATCGCAATGTGTAAAATTAATAGAAGTCCTATTTTCAACCATCGATGCCATTTTTGGTTCTCTTGCTCTCTTCGATCTCTTTCAATGGCACCATCATCATTTGTATAGTCTTCATAATCAGTCTGTAAACAATTTGAAAATTAGATTGAAGTGTTTTTTTTTTTTTTTTTAGAGAAGCATCCGATTACCTTATATAATTCAGGATTTGGTCTCTCTAGGTCAGTCTGTAATAAATTAGGAGGCACCATTAAATCTGATTCTGTTCAATTATTTGTATAATATGTACATACATGATCTAGCTCAAACGCATTGTTAATGGTACCTTTATTGTCCATCTGCAATTATATAAATTCGATTTCAACTCAATTGATAACAGTATTTATATATAATCTAATCTTTGTTAATCACGGAAGTATGATTAGAGTACTGAACAAAGTTGCTCTTCGCTAGAACATTATATGTAACTGAAATATCGTAGATAGATTATAGCGATTAATCATACCTCACGTGGATTCAATTCAAGTGAAGTTCTTCACTCAGTTTAGTATAATAATACTACGCGTGTATAATAATGTTTTTCCCGAATAATAATAAAATTGATTTAAAGTATCATAAATTAACAAAAAACGGCATTGACTGTTATTGGAATTTATTTTTTCCTGCACAGCAAGATAATATAATCTGATTTCGAATGAACCAAAATCCATAAAAATATACCCTTCAAGATTATAGTTGAGTAATTACAGTTAAAGATCACACTTTAGTTTAATCTCAAAAACAATCCAATTAACCCTTGAATTATTAGGGTTCAGGTTTAGGTTCAGGTTCAGGTTTACATTGTAACTGATTGCCATTAAATAAGATTTACATCAACAGTCAATCTCAAAAAGTTTAAAACAACTCAACTTAAAATTTCAAGTGTGTCATTTTAACGCTGCCTTTGAATTTACGGCAAAATATTTATAATTGGTGTTTGTGGGTTTCTCTGTTAACTATTTAAACCTTATTCAAAACACTTGTATAAGCACATATGCACACACAAAAGTATCTGGATACAACTGGGTCTATAATTTCTTTACTTAGCACTGTTTTATTTGTGTATTGTTTTTTATAACCATTTTACAATTTAAGGGGTAATTCACCTTTTTTCAAAATGCTTTTGTTATTTCGGTTGTTGTTTTTTAAATCATTTCAAGCGTTGCAAACACGTTTTCAAAGTCACTGGGCTAATTTACAGCCTTCGTTTGTTAACTGTCCGTTGTCGGAGTTGTATGCTATGACGTATATAGATATAACGATGTATTAGTTAGTGGAACATCGGCTGCGGCTCCATTAATCCATTATAACTGAACGACAGTCACGGCTATACTAAAACCTGTAACTGGTTAATGCCGTTTTTTATATGCCTGTTTTGCTAATACCCTGTGGCTATAAGACATGCAAAAAGGGTATACTATAAAGAGATGCGAATTAATGCAAAATTGAACAAATTTTTATTAAATTAATATAAGTTTGTCTAAAGTTTATACTGGAACTATTATAATAATATAGAGGGTATCTGCTTGTTGAGCGTTCTTGCCTTGTGGTTTGGGCCTTTTGCAATTAAAATGCTAAACAGCAACAAATTTCACAATAAGAGTGCTATATAAGCTGCCAATTACGAAGTATTTGGTTAGCGTATATATCTATACGTATGTTGGGTCTTATTGGTGCTTATCAGTAGTAGGTTGTTAAAAGCGAAATGAGGCACACGAGTGCCAATCTTGATATTTTCAGGAGGTAACTTCAGAGTTCGTAGAATCTGTCAAATAATATTGCGAAATAGTTATTATATCAGGGGTAAATCACAGATAATGAGAGAAAGAACGAGGGTGAGAGAGAAAGAGAGAGAGAGAGAGAGAGAGAGAGAGAGAGAGAGAGAGAGAGAGAGAGAGACTGAGAGAGTCACAACTTCTGATTGAATTAAGCCAACATAATATAATAGCTAATCATACATGTACATTTGGTATTATATATGCTAATCTTTGGTAGAAAACTGACGACATGTAGTCCCTTTTGATAAGCTCAACACAATCGAGGATAGTAATTTATTTATTTATAGTCCATATGTCAATTGACTTTTGTTCAAGTGGGGATTATCAATAGTAACTTGATTTCAAGGCATCTTATCTATCCACTTATCAAAAGTGTCGTGAAGTGAATTCATATCTGCTTATTGGCATTGCTTTAAATTAGAAAATAAAAATATATGTGTAATTGTTGTAAACACTTGTTGTTTCTTTCATTTTTATTATGTTTGCAGGTATATTAAATATAATCGTAATCGCACGTAATTTGCCAAGAAATACAACTCTTACTTGAGTTGTTTAGCGTTTTTATTTTATATAATATAAAAGGTGTTAAATTTAATTAAGTAAAAAATAAACATTACGAGTTTTGAGCGGATAATGCAAATGCAGAACTTTTAGTTCCAGCAATAGGTATGTACAGAAATCTCTGAATAATTATGTGAGATTAAAAAGTGTTTTGATATCCAAAATACAAAATATGGACTTGCACGACTTGCAGCTCTGATATATAAAAGGAAGGCACTTTTTAACCTAGTGACTTAAATAACAAAACTAGTGTGTGTGTGTGTGTGTATGCATTTGAATGAATATATATATATATATATATATATATATATATATATATATATATATATATATATATATATATATTGGATGTGTGTGCGTATAAATACTCATGGGTTTATAACCAACTGAAAGTGCATTGCCCTTGCAAATAAGCTTATGCATATATATATGTATATATATATATATATATATATATTTTGAATTTTAATTTCGATTTTAGTTATTACAACTATTTGCTAGCAAGGGCGTAAGGCTCGTATTGTATATCGTATATATTTGTATATTCATATTGAAATTAATTTGAGGTTCCAACAATTCTATGATAATTGAAGCAAAAAATTCGCAAAATTCAACCACATCTAAATCACAGACTCCTAATATAAGAGAGATTTACAAATAATATGTGTACATTTCTAATTCTGCATATATGTCGTATTTATACTCTCAAATTAAATACTAATTTCGAATATTTTAGGTCAAAATATTTAACTTAAAAAAACAATACTCTAACATAAATTTATAAAATAATTACAAAAAAAATATGCATGACATGAACTAAAACTAATTAAGTCAACTGGCCCTAAAGATACAAAAACAATAAACTATTAAAGACCAGCATGTAGGACATGAATCGGTGAATGCATGCGCAATGGAATTGTTAATTGTGTGCGTGTGTGTATGTATGTGCTTGTGTGTGTGTGTGTGTGTGTGTTTGAGCTGAGAATTTACTCCTCGTTCTGCACAACATGGCGATGCTTGTGATGGTGATGATGATTGTGGTTATTCTGATGATGATGATGGTGATGATGGTGGTTATGATGCGCTCGCAAGTGATGCTGCGATTCCGATTGCTGGTAGGATTCATCAGCATCTATTGACGCACAGTCTACGGTTTGATGATGGTGACGCCGGCGATGATGATGTATTTGCTCCAACTCCTGGCTATCGATCTCGCTGTTCTCCAGATTGTTGTCAATTGTGGGTGAATTTAATGTGGTTGGTTCGGTGTTAAAGTGCTCCCTGCTCCGCGATGGATTGCGCACCTGATGTTTTAGGCTTTCAAGCTTTCCATTGGTTTGGTTATCAAAGCTCTTGTCCATTAGCAGTCCATTACCCAAAAATTTGACATCTAATCTTGGGCAACTGCAATAGATAATGTTTTGTTTAATAACTTACATTTGATTTGGAAATTTTTTTTAAAACGAATTGGAGAAAAACGTTTAAGTAGCTAAATTCATTTTTTAAATATTCATAACCAGGTGGCTAGGTATGAAATCAATTTATTTCTAAACTTATTTTCGAAGTCATAAAATTTATTTACAGCCTGAAGATATGCAACATATTTCGTATAAACTAATGGGATGAAAAATTAAATATTGCCTACTTTTCAGCATAACGTATTTAATTTTTGTATATAATTTTCTTAAACGGAACTTATTGCAAATTTTGCTTTAATCATTATTAATTTATTTACCTGGGCAATGTGCTGTTTTCCATATTAGGCAAAGGCGTCCCGGGTCCATAGACGGACCATGGGACTGCAATATCTGTAAGACACATTTAAAAACAAGCATTAATACCAATTACAACTATCTGATACAAGCATGCATAAAAGCGAACAAGAAAACTAAAAACACTTTGAAAAGCATCAGGCGAGAACAATGGGCAAACATGCAAAAATAGCAGCAGCTTAACTAGTCCTCAACAGTAATAATAACAACAACAATTGACAAAAATAACAACAGCAAGAGCATTAACAGAGTACAGTTATACATTAAGCGGATGCTGCAAAAGCATCAACTGAACAACGAACGCCCAACGGTGCGTATGAGCAATTAGCATTAGTAGCGAGCGAAACTGCGTTTTTGTTTTTGTTTTTGTATGTGTGTATTTGCATATATCTTACCAACAAGAAACTGGCGACATGAATTCTATTGAATACTATGAATAATTGGAATTTGCTTGCGTCCGCTTGAGAAATTTTTGCCAAACGAATTGAATGGCAGAAGTGGGATTGGCGAATTTCAAAAGAGTGGCAACCGACACCGAATTCTAAACTAATTTTCAGCAGATGTAAAACGTGCTTGCCTTAATTACAATATTTGTATATTGCAAATATATATGCATGTACATATATGTATTGCTTTCTTAAGCATTTTTCGCAATTAAATGAAATCGCGTGTTTTGGAATCTGGCAATTTGCTTAGCTTGTCAAAAATTATTGCGACGAACTTCTACGTTTTACATTTTAGCAGACACCTTAAACAAACAAAAATTTTAAGCGCGCCACAGCAAAATGTTTTTTTTTTTGTGTCTGCTTGGTGTCCGGCCCCCACGAGTAAAAGGGAGACGCAAAAAAAAAAAAAAAAATGGGAGGCTTGTTGAATTATTAAAATTGTTTGGAGTGTAAATAAGTGCGAGCCTGTTATGTCATAAAGAATTCTTAAGTTGGGGGCCTGGCCTGCAGCTGATCGCGAACTATGAAGAGAGCGGATCTTAAATTCTCAGTTTGGACTTGGAATTCCACACATGTCTGGCAGTTAGTTAAAGCTTGGCTAACAACACGCTTACCTGCCTGATCGCAAGTGGGTGGCTGAAAGTAGAGACCGGGCAGCAGTTGATTCTCCTCATCATCGTGCACCTCAATCATAAGCAGGCCAACAACAATAGGCGGATGTGAATGTAGATTTTGTTGTTGCTGTTGTTGTTGCTGTTGCTGCTGTTGTTGTTGTTGTTGCTGTGACCAGTAAGTGAGGGCACACTTGACATCGATGTCCACCCAGCCGGTCTTGGTGCTGCTCAGCATGATTGTGTTGCAAGTGCGCTTCTTGCGTTCTGCAGATGAGTAATGCAAACGAACGAATAAAGGCGATTTTTTTATTTGAATGTTAAGCTGGAATTAGATTTTATTTACGCACCTAACTTACGTTTCTTCTTCTGCTGATGCACAATGGACACCGTGACGCGTATCTGTGACTCGAGATAGGATTCACGGCACAATGTGGCAGTATCCCTGGCTGCTGCTGCTGCTGCTGCTGTTGGTGTTGTTGCTGCTGTAGCTGGCTGCTCTAACTGTTTGGGATTCATCTTGAAGAGACGCAGTATGGCGCTGTCCAGATTGAGATTATTATCGCCATACTGCTGAAAAATGCTGCTGGCAAATTGTAGCGTAACATTGCTGGACTGCCTCCAGTTGAAGGGAGTCGTCTCCCCGCTGCATATGGGATAGCCGGCCTTCTCGTGCGTCGACTTATTTTGCAAGGGCGCAGCCTGGCTATCATTGCCATCCGGCTTCGATACCGCATTTTGTATGCGATTGCGTATCTCGTTGGTCCTGCAATTGAACAATCAACATGTTTTGTTTAAACTACGGTCTGACTACGACTAACTAACTAACTAACTAACTAATTTGGCTCAAGTGTTTATGTAAAGCCCACTTAATTGACATTTGAGCGCTGTCGTAAATGGCGCACAACCAACAACAACCAACAACAACAACAACTTTTGATACATATAAGAAAACTTGCCGTTTAGCGCTGCTTTATAGCGCATTGATTCAATTTATTCAGACAGACAGTAAGATCAACGTGAACGTCTAGTTCTTTATAAGCTAATTCTTTTGGTTTATTTTTGATGTGGAAATTGGGTTGTGAGTCTTACGCTCAGCTCTCAAGCAATAAATAGAAACTGTGTAGTCTGTCTGTTTAGCGTGCCGACTACGACTTGAAAACAACATCTTAAAGCTGACAAATAGTGCACATTGCTAAAGCCATAACTATTACTTTTACTAAGGCTAAAGTTTTGCTTCTTGTAAAATGCCTGACTTAATTCGGCAACCAACTAGTAACATTCTTATTCATTTGCATTTTCCGCCTGTATTTAGTTGTCTTCCTAAACATTCCTCAGTTTCTAAATCAGATCTAAATCTCCATTCAATTAACAAATATGCGACTATCTTAAAAACTCACACAGTGAGCAGTAAGTGACAAGGGGGGGCAGAGAGATATATGCGAAAATGAAGTACACTTAAAAAGCCATCGAGACGGTCCAACAAATGTTCCAGGCAGCGAGAGTGAGATGGACAGCAATAGTTGGCGCGAATCCAACTGAAGCTATGATCTAATCTGGCACGAATACAGCCGCACAATGGGACAATCGTGTGTGTGTGTGTGTGTGTGTGTTGTCTGTCTGGAACGGTAATTGAGACACGCTTTGCAAAAGTAGCGCATAAAATTTTTGCCCAGAAAGACAACAACTATTCATAATAATAATGTTGGAGGGAACGCAAAAATCAAATGTGTTTAATAATTGTTGGTCATGCGGCCAAACAACAAAAATGCGAACAGGAAAAAAAGGCCCCGATATTATTATTTGGCATAAAGTCGAACTTGTGATTGTTGTTATCGTTGTTGTTGTTGTTATTGCTATTGCTCTCACGATAATTGCTGCCTGAGGCGCATTTTGTCTAGCCAAAATAATTATGGGAACAAGCACTGAAAGTGAACCAAGCCAAAGCCAAAGCCAAATCTGAAGTGGTAGCCAGCTTAATACCAAGACGAGAGCCATAAACGCCTTTGGCTTATTAATGTACTTATATCTTATATACACTATATATATATAAATAAATTTTTTTTTTATATTTTTATGCTGAAGTTTATGCAACGTGCGATCGGGCCAAGGAATGCCTGTCAGACAAAATTGCCGTTGAGGAGTTACGCTTCGACTGTCTGCTAACTGCTGTGGCATGAACTTGAAAACTCGTTGTTGTTGTTGTTGTTGTTGCTGACTTGCGGTGTTCAGTGTTCAGTCTGGGGACTGTCTAGACGCCTTGTTGTACGAGGTTATGGTTTTTTTTTTCTTTTTTATTGGCTAGGCTAGAACAGCAGTAGCTAGAGTCAGGCCAGGAGTTTAACAATTAGCGTGAGTCACGCATCCCAAACTGCAACAGCTGCGCTCTCTATCTCTCTCTCTCTCTCTCTGTCTCTCGCTGTCTCTCTCTCTCTTCCTCACTTTTTGTATCGGTCGTTCATTGAGCATGCGCCGCGGAGTTGGTGCAAGGCGCAGGTGAATCTCTGGCCTCCATTCCCAAAAAGTATTACTTAAGCTGTTTGCTCTTTGCATGTAGCTCTAAAGTGCAACAGCGGCCCCGCTAGCCCCTTGCCAGCAATTGCGCCTTGGCTTTTGTCGTTGGTTTTCTTCTTGTTTGCCTTTGCCAACAACATCGACAACAGCAACAACAACTCATCTGTCTGGCTGTCTGCCACTGCCACAACCGACGTCTCTGCCGCAGCCGCAGCCTCAGCCAGTGCCTGTGCCTTGTGCCTTGTGCCACTCTGTGTGTGCGCATATACAATGCGCGGCTAGACGGTGTCTCGCCGGCTGCACTTCATTATCATGCGTCGACGAACAGTAGTCCGCAGTCCGTAGTCCGCTGTCCACAGTCGGCAGTCCGGCCAGTCAGTCAGTCAGTCAGTCAACGAAACTCTCAGACAAATGGCAACAGTGACTGGCAGCCCGTAAACCGCGTCGCTTAGTAGCCACAAACATACGCCTACAACAGCATTGCATTGTGGGGAAGTAGAAGAACGAGAGACTGTATGGAGAAGGGGTTGAAGGGGCGAAGGGGGCGAGTGGTTAACAGAACTATGAGCTCACAGTCCGAGCTTGCGTTGTAGACCGCGTCTGGGCAAACATTTGACCATGTGCTGTGTCCCATGTCTCGATATTACTCATACGTCATCATAATTATGACATGTCGAGCGTTTTGTGTCTGCGCAGCCAGCCAAAGCAATCAAACCAAATGAAACAAGAAAGAACAGTTAGCTGAGCGATATCGATGCTTGAATACCCTGCTATTGAGCTTGGCTGCATTGCCATACATAATATGATCTTAAGCAGGAGCTGCAGCCAGAGGGAAGGGAAAATTCAAATGCCAAAAAATCATGGAAAATATTAAAACTTTTAATTTGCACAGATCGTAACAATTTTAGCTATAAGTTCACCAAATTTATAAAACATTAGCAACACAAAACCAAATAGCTCCTAATAAAATTACTTCATTTACGAGGGATTGTTTCAATGATAAATTTGGCTGACTTCTACAAATATTCTAAAAAGCAACATAAAAACAGGTCGACTACAGATAACAAATGTAGAGACTGAGATCAACATTACTTGAGTTCTATTATTTGTATAGTATTTTACACATTTCCGGACTGACTTGAAATACCCTCTAGAAGAGTATAAAAACAATTTGAATATGCTTTCGAATATTAGCTGTATTTTAATGTGTATCTGGGAATTAATCAAATACTTTATTCGGTGCTTCTTTTGCCTCTCTTTCTTGTTCTTGCTGCAGTTTGTTTATTAAATGTGCAACAAGAATATCATATTATTATGTATATATTTGTGTGTGTGTGGTGCTGTCTACCCATGGGCCCCCGGCGTCTCGCATAGCAACGACCTACAAAAAGTTCATTAACGGAGCCAGCTAGACATGGCCCAGACTATTCCCAGACATTTGCCAGACAGCCGGCCACAAATACGCAGAGGCCGGCGACGGAATTCATTGCAATTGCAGCCAGACCGTCTCAGTATGCAAATGTGTGTGTGTGTGTGTGTCTCTGTGTGTGTGTGTGTGTGTCTGCTTTGTGCAGCAGTGCCCTCTAGTTGTATGTAGTATCTGATAAGCAGGCACAGATACAGATAGAGCAAAAGCAATACTCAATTGGCAGGGTCTTTGTTTGAAGCGGATAGATCTGGAGCTGAAATAGTTGGCACAGGTGTTAACATCCATCAGTTAAATAGACGCCGGCCAAATCTTATCCGATTTAATCAACAGACAACCACTACTTAAGATTTGAGAGTATTCCGAAATTGATTAATTGACCGTTGCTAGACATGTGGAAAATACAATTGTTTCGCTTGTGTTGGTTTATTGTTTATTAATTTGGTCCATTGGCTATTCGGGAGACCATGATAAATATTAAATGAATCGAAGTGCAATATCAGCTATATAAATACGTATATACACATATATATATATATATATATATATATATCGATATAATATTTATTATAGATAAACTTTCTGGGGTTCTTGGCCACATTTGCGAGATGCATATGGTTTTGGCCTTGAATTGCTTTTGTGTTTTGGACAGTTCATGCGGCGCCAAAATGTTCGCTTAATTGGCCAAAAATTATAAAGTAGCAAAACGATTTGTATACGAATATTTAGTAAAAATATTCCAAAACACATTTAATTGCAACGTGCACCCGTTGAAATTCTCACACTTTGTTTATATTTCTAAATTTGCAAATTTTATATTTCGTTTTGGGTTGAGTTGAAAATTGCTTTTAATTTTTTGCTTCGGCTCGTTCTTTTATAGAGATCTATTCTTAGCTGCTCCAAGTATTTCAGGCGACAATAGAAATAGCTCATGATTGACAGTTTGTTGGCAACTAATTTAGCCAGTCGGCACGCGCCGGACTGAGGCCAGACTTGAATGGGCACTCACCGCTGCATTGCCAAATGATCCAGTAAACTTCTCTTGGAGGCCTGTGTGGTCTCATCTTTGCCACTGGGATTGCTGCCGCTGCGTATGCGATTCACCTGCTCCTCGGTCAGATTGAACATGCCCCAAATGGTTCGATTATTGGGATCCACCACCTCGGAGCGCACATCGCCGTCCATGAAGGCTGCGCGATTGATGCGCCCAGCATGGCAGGACATCATCAGGAGCAGGCACACCAGCAGCAGCAACATCAATCGCCGGCCGCTACCCTCACAACAGCAGAGCACTAGACTTGACATTTTCTCAAGTTTTGATTTGTTCAATTTATCGGACAATTGGAGTCCGCAATGGAGTTCACAAATTGCTAATAAAATTTGCAGTTTTCACATAAAACTTTACAACACTTTAAGCTTGCACAATAGTTGTTATATACATTGTTTATATATTTTTTTAAACAAATAGTTTATCAACACTAATTGAAAAACACTTTATTTTATATGTTGGGCCAGCTTCAGAGGTGTTTGACGCATTAATTTCTTTGCTGATTTGATTTAATTTTCATGTATTTAAATTTTTTTTTTTTGTTGCCTTCTCGATGTGTTCACTCTAAGAACCAAGTATGAAGTGATTTGCACGAGTCGTTTTTTAGTCTTAAATAAGAAAATATTTGGTTGTGCCGGAGCATATCTACTTTGTTATGGTCGCAAACGCGCTGCGCGGCTGCACTGCGCGAAATGTTGTGGTTGTCTTTAATTTGCCTGGCTTATGAATGCTTTTGAAATCTTAATGATATTAAAATGATATATAACTTGTTTTAAATTCTTTTATGAGGTGCATAATTATTGTATAACAATATAATATAATAATATGTAATTTATTGTGAACATCATTTTACTAAACTAGATACATTTGCATATATAAAAACTATTGTTAAAGTCTTATTTCTAAACTGGTCAAATGATGTATCTTTAAATACATACAATGCTTTATTTGCATATCTATAACTTTCTATAATAAAATTAATTTCAAGATAGTTCTAACAATAGTTTAACAATCTCAAACGCTCGTCATGAGTTTTAACAAAGATAACGAAAGATTTCATATAACTTATAATTATTATAATTTTTTTATTTATGTGATTATTAATTGGCTTTCGTCATCTCTTTAGTTTTTTGGTAAACTTTAAAAATATTGTTTGCTCTTTTTTGGTATTCAATAAAACATGAACAAACAAACATAATTAAATAGATTATATCTTGAATAATTATTGCTACAAAAAGTACATAAAATTAACAATGTAATATGAACAATTTAATCTGCCAGAGGAACCACATTTATGTGGCAGTGTATACTTTACAGTGCTTCGGGCTGATAGTTCGTATTTTGTGTTGCCGACGTAACCGACCAATCAAAACAAACGTTGCCGATGTTGTTGGTGTTGTCGTTGCTGCTGCTGCTGCTGCTGTCGAGAGGATCTCTGCGTCGCCGTTGTCGGCAGTGCTGCTGCCTGCCTGCCTGTGTGTTTGTTTATCTTATCGGTGTGTCTGCCTGTCTATGTGCGTGTGTGTGTGTGCGTGTGTGTGTGTGTGTGTGTGTGTGTGTGTTTGTGTGCGTGTAAGCTCGTTTCTTATCGCACCAGCGAAAGAAAGTGATATTCGTATTGGCGTTGCCCATATTTCATAGCATTATTTTTCGATGTACTACTTAAACGTGAAGTGTTCCACCTGATTCTATCTTGGAATTCGATTTCGGGCATTTAATTACTGACCATATTTTGAACTTTGATTTCATTTCGCATTTTACTTAAGTGCGTAGCTGATTATATATGAAATTAAATTGGGAATTAGATCCAATCAAATTGTGTACACGCATTTTTTATAATGCCATAGTCTTGATTGTCATTGAGTTGGATATTTTTTATTGGTTCGCACCTAAATCTAGGCACTGGTATAATGTACTTAGATTGAGGTACTAACACATAGGCAGAGTCAATGGAGCCCACGTTATTTTTGCCTATCTCCAGAACGTGCTTTCTGATTAATAGGCATAAAAAGTGCGTGTTATGAAGTAGGCATTTTTATGACAACTTACATAATATATCTAACTAAATCGGCGGAAATAATCTATTATGGTGCGTATAGTTTAGGCGGTGCCTGGCACTGTCTTAACCCAAGCACGCCAATTCTATTGGCGAATTAAGTAAAGCATTTTTAAGGATATTTGAGAATTTTATTGTTCAGATTGTGCAGGATATGTTCAAAATTATTGAGATTCTTCCTTTATAGATTCGTAGGCTATATATAATATAAAGCAGCCAAGATTATTTGTTTATTTATATATACTTAAGATATCGCTTCTGTTCGAGAATTTATACCATTCCTAAGTATTTTCGCAGAAATGTTGTGTAATTTATACTCAAGCCTCAAGGCTTAAGCTCTAACAAGGAATGTAATTTTTGCATCCAAGCCCCACAGATACCTTTTTCGATCTCTATCCATATAGATCAGTATCCAATTACCAGTGGAAAGCGTGCAAACAGTTTTGAGCTACATACATAAGAAACGCATTCAATAATATTTGATTCAATTTGTGATACGGAAATCACACGCGAGACTTCAAGGACGTTCTTGATTTATTTATTTATTCTCTCTTCTGGTTCTACATCCAAATAAGAAGAAAAACACTGTTATCACATGTCATCATCGTATATATTCTTTTCGACTTTTTTTTTCTAAAATTTTGTGTTTGATTATTAGTTTTTTTTATTTTTTATTTTTTATTTTTGGCTGTCTGGACCAAATTGAATTTCAAAATGATTGTATAATTTGAAGCACTTTATAAAGTCTGGATTTCACACCGCTTAACTGGCTGTCTGGCTGTTTGTCAGACTGTCTGACTGTCTGGCTGTTAGCTGATATGTATTATAAGTCTACACATTGTTGACGCTTGAAATGAAATACCTACATATACATGCCATGGCAGGCGGGTGCGGAAGCGGGCTGGGCAGCGCGTCCAGACGTCGTCTGTTATGCAAAGTTGCAATCGCATCAAATGCTCAAAGATACAGATCATAATCTCAGCTGCAAAGAAGCCGAATATAGCCGGCATCTATATACTCTGAGCAGATTTATTTTTACAAAATATATTACTTACTTCAAATGGAAAAGAAGTATGGCACCTCCAGCACCTCTGAGAATCGAGTGAGTTTAATTCTACTCAGCCCTGAATGATATTTATTGTGTGCGTTTGGCATAGACTAAGTAAGAATATTATAGGTTTAAGTTTTTGAGACTTGAGACATCATTTAAATAAATATACGAATTTCGGAATAAAAATGGTAAATTTTTGGATAGGACTCCAAGAACCACATTTATGCATCCATTTATAATTGGCCAACAAAGATTTGTTCGCCTAAAAACCGACAACAGACAGGAGTTGGAGACGTCTCCCGTTAATGCGTTACTAACTTTGCGACCACATTATAATACTCTCAGAAAGGGTGTACCAAATAAGAAAAAAGAAACGGAACGAGCTCTGTCAATCGACAGACCCCCAGAAGAGCATTTAGGAAAAATAAGACATGCGCGCGACATTTGTCGAGACGTTTATATAATAATGTTTATTTATTTGACTTATTTAGACATTTGCATAGAATTTGCCCCACTTCGTGGACAATAAACGAAAACACAACAAAAGCGCACAAAATACAAACAGTCAATCAGAGGCAGTCAAAACTGTTATGTAGACGACAATTGGAATGCGAAATGAGTCAAAGCCAAACGCAGCGTTCGATTGTCCATTAATTTCAAGGCTAGACAAGACCACACGCAACCCCTTCGGCCACTCTGCTTCGTCCCTAACCGTTAGACAAACAAATGAAAAAATTGTAATTGGCAGTTAGCCTAGCATAGTGGTAGTTGATCTACCCTTTGATCTCGTCTGGCTAAAACTAATTTTAAATGGTCCCATTTTCTATTTTTAGTGGGAATGCTATCAACAATGTTTGACAAGGTGACATGCCTCATGCCAGTTAAACAGAGCATTTATGTGAACAATAAAACAATATTCAGCTGCGTTGTTCACACTATGCTACTGTGGTGTGCAATAAACATTCGTTTAAATTGCTCAGTTTAGCGCACCTGTTTTAATACCCTATATCCATTTAGAAGCGAGTAAGACAGGTGGCAAACAGTGGCAGATATCTCAAAAGTCCATTAATTCTTTCTAGTTATTGGAGTGCTTCAGGGTATGTCGTTATATTTTTAATTACCATAATTTTAACAGCTGAAATTAACTTATATGTATATCCTAAGTAAATTAAGTTAACTCCTATTAAACTTCAAACAATGACAATAAATTCTAAGCTCGTTGTGTGAAAATATTCACACTTTAGCTAAAAAATTATCAGAGTCTACAATTATTTTTTATTTAGTCTTTTTTTTAAGAAATAATTAAATCTATATATGAGCAGCTGGATTGCGGTCTGTTAAAGTATCTGAACTTCGCTGTAAATCATTTTATTTGCTTCACTATGTTCAAATAAATTAAAACAGTAGCAACCAATTAAGAACAGAACAAGTAGAAAACATTTGGTCAATAAACCACTTTATCTTTAAGTTGTGATTAACAATTATCAGAAAAAGTATCAATAATAGTTTCTTACGCATAGGCATATCTGTCACCCAACTACGGGAGCAGTCTTCTTATCGGTGTATTATTTTTGGGTGACTGAACTTGAGCACCCGATAATCTGCCAACCAATATATTCGAAAATGTTGTGAAACAATGTTGACCACTCTCAACGCATGAAATGTAGATAATTAAGCCTTTGCAAGCAGGTAATTGTGTAGTTGGTTTAGCTGAAGTACTCGAACAATGTATTTAAGCATCAATATAACACATAATTAATATAATTGAGAGTGGATAGTGAAGGGGGAGGCAGGCGTTGCATGAGATCACAAAATAATAATAAGACCCACAGCCGGCAGGTGAGGCAGAGGTGAGGCAAAGGAGAGGCAGAGCTGAAGCATTATCAGCAGCCGCACGCCAGAGGTCTATTAAAAGTGCATACATGATTTTTCGCCTGGCTCGACCAGACAGTCCAGCTCCAGACCAGACCAGACTTTGGGCCCAGAAGCAGAAGCAGAAGCAGACACAAACCAAGTCACCGGTTGTTGTTGCTGCTCGAGCGAACAGCGCCCCGCATTGGTTGTTGTTGCTGTTGGTGCCGGGTGCAGTAGCCGAATGCAGTTGTCGTGATTGTTGTCTCAGATTGCATGTGGAATGCAAAGACCAGGAGCCAATTTGTTATTGTTGTTGTCTTGCGTTGCGTTGCGTTGCGTTGTGATGTGTTGTTGCCCGCTGGCTGCTACCGTTGCAGCCGACACTGCGTGCTGCTGCTGCTGCTGTTGCTGTTGTTGTCGTTGTCGTTCAGCTGCTGCTGCTGCAGCTTCTTCTTCTTTTCATTATACCCTTTGCAGAGAGTTTTGGTATTCTGGGACAAAGTACTTGTCATTAGAATGTAAAGTGAGGTGCTTATACAAATCTAAACTTGATAAGACTATACTTAATAAATAATGAGCAAACCAGTTGGCAATCAATTTGCTTACACAAAAGAATATAGCGATAAGCAAATTAAAAACGTCAAAAATGATTGTGTTATAAAATAACTATTTATTACTATCACTTTTTTCAAATACAAATCAATTTTTCGTCAACAAGTTTGCACTTGATAACAATATGAATAAAATGCAATTAATAAAATATTTGTTAAATTCTTGAATTTTCTACATCATTCAACTAATTTAAGTAATACAAATATTTTATTTATGCAATGTTTATTAAGCAACAATCAATTAATCAATTCTAGATTTTTATATTCATTTTATATTTTCTTTTTTTCTTCACTTTAAATAAAGCAGTCTCCAGCTTTGTGAAATTGAAATTAAATAAATTGTCTTCGATTATGTAACACTAAATATCTTTTGCAGGGTATACAGTATTCGATGGCAAGCCAATTACATTTTATGCATTTCTGGTTGTTATTAATTTTCGTGTATTTTGGTTTTTTGGTTTTTAGGACTTTCGCGTGCCGTCGTTTGGCTTCTGCCCAGCACCAATCAGCCAGAGCCACAGCCACAGCCATAGCCACAGCCACAGCCATAGCCATAGCCAGAGCCAGAGCCAGAGCAAGTGCCACAGTCAGAGTCAGCCGGAATATGCGTCTGCAGACCCGAGAACCAGACCCCGAGCCAGACAGCCCGTCGCAGACGACCATGCAGATGTAGACGATGCTGACGATAGAGACAGAGACAGAGACAGACGCTGGGGCTGAGGTAGAGGTAGAGGTAGAGGCAAGTAATGTTGATGTTGGCATTTAAGCAGGCGTGTAGTCGCATCTTGTTGATTGTCAAAATTGACAATGAATGCGCTTCGCACACAAACACACAAACGCTCTCACACACACACACACACACGCAGTGCATACACATATTTGTTGTGCGAAGAGGGGTGTGCTCCAGTCAAGAGTGGTGGACAAGTGCATATATATCTCACATGTCTGCTGTTTGTCTGGAGGCCGTCGCAGACATTCGCTGCCTGCCGATGTTGATGTTGATGTGCATGTTGATGCCAATGCTGATGCTGTCCTTAAGAGTTGCAACCAAATATGGACCATTGCTGCCTGTGGCAGGTGAATAAGGTAGTCGGCCCAGACGCCTTGGCTGCTGTCCGGGCATGGGCATGGGCATAGTCTCTGCGCTCTGCTCGAGGCATATAGTTTGCTCAGTCTCTGCCTGCAGTTTCACACTTTGCATTTCTAAAAGTTATTTAAATGATATGCACATGCAATGCTGTAGTTGTAGTTGTTGTTGTAGTTGTTGCTGTTGTCGTTGTCTGGCTGCACTAGCTGTAAACTGAGTCTGCCAGCAATTATGAGCGTCTGGCTGTCTGCTTCTTACAATATTTTTTGCAACATATTTTCTTCTTTATCTCTTTTTTTTTGTAAGTTTTACATACAAAATTGTTATGCGCTCTTTTAATTATCTGATTTCTAAGCGAGGCTTGCGTCGCGTCGAGATAACAATCGCACATGTGCAGAGTTTAAAATTTCAATTTCGCCCACCAAATTGTCGCCGCTGTTAATAGCCAGTGTCGGCCAGTGACTAAGCAAAACATGGCCGGAGACGACGATGTGGCTCCTGGCTGTCTGTTGTTGTCTTGTCCATAAATTAATGCATAATTACAGTCTGGATAAAATGGAGCTGGTTGCCATTGCCAAATCGAGCAGCCAAGTAGTAAAAGTGAAAAATAATTCTGATTTCTAAAGAAAAAAACTAAATTACCCGCTGCTGTCAGTTCAGTTTTGTCTATTGAATAGGGCACCTGTTGCAGTCCATGGCCAGATTCTGAACTGAACTACTTACTGGCCAACTCAGTAAAAGCGAGTTCGAGCAAGGTGGGTAGATAGTGGCAGGAGCAGGAGCAGGCGGTCGGAGGGGAATTGAAATCGCAGCACGTTATTTTTAAGCATTCGTCGCGTAAAAGGCCATCAAATAAATGAAGTTGCAACCAGGCCTTAAATGGTGCATAAATATCTCAAGAAATTCCCCATTTGCTACGTGCATAACGATGCTTCACCTCCTTCCTGTCTCTCTTACTCCTTGGTCTTCTTCTTCTCATCGATTTGACTTGTTTGTTGTGTTTTTGTTGATATTATTATAAGTAAATACATACATAGATTTCAGGTCGTTCAGGTCTGTCTATCGGTCTGTCTGTCTGCTTCTTTATTTATAGGGCAGTCGGCGCGTGCCGGCACGCATTTAACCATTGTACATATAAGTATTTACAGTGCTTCACTCAGTCCACGTGGTTGCGAATTAATTCATTGTGCTGCAGTTGTCCCTGCAAGTAGTCGCTGTGGCACCGTCTAGCGTTAAGTGTGGCAAACTGAATGAAATATCGTTTATGGTAATTTTTTGCCTTAAATGTGTGCAAAAAGTTCTGCTAACTATGCTAATGACGACGGCTGTTGACTTCTATCTGCAGTTCCACACACACGCACAGGCCGTCGCACACACACAGGGTGTTTATAGTGCTTATACTTGTGCTCTTTTTGTTGCATACTTTGCGGCAGTTGACTTTTAAGAGCCGAATACTATCAAACTCCAATGCGAAATAAATGCTTAATCAAAGGCCTATCAATAATAATAATAATCAGTTTGTGTTTTGCCAATATTTTGTTTGTGAATTGCTTAAGAACTTCTCATGAAATTTGAATGCAAAGCTTGTGTCAATTATCTGTTTTCAAAGTTTCGGATATAAGCCAAAAAAGGACAGAAATGTTGACAACAGGACAAGTTTTAAAACAAACCAAAGAATTACAATAACTTAATTGGCATTTATGATGCCTGAATTTTTGCCACACACAATAATAATTGTTACAGTTCGAATATGAGGCAAAGCATTTGAGTATTTGATGAAACTTCTCAGCACGCGTTCGTCAACGCTTAACTTGTCATTGAATCATAACTAGTTTTTCCTTTCACTTAAGTCGCAAACACACAACTACATATTTATATAAATCGAAGATGTGTGACTTGCCTTGCAATTACGATCCGTGTTCGTGCATGCGCACACTTCCCGAAAAGGGTCGTACGTTCACCACACTGTTGCTCCACTGTTGGCAGCGTGAGTACGATAAGCGTCCGTATAAAAACTTTCAGTTTCGCCGTTTGGACTTTGAGGAGCGCATGAATCGCGGTTACCACTGTATACGTGATTTTCGCACCATTGTAAACTTCCTAATGCAACGCCGTTTGTTTTCCGTTTCCGTTTGGAGCGTGGTAGTTAGCAATAAGGATGTTCGACTGCTGCAGGATTTTGCACGCTCGCTGCAGAACGTGCCAAGGATTGAGTTGAGACTCATGCGACTGCCGCATGAGTTTTTTGTGATGCTTCGCCTGAGAGCGCACATAATGCAGCTGTCGGATCTGAGCTTGGAGGGTAAGCGAATGTCACCGAATATTTACCACACTGAAAAGAAAATGCAAGACATTTTTAACATCATTATTATCCACTATTAAATGGTATATTCTTTAAAATTGTAGTATCTATTAGAATAGGGATGGAATTTTAATAAAACTTAACAATATTTTCGTTTCGTTTCAGTCTTAAAATAGCCGCTTTCAATGTAAAGTTTTTTTTTTTAAGAATTGTTAACGTTTTTAAAGAAAACTCTCATGATTAAAATTGTAAGAATGACTTCGCCGATAATATTTATTCCAGTCATGTGGTTTTCTGTGCACTCAAAGCTAAATGATAAATCTCATCATTGCAGGCACAACATTATCCTGTAAAGCTGCAAGCATGCTCAGAGAATTTTTGCTGGCCAGCAAAACGCTGCACACTCTAAACGTGTCCAGCTGCAGTTTGAGCCAGTATAATTTTGCCATTGTGGCGGATGGGGTGCACAAGTCCAGCAGCATGCGCAATTTCTATGCTAGCCGTCTAATTGGGGAGAATCTAACGCTGGACACTGAGAAGATTGCGTCGATTGTGGGCTCGCTGCTAATGCAAAACAAACTGGTCGAGCTGACAATGCAGCAATGCGAATTTGTTGCCCAGGATATGGAGGTGATAGCTGAATATTTGGTTAGTCCAAGATGTGTGTTGCGTAAACTGAATCTGGCCTACAATTTAATATCTGCTGACGGGGCCATGTTCCTCATGGGTGGCATTGCGAAAGGTGGCACACTGGAGCTGCTAGACATTAGCGGCAATTCGATTGGGTCCCATGGCGGCGAGTGGGTGGCCAAATACTTCAGCTCCTGCTACATGCTGCAGCATTTGTATTTAAATGACAATAAGATCGATGCCGAGGCCATCAATCTTATACTGCTGACCCTTAAGAAGCCGTGCCGCATGAAGCGACTGCAGTTGTATGGCAACCTGTTTGATGCACGCACTGCAATGATTATGAGACGCCTGCTGGATGCCAAAGTGGTTCTGCAGGAGGAGATCGACATTAGCTACACGTACGACGAGGCGTTGCAGGACTATCGCATTGTGCCCTGGCGCTAGAAATGGGGGTTTCATGTGTTTTTTGTTCCTAATGTGCGATATTGAATACATAAATCTATTTAGTGATGCAAATATTTATTGTGATGAAGATTAGAGCAGGCAACTAGCGTTGAGGCAAGGAAAAAGCCTAGAAAGTAAAATGTTTTGAACACAAACCCGGAGCTATCGCTTATGTACATTTTGAGCATCACCAATTTTAGCAACAATACAAAACCGATAGTGAATGCTAAAAATAATTGTAATTAAATTAATGTTATTTTCACAAACAAACATTCTAAGCAATTACTAATCGTTAACCGTTTTTTTTTAAATTTTAGCGCCATCTGACAGAAGCTTTTTGCAGCTTCAGAACACGTGCGCAAAGCTGGTCAGCGAGCTCTCTCAATATTTTCCTTGCTCTCTTCAACTGTTGTTTTGCCTTTGCAACTATGAATGAAACGCGAAAGCCTGAAGTTGCCAGACTGTTAATGTTTTATGCAATCACTAAGATAAGTGCTATTCTTATGTTTAACGAAATATGTGACAAAAGCGTGTTAGAGTTCTCTGGAATTTAGAGATATTTATCTAAACATTGGGTTGATGTCAACGCATATTTGAACTAAGTCAGCAACGCTTTATAATAACTTGACAGTCTGGCAACTTTCGCTTTGGTTTCCGGCTATTTTGTTGTTATTGTGAGCGCGCAGTGTTTGAGTGTGACTATGTGTCTGTGCCTGTGACTGTGTCTGTGCCTGTGTGTGCATTATTGTTGTCGATTTCAAAGTCAAATGGCAACAACAACAACACAATGCGCAGCAAACAGCTGCGAAGCATTGAGCACAAAACTTCAACGGCAAACAGAACCCGAGACGAGGACAACATCGTCAGACGACAGGACAACGACGACGACGACAACGCCAACGTTATCCTTGTTGAGAGTTTCGCAATATATTTTTATTGCATCAGTCTCATCGAAAGCGTCGAAGCAACTAAATCGCCACCAAATCAAACGAAAAGTAAATGAAAATGCAATAAGCCAATCAAAAAATCTACTATAAACTAAAATCCGAGGCGTTATTCATTAATATTTAAATAAATTGCTAGTGCACTAAATATTAAAGTGATTTACCAAGCATATTATTGTAATTGTTCTCTTCGCTGTTCTTATCGTTGTGCGAATGCTCTGCGGCAATTAAAAGTGAAAGTGTTTCAGCCTAATTTTAGGAAACAGAACTTAGCTTAAGAATTTTGGTTTTGATATTAATATTAACTTAGTATTCTTTAATTAAATATTAATTAAGTATTTGGATACGACTATGAAGAAATTATTTGTTAGAATAATAATAATAAAAAAAATACGTAAAATGAATAGCCAATGTAAATCATAGCAATGAAATATTTAAAAGTGAGAAAGTTAATATTATTTTACATATTTGTGTTATCGTTTCCTTTTCCTGTTATGTTCCTTGCACTTTCAGGTTGCTGTTGTTTTGTTTGATGAGTTTTAAAACAACATTTTCTCATGGCCACTGAGTGCAACTAAGTGCCGCAAAGCAGCTACAACCGAAACCAAAACCAAGACCAAGCACCCACCTAAACAGAACTCAGCCCAACTTTACTCAGCTAAACTTAAATTAAACAAAACCCGAAAGTAAATCCAAGCTAAGCCTGAACATAAAACTGAAGCAGTAGCTGTAAAAACTTTGGCCATATAACGCTCGGCAAATCGTTGGAAAAGGCGGCTAGCAAAATGAACGACAGTCGACGCAACACGGCAACGGAATTCAGTTATATACTGCAACGGCAGGTGAGTGGCTGCCACATGTTGTAAGCAGCAGCACCCGCTCTCAAAAATTAATTGCACGCATTTTGAGGCACAGTTTTTCTTATTTTTTTTTTCTCTATTGGATCCTTCAACGTGCGCTAAGTGCTTGACGCGCGCCTTTGTGTGTGCAACATTTTCATTGTTGTAATTTAATTAATAGCAATTGTGCTCATTAACTTGCGGCAGCTGCAGCAAAAAACGAAGCTGTCCACTGAGTCCCTAATTGGTTATTTTGTCAAGAAATCCTCTATCACGCAACACTCCCTCGCCACTTGCCGTCGATTCCTTTCACCACAAAATTTCGTAAAATTACTTAATTTACCGAGAAAATCAGACCGACTTCCCCGTTTCTTTGATCCTTCCAAGTTGCTTTGATTCAATCAAGCTTTTGTTGGCCTTTCCTTTCCATCTGACTGCACATAGCGTATGCTTAATGGACTTCGAAATGCATATGCCCAGGATTTGATTGATTTTGAATTGAGTTAATTATTGAACTTTACGCATGATATAATATGCATTAATCCATTAATTTTGACAATGTGATATACAATTTATTTATCTATAATTCTTCCAGCATGCAAATACATGATATGTTTTTAATTAAAATGCATTATCAATCAATCTGTAGTTTATTGGTTTTTGCTGCTAGAGCAAAAAAGGGATATAATTAAAATATTCTGCAATTGTTGCGGTGATGACTTTTTATGACAGATTTATGAATGCAACTATTATTTTATTACGATAATAATTGAGAAATTTTAAACTCATTATAATTATGAAAATATAGCTGAAAGAGTATTTATGACGGGCGACAACGTTGCAGATTGTAATTAATTTGTGGGAATAAATAATATATTTTTTTTAATTGGATAATTTAGTCTTGATGCCTTTCATCCTTTATTTTAAATCAAAATTATAGGTAAGCTGTCAGCTTTAGGTTTATTTAATTGACATACTATTCATCATATGCAAATTCTACAGGAGGTCGAAACTAGTTATGAATTCAGTTATTAAACATCTTAACATATGTTAATTTGCATAATTTACTTTATTTACAATTTGATTAATATTTCTCGTATTAATATTAACACTGTTCGCACATATGCACAAAGTTCTCTGTCAGGCACGTCACGTGGCCAGCTCCGATTCATATAAATAAATAAATAAATATGAGTTCCGATTTAAGCAGGGCAGGGTTTAATCATTGATATGAATCATATCAGTGAACTTATGTATATATAAATATTGATACATATACATATATAGGCATAAGTGTGCGAGGGTGTGTGGAAAGGTCGATAATCCCATAAGATTGTTCAAATATATACAAAAAAGGGGGCGGTCCTTGGGTTGGTGGTAAGTAAAATGGCAAACGTTGCGGTTAGCTTACAAAAGATTCATTACCAAATGTTTTTGTGTGTGTTGGTGCTGCACATAAAATTGTGCTAATAAACAATCTGGAGAAAATCTTGGCAATTGGCTTGCGTGTGCGCCCAATCGAGCAAACTGTTAAATCATGAATGAAATCAATTTGTTTTCGTTGCCCCTAATGGCGATGACGGAGCAACAAAATCAACACGCAAATTACACACGCTTGGGGCATTAAGACAATGACACATTGGATAGCACCACATAACCACTATAAGGGCAGCTAATACCGTTTTGATTGAGTGATAACTCAATACGTTACCATATGCTAGTCTGCCCAATATCAAATTGATAAATTACATGCAAGGCGATAGACGCACACACACATTTCTATGTACACCTCCTACACACATTGTTATGATTAATGGAAGGTGTCTGTCTGTCTGTCTGTGTGCTTGTGTGTGTGTGTTTGCGTGGTTGGACTCCAAATGAAACCACAAAATCTTGCAATATTAGTTATATATTGTGTGTGCACTGTGACCTTTGCTGTGAACGCGCAATTTATCAGTTCTTCTTTTGGCTATTGTCTGTCCGGGTGCGAAAGGGTTTTGGCATTGTCGGAAGTTTTTCATCTGGAATGTCTGTCCTAAAAATTTAATTAGGTATGGCAAGTTTTAGCAAGCGCCCTTGGGGAAAACAATTGCGGTGGCAGCATCGGCTGTCCCTGCTGTTGCGGTTGCAACTTTGATAATAAAATCGATAAGTCGCTCGCATCTTAGGCTTTAATTACAAAACACACACACACACATACTTGAGGCATTTATGACGACTGCTGAACATACTGATGGGTTCAGCAGCATTGTTATGATGGCCATGGAACAGCCACATGTGGCAACAGGCATTTGGCATTTGCTGCCTGGGACCGCCTAATCGCCTCTTAATATGCAAGGCATGCGGCCTGGAGTGTGACCTTGCCAGGATACGACCGCAGCCAAGACTCTTGACTCTTGCCTCCCGTCATTTACATTGTTCAAATATCAAATAAAAATGTTAAAGGAACACACTCATATTGTTGAGCAGGCGACTAATCCTACGCATTCCCCTCCTCTCCGATCTACCAGCCCTGCAGCGCCAGCAAAAAGATGCGATAACAGAAATCAATGTCGTCTGCAGCAACTTGTGCAAGCGAATCCACAACAAGAATATAAATGAGAGTGCAAGTTTTGTGGCAGGCAACACGTCTTCAAAGCGTAAATATTGATATTGGCCCTTCGCATACAATCTTGAGAAACATCTTCGAAAATAGTCAACGAGTGTCGTTTCTGTGATAAATTCAATACTCAACAATTTGTCACTGTCACATTGTATATTATCATAACAGCGTCTATATATAAAGTCAAAGTTTAGTCCTATTTTAATGGTCTCAAATCGAAAATACTGTAATATAATGTAAAATTATTAACTAAAATTGAAGTATTGCCATGCTGCTATCTGAGTTAATGAGTCGAATAGATCAAAGCATCTCAGGCAGTGTTTGACTTCATATCCCAACTGAGAGACCAATTTCCAAAGAACAGAGCTTTTCAATTCATTCTCGTATGCACAATGGACAATAATATAGCAGCCATCAAACCTATAAAGAAATGTGGTTTCTATTGTTAAGTATTCGCCATGCAGTCCCACAGCTTCCGAATGGCTTGTGACATTTTTGTGAACGCCTCGAGGAGAATGTAAAAATGCAAATTTGCTAGCTGGCCAATGTGAAGCCAATGGAGTGATCAGACCAGCAACTAAAATTGACCTAATTGAATAACCACATCTCTTGCTAGTGACTATGGCACGTGGACACATCACCAAATCCAAGAAGAAACCTATTTAAGCAATTTGAAGGACAATGCGGCGCCAATGTCGACGTCAATGTCGATATCGGCATCCCTGTCATCGTTTCTTTATTGAGAGTGACAGTGACTAAGTGCATGTATGTCAAGGGGCTGCCTCTGTGTGTGTGTGTGTGTACTTGTGTGGGCGTGCCTTGCAAGCCAGAAATGCTTAGCACAATTTTGAGTTGTATCCAAGTGCAGATTATGCAATGCAATTTGTGTAACTGTTGCATATACTTCTAAGCTTATCAACGCATGAAATCAGACTTTAAGATATGATATTTTCTTGTATTACATATATCGAATATCGAATTCAACAGCTGTTGTCAAAAATTTTTATGCATTATCAGGAAAAACGACCAATAAAAATCTCAAGCCGCACATAAAAAATGGCAAAGTTCGAGTGGCAGCTAAAGCTTTCCTAAGGTGTGCCAAGTACAACCAGCTGTCATTGCCGTTGCCACTGCTGATTTTGTATCCATGCCTCAAGCCACCCTCCATCCACTTCCCATATACTCAATTGTCCCTCACTGCTTCTTTCTCTGGGGATGGCTTTGCCGCTTTAAATGGTTTCGATTTCACGTTCATGCCGATTTTATGCCTCTGTGATGGATTCAACGTTTGTCTATCTGTGTGTTTGTCGGTTTCTGTGTATGTGTTTGGTGCCAAAACAATAAAAACAAATGTGCTCGGGGCCAAGTCTATAGCGGATTGTCTGTTCCAAGTTCACTGGGCTCTCTGTATTTGTGGATATCTTGGTAACTGACGGCAACGCAAAATAATAATAAAAACAATAAAAAAAAATATATATATATATATATATAAAAAACAAACCGCCCATTCAAAGTTGGGGGTTATAGCAGCCTCATGAAGTCCATTGGGCTGATTTGCGCTTTTACATAAAACAAGTGTAAGTCTTTTATCAAAACAACTGGTGTGGAAGATACCCAGTACACAGCTACAGGGTAGGCAAAATATTTATATTCAATAATCCAGTAAGTTATGCGTTATAAAAGGCAGATATTTTAAAACTATTGGCGTTTTTTCTATACCATTTAGATAATTCACTCGTTGCTTATACAAAAGTTGTAGTATATTGCTAATATGGTGATCTAAATTGTTAAATGTTACAATACAAATTATCTAAAATGGTTTTGAATATTGCCGAGAAAGTTTTTCATATAATAACAAGAAAATAATATGCTCCCTTTAGTATCTGGATATGCCACGATTTGATTCATTTAAATCTGTGTAGGGTATAAATAAATCACGTGCTCAATCTAACTATATCTATATATTTGGCATGCGGAATGAATTTGCTATTATCATATTTATTTTTTTTTTTACTATATGCTACCTAATTGGTATGCAATGCATATTTTGATAGCGCATGTTATTTAACAACCCCGCACATAAAACGCACTTTGCATAAAAGTTTCGTTGGAGTGCACTCCAAAGAATTAAACTTTATTAAATGGCAAAAAATTTGATTTTCTTTTTTTTGTTTTTAACTCAAAATCGATACTGCATTTCAGGGCAGCGACGTGTCCGCTGCTGAGGCTTATGCGTTCGACGACTTCAACAATTTAATGAAGGTAATGTTTGACCCACATTTCGTTGATTTCGTCTCCTCCATCGCCTCATTCCATTGACATCCAAATCGACATGTCTGCATTCGTGTTCACATTCACATTCATTAAATTCCAAGAACATTACTCACAGGCGCACCCACAGGCGACTCAGACACTGAGACCCACACTGAGAGCGAGATACAGAGACAGAGAGAGAAAGAGTGAGAGAGATTGTGAGAAAGAGAGAATGTGGGGTATGTTGGAGGCTAACATTTCTGGCATTGGCCGCAACCTTCTCGGTACTCTGTGAAAATTGCTTTTGGTCTCAGGCATCATCAAAGAATTTCCCTTTTTTTTATTTTAATATTTTCCGCTTGATGCCTTGTGTGCGCCTCGACTTATTAAATTTAATTTCAATTTAAGTTTATTAAGAGCCATGACACTCCCAGGGACTAGTTAAGACGCAAGCTGATGATGAAAAGTGCAATTTATTTTCTTCTTGTTGCTGTTCTTGACATTAAACGAATACTGCTTCCACTTATTGCTATACATTCATTCATTTAAACGATGCAAATATTTAAATATTTGCAATATATTCACGTCAGCTACTGTTTGCTGGCTCGAATTAAATTCACTGAAGCTTAAAATTCTAAAATCTATTATTCTGCTTGAAAAGTCAAAGCAAAATCAATAATTAAATATGACAAAATAGAATCACTTGCTGACGACGGCATGACGGCAGTTTTCGAAGCACATTAATTATTAGAATTGTTTATTTTTGTATTTTAATAATGTTAATAATAGAATGTTGCATCCATTAAATACATGTTAAGAAGTGGTTCAATGTAAGCGTGGCAAAAGTATGCAGAAAGTTCAATTTTTCTTGAGCTGACAACAAGAACACTTCTGGAATTTGATATGTGGATGTAGGAGTGATGTATGTAGGTATGTGTGCCGCTCTGAGTGTGTATGTGTGTGTTCTAATGTGTGTTGATGTCTTGTTGCAGGAATTGCTTTCATAGGCTCACATTGAAAGTGTTGGCATTGCCATTAGGCGAACATGGCTAACCAAAATCCCCAACAAAACATGCTCGATATTAAGAACATGGCATAATAGTCGTAAAAAAAACTATGGCCCATGGTCAGAATGAAAGTAAGAACCTGGCCAAAGTAGCTGATTGTTTGCACAACTAATGGCAGCCGGGCCAACAGAGTGAGGAGTAGCAAAAACGCAAATTGCCAATTCTAAAAGGACTTGTAATGCTTTGTTAGCCTTAGAGCTAAAGAGCAAACTTTGCCGTCAACTAAAAGGCAAAGCCGAACTTTCGTGTGGTAATTTATGCACTTTATTTAAAGTACAAAAAACTTTTGTTAAAAGCGCATGTAAATTATTAATTTATGAACTTAATTTTAAAATCGTATTAAATTCAACAAGAACCAGATCAAAAGGAAAAGTCCAAGTCAAGACAAAAGGCCAGACGTCAAAAAAGAAGGTCACAAAAATTGTTTGTTCTTGCTTCGGTCAATTGACTGACATGTCTGTATTTGCAGAGAGGGGTATCGTGGGTTGGGTGTCGGTGTTTTTATGGTTTTGTTTGTTTATCTGTATGTGCAATAACAACAACAACAACAACAACAAGTCAACATGGCTCATGGCAATAGCGCCGACACCAACAGCAAAAAAAAAAGCGCAGTCTGTGCGCTCGACATTTGGCATGCGCATAATTTATTTTGGACATTTTGGTTGGTGCTCGTTAATTGCAGCACTCTGAAAACGCCCTTGGTGGTCCGAGCCAAACCCTCCGGCATTGTATTGACATTTGCGCCTAAACGTTTACCTCCTCCCCCACAAATAAAAATGTCGCGCCCGCAGCGCAACCAACACGTTTCAATGTCCACGTTTTTTTTTTTTTTTGTTTCTGGTCTTTTTTATTTTCAGTCCTACCCGTGTCGCCTAATTTCATTAAACAAACACAATTTGCACTTTTTTTTTACAAGTAGCTACTACACTGGGTGTGTGTGTGTGTGTGTGTGTGTGTGTTGCTGTGTTGTGCGCTCCACTGGACAGCTCCACTTGCTGCCAAATGAGGAGGTCCTTGTTGGGCACATGAATATTATTAATTAAAATCGTGCAATGCATGAAAAGGTTTGTTTGCTTCCTATCTGAAGCATTCGGATTGCCTCAGATTGCCCTTGCCTACCTGAGCATGTGAGTGGATGTGTATTTGTGCTTATATTTGTGTTTTTGTGTGTGTTTTTTCTGTTGTTGTTTGTCTTGGGCAATGTTTGCCTTTTATTAGAAATGTGTACCTGCCTCACAGACCTATTTGTTGTGTGTGAATGTGTGCAAATGCCAGGAAATACCTGAACAGTTTTTTCTCGTGCCTAATACCCTATAGGGGTCTGTGTAACGTATGTATTTTATTTAGTCAAATGTTCATTCAGCACATAAAAGGTCGAATTGTTTTAAACTTTAACTACGCTTGCGGCATAGACAAAGTTGAGAAAGTGACCCAAAGTTTCATCAAATTCGAGAATATTAAGTAATTTCATAAATTAAATATGTCAAATGCAAAATGTTGCTTCAACTGTTGCTGTTTTAACAATCAATATGATGATAAAGTTAAATTTCTACTTAATATTTTCACTTTGAATAGCGACAATTTGTAATATTTCTATTCTTAGTGTTGGAAATAACTGTATTTGCCTATGTACACCGCAGCTTGTCTTGCATTCCCGTTTTGTAGTCTTAGTCTGTTGTTGTCAGCGAGCAACGGTAATTGTAAGTTCCTTATGATCAAGACCTTCTTCGATGCTATGTTTAAGCTATTTTCATGAAGTAAGAGTCAGTCGCTTTTGGTCGCTTGAATCGCGTAGTATAAGTCGTATGAAGCGGACATATATTCTGTATTAAATACAAAGCTCTGAATAGTATAGGGCATAAATAAAGTCGCGTTTGGCCTGCTGAACTGGTTGAGGCTCTCTTGTTTGTAATTTCTGTTTTTGTTGCCATTTTGCGCTTCACACGCTTTGGCTCAATTCAGTTTCGACCTGTGCAGGCTGTTATATTGCTCTCGCTTTATTTTTGTTTGCTTTTCGCTCTTGCTCTTTGAAATTAATTGGATGGCGAGCTTTAATTGTTTGGCAGGGAGTTTGGCACACACACAAATTATTCATGTGATTTTGTTTACGACAATCTTTATAAGGCCGAAAACATTAAGTTTTGTTTTGTTAGCCGAAAACTGAATAAATTGAATGCTGCAAACCGTACATGTGTAACAAGCAAGCTAACAAATAAATACTAAAATCCTCTGGAGAGTAAATATTAAATATGAATAAACTTGAATAATAATTATGAAGAATTCATGTTGTCGTCGCTTTCGTCGTCTTATCAAGGTTCGCATATTTTTTCCCTTTTATGGCTGACAGCATTTGGAGGCTCCTAACAAAGTGCTGGCATGTATAAAAGGAAAAAATGTTATTTTGAATAAATAGCATTTGAAAGCGGGCGCCAAGGGACTGAGAATGGGCAACGCACCTGTCGCAACTCTTACATTTTTTATGCCATTTGTGGCATCCTTTTTTTTTTATTTTTTTTTTTATGTGTGCGACAACTGATTTCAATTCAAATGATAAGCGATGCTCTTTAAAAATTGTTGTACAATCGGCATGTTGAAAAAGCTAATTGCCGCTCATATCATCAGGCTAAAGCGAAAAAACAGGCGCGTTATAAATTATGCATTTAAATGTTCCATTTAGCTGCTCACGTGTGGCACAATGACAATAAAACATAGGCCACATTCAGCAAGAAGGCTGTCATTTTTGGCTTTGACAGCGAGTCACAGCTTTCGACTTCTGCCCTGAAAGATTAACGACCAGAAACTTGCTACTTCCGCACAAATCCTATCCTTTTATCTTTTTTGCTCCCTCTCTCTCTCTCTCCTCACCTTTACTTGTCTTTTTTTGCTGCCGCTCATCTGATGGCGCAATTTGTTTATTTTTGTGCAGCTGCAGAAGAAAAGTTTGTAATTTCATTTGTCCAGTTGGCCCCAGCCTTGGCATCTTAGATATTTGGGTTACGTTTCGTTACGTTATATTATATTATGTTACGTTACGCTCCGTTTCATCTCCTTTTTGTATTATGATGGAGTGCCACAACTCTTACTCCACCTTCACCGTTTTAGAATAGAGATTTCGAGTAGGAGTACATTTAATCATTTGTCACAAAATGTCTTATGCATTAAAGTCGAGAGCTTTGTCCTCATAATAAGTTACCATATATACATTCGTATATATTTTCTTGAAGAACTTAGCCGAAATCTGTCTGTATTTAATTATGAAATTTATAGTTGCTTTCCTGAATCCAGAGCAGACTTGGATCATATCCATCTTCTGATTCATTATTAAGTTTGCCAAAATATCTCAAATGTTTTGAGTTGAATTTTAAAAGTTACTAAAATACTTGTAAAAATTCGACTTTACGGAAAAAACTATAAATTGGTTTTCTCTGCTTAGAGTAAGTCGTTTGGGCTTGAAATGGTTAATTAAGGGCCATTGTCGCTCAATTTGGTTCGGTTTTAAGAAGATCAACTGTAGTTTACTCTTCCTGCTCAGCCCTGGCATAATTAGCCGTTTGCTTTGATACCGAATGGCACTTTTAATGGCACTTTGCCACACTTGCCGCATGCCACCCCCCGTAAATATGCAACGAACTTTGCAAGCGGTCCCCACTTAATTGAATTGAGAACTCAACTCGCACGTAATTTGCTTTTCGGAAATTTTCATTACGCAGCAGTGGCACGCCCCAACACCCACACCGCTGCCAGCCAGGTGACACTCGAAGTGGCTGTACTCAAATATTTGCTTTTCAGCCTTAACTTTAGAGTTGGCTTCGACAGATGTACGCCCAACTTTGTTTCTGGTTGCTGTTAGTTGTTTGCCGTTTGTAGAAAGAGAGTGCAAAATAACAAATGGTAGAAACAAAAAATTGTTAAAAGTAAAAACTTGTTTAATTGCAAACAGCTGGCAAAACTTTTCACTTGCAATGCAATGAACGCATCAGTTGCTCCTAACTTGGCTAACTACACACATTCAGTCACACATACACACACACATCCACACTCTCAGTGTGTTTTGGCTGTCATAAAATTGGCCTTGTGCTGTGATGTGACATTTTATTTTGGTTTCGGTTTAAGCCCTTCACATAAAGTTGCCTTTTATGGTTGCTTCACCATTGGATTGTGGTAGAGGGGGGCTGGCTCGCGTTCCATCATAAAAATGACAAACAAAACGCACAAGCACTTTGACTATGACCAGGTAACTGTCGCTGGCAGACGCAATTTACGATAAGGTTACGTATACGTCGCATGCTACCTGCCACAACATTGTCTCTTTGTGTGTGTGTGTGTGTGTTTGTGTGCTTCGTGTCGGGAGGACAGTTTGCTTTTGATGTAAAGAGCCACTCGAGGCAATTTTGCGCTCTTATCCCAATCAACGTGCAATAATAGACCGAACCAAAACGAACCGAGACCGCATTACTAGAACCAACCACAGTCCACACATTAAACCCACCAAGTATCCACACTCACAATTACTCTATGACATTTGTTTTTGCTTAACGCTATCTGCAGACCGACCATCAGACACATCAGCAACAGGGCCAGCAGCAACAGCAACAGCAACAACAACAGCAACAGCAGCAATCATCGCATCAGCAGCAGCAGCAACAACCACAACAGCAACTTGGGGATGGCATTTCTGGCGACACGTTGTCCTCATTACCCCAAGCATCGTTCAACTATATCAACTCGATCGTTGGCAGCGGCGTCATTGGCATACCCTATGCTCTGCACCGCGCCGGCTTTGGCCTGGGCCTGGCCCTGCTCATCCTGGTCGCCTACATAACCGACTACTCGCTCATACTGATGGTGAGTGTAAATGTGTACCGGATGGGCAAACGCACATTAAATGCCCGACAAATTGAAAAACGTTCTCATAACGGAAACGGAAATTGGATGCGTGTCTCGTTAGCAGAAAGCTTCAACTTAAATGCATTTCCGCAAATAGAAAATTTAATATCGACATAATTAATAGCAGAGAACTTAGCTATCTGTGATATGACGCAAATTACCCTTGAATAATTGAGTAAAAGAGCAAATCGATTATTTGAATTTCCATTTTAGAATAGAGTAGGTCCTTGCTGTAAGTGCTTTCGATTGATTTACCCTAATAGTTAAGGTAAAAGTTGGATAAGAATATCTTAGTTCCTGTTTTATAATATAATAGTTCAATCTGGTGGACTTTGACCAAATGATATAGTAGCCCAATGTTTAACTGATGAGTTTGAATATTTTATTTTAAAGACCGCACAAGTTCTTCATAATTTTTTTTAACTCTCTCTAAAATGTAATTCTATACTCATAAATGGTTAGTTTGATAGGATAGGATATCTTAGAAAGCAGTTCAGCTTTCAGTTTTACTTCCTATTGTAACTTTATAATATATTAGTTCGATCTGGCAGACTTTGATCAATTGCTTTGTGTGCCGCCAAAAAAGATAGAACTTTTTACACATAATAGGATTCAGAAAAATGTCAATTTAGCTAACTCATCTCAGGATACTCATTGACAAAATAAGTGGTCAGAGTGGCAAAATTGCCAGGCAAAATTATTATACCCTTTTGCGAAAGTATGGAAAACAATATTTGCATTTTCAGGTGAGATGCGGTCACATTTGCGGCAGATTCAGCTATCCGGGCATTATGGAGGCTGCCTATGGCAAATACGGTTACTATTTGCTATCGCTGCTGCAATTTATGTACCCCTTTCTAGGTAAGTGGCGCTAATCGTTAAATCCCATCCGAGTGCCAACAAATTTTGGCAACACACGTACACACACGCTCATAAAACTAACAAAGTTATCCCATTTTGCAGCAATGATTTCGTACAATGTTGTTGTGGGCGATACTTTATCCAAAGTTCTGGTGCGATTCTTTCCATCGTGGGGCGACTCGATGGGCGCCGTTAGATTGGGCGTCGTCTTTTTTGTCACTGTGGGCGTTGTCGTCCCCCTCTGCCTCTATAAGAACGTATCCCGTTTGGCGCGCGCCAGTTTCATTAGCTTGGCGTGCGTTGTCTTCATATTGTTTGCCGTCATACTGAAACTTATGTCGGGCGATTATAAAGTGTAAGTACACACACATAGATACATAGATACATAGATACATATAGCAGTTTTATCACCGCCTTAACTAGCACGTAAGTCTTATAGCCTGCTGCATATTTATAGTCCTTGCCAAAAATTAGGCCCCTTAACTGACACTTTGTTGCCGCTTCGTGTTAGTGAAAGTAATGTTTTTTGTAAATGTCAGCAAATTGTATTTGTTTTAGGTGTCATAGTAACGTTTAGGGCAGCCTTATTGTATTTACTGTATAAAAGTTTATATCATTTGTTGAACTTAACTTACATATTCGCTTTTAATTTGACATTTAAATTTTACTTATTTAAAGAGGCAGAAACTTTGCAGTCAGTTGGTGTTTTCTGGTGATTACTATTAATTTACTGATAAGTTATTCAACTTTTATAGACCATTTGTCCAATTTTTGTTGTTGTTATTTTTGTTTTTAAAGAAAAGTCATAACTTTTTCACAAAGTTCCCAAAATAACGCTCGAAGAAATAAATCAAGTTTGTGTGAATAATTTGGTTTGTGGAATAAACACAGGTCGCTACAAGGATGCTTTTTGCAGGTTTTGCGGCTGTTTTGTGGCAATTTATAAAAATTATAAAAAATATTTTTGCTTCTTAAGTGTCGACACTGTCTAATAACGCGTACAGATTTATTTGCATTTTAATTACAATTTGAGTGTGCGGCGAGCAGAAACGAATTTATGAGCATAACTTGGCAGACAGCTAGCTGCTAGCTGCCAGCTGCCAGCTGGGTTAGTTATTTTTTCTTCTTCTTTTTTCTTTTTGGGTAGTTGAGGTTGAGTCCTGGTCGCTTTAGTGCTAAGTGGCGCTTTAGTGCCTTTAAATCTGCTGCGTCTGACCCGGAGGCATTGAACAGCGCACCACAGCTCCATAAAATATAGTGTGCCACTTGTTTGGCTTTTATGGCTTTTCATTAGTTTGCCACAGTGCAACGAGTTGGTTTCTGGCATAAATGTATATCTTAAAGATAAGCAAAAGTTTGCTGTTCTTTCAAAATTACAATATTCTTATTACAATTAAAATTGTCAATCGTTTCATAAGTCTACGTAGAATTTTGGCTACTCATTTCAACAAAATTCAATTTTCATAGTGCGGACAGTAAACTCAACTGACAACTGTCAACTGATCAAAATAGATTAATCTACAAAGTTAAAATGGACGCATATCTACCAAATTTTACCAAATTTGTGCAGCATTGTCCAAAAATGAGATGCTTCAATAAAGTTTACAACTTATACAAGCCACCTTCATTTATTTAAGTGGCATCTGTTAATAGATTCTAGTTTTGTCAACAATTCGAATATGTAGTTTGAAAGTTGTTGTTTATTTATTAACTATAAAAACAGTTCGGTTTTTTGGGGTAGTTTTTAAAAGAACTTATTGAAAAAAGTTGTGTTTTCCCACAGTGCAGCGGCAACAGACTCGCTGTTGCATGCCCCAATCGTACTCTATTTCTCTAGCTCTTGTTGTCTCTATCTCTCTCTCTCTATCTCTCTCTTTCTGTGGGGCAAGTCGTTACCTGCTTGCCACAGTGTTGCCAATGGGAACGCTGTGGGCAGCTGTGCTTGACTGCTAGACGACTCAAGCTGGCTGCTAAACTACTGTTACTGCCAGTGCTGCCACCCACTCGGCAATGATTATTTCATGGTCAGCGGGTCCTCGAGCTTTTCAGCTGCAGACCCTTCGCAGTTGTTGCTGTTATTTTTTTGAGTTGAACATCAAATTTGAATAAAATTCCAATTTGCTTACTTTTCTGCTCGTTTTTCTCTGTTTCCTGTTCTCAATTCGCTTTTATCTTTTGGCCTAAATGCTGCACGCGTAAGCATATAAACCTCACCTTAGGTTTTTTTTTGGCAATATTTTACATTTGTCGAGCTGCAAAAGCCCCGGGAAAAAATGTTAATTTGGTGTTAACTTTGTGTAATTTTTCCTACCAACGAATCTTTTATCATGCTGCCTGTTGCTCTACTTCCGCTGTCTGCAGCACGGATACGGCCGAATCCTGGCGCTTTGCGAACACGGACCTAATACCCGCCACGGGCATCATGGTATTTGGTAGGTAGCCACATAAAATATGTTTGCTTGTGCAAGATCTCAGCTTAAGGGATAACAACTACAAGATTGCGGATAAGAGCGCTCGCAAATAAAAAAATAAAAAACAATTAAAGTGCATTCTCTCTTCAATGTGTCCTTTCTAAAATTGTTTTTTTTTTTCGCGTTTTCCTTGGCCACAGCTTTTATGTGCCACCACAACACTTTTCTTGTCTATCAATCGATGCGCGAGGCGACCATGGAACGCTGGGAGAAGGTCACCCACATCTCAATTGGTTTCGCCTGGACAGTGGCGGCTCTATTTGGAATTGCAGGCTACTCGACATTCCGTGCTCTCTCCCAAGGTAAACTAATTGCATGTTTTTCGCACTTTTGTTTTGCTTAAAGAGCTTTTACGTAGCTTTAATCTGTTGTCGTTTGTAGTCTGTTTTTATATGCAAGCCTATTTATATTTAATTACAGGCGACTTGCTGGAGAACTATTGCTGGGATGATGACTTGATGAATTTCTCGCGTGTGCTCTTCTCAATATCCATATTGCTTACGTTTCCCATCGAGTGCTTCGTTTCACGTGAGGTATGTTCTTATATAATAATACCCAGTAGTATTTAAGATTATTCTCTGATGAGAATAAATAGACAATTGATATAGGATTAAGAAGTAAGAACGGCTATTCAAAATGAAATAGAATAAATAAAAGTGTTCTTATAGAGAGTCAACAACCCACCCAACCACCCAATTCGCTCCTTGACTCCAACCTTGAGCGGGTTTGTGTAATGATGGCACTTTATTTTGACCAGCTGGTGCCTTTTTTGGTCAGCTGTGCTGTCACATAGATTTGTTTGTGTTCTTGCCACAGTTGCATTTTGATAAAGTGTTTCATTTTGCTGCAACGTTTTTACAGATTGTTCGTGCTCTCGTGCATCGCTTTGTGCTGAAGGAGCCCATCAGTGAGTTTACCCAGGACAAGGATCCTAGCATGGAGAAGGGTGCCGAAATCGATGAGTATTCGAAAGCGATTACCTTGGCAATTGTGTTCAGCGCCTTCATAATATCGCCCATGACCGACTGTTTGGGCTCCGTGTTGGAATTGAATGTGGGTTGATTTTCATACCGATTTCTATACACAAACAAACAAACAAGCAAACACACACACACACACACATCTTGAAATAACAAATAACATTCGGCATTATATTTCATGCAAATTTCTTCACAACTTAGGGTCTGCTGGCAGCCATACCACTGGCCTATATACTGCCCGGCCTGGCCTACATACAAATGGAACCGCATGCGCTCTTCAGCCGGGAGAAGCTGCCCGCTTTGGGTCTGGTTGTCTTTGGTGCGGTAGTCACCATACTGGGCGCTGCGGTGCTGCTGCCAGGTCTAATGGGAGGCGATTGCCGCTCCGATATTGTGATGGGCTATTGCCGGCAGGAGTTCCAGAATGGTACCGCTCAGGTTGCGCTCAATTGAGAGCAGTAACAACAACCACAACAACAACAGCAGCAGGAGCAGGAGTAACGGCAACAGCAGCCAAGCCAAAAGTCATTACTTTAGTCATAAGTATTGGCTATACAAATTTGCATTGATGTGGGTTTGCAGTTTGTGGACTGTGGAGTGTGGGTGGGAACCAATTTATTTTTGGGTACATCATTGAGTTTGGTTTAGTAATGCCCTTGCAGCGTTTATTTTATTTGATAAACATATCTTTGATTATGTTGCCCTATATTTAGCAACAATTTCTTTTAATAAAAAAACACTTTAATTTTTTGCAGATGACTTGACTAAAATTGGCTAAACTTAAATTGGTTATGTTTCTGTGTCAATATATTGCCTATAAAATTAACTAACATTTGATTTGATTTTTATTAAGATTAGAATATTGTTCAGTCATATAAACTAAATAGAATAAACTCAATAAATGTGTCTGCAGGGGTAAATACATTTTCGGCAAACCGAAAATAGTTTCCTTCTGAATTCTTGCTGGTATTTAAATTGTTTAATTGCATTTTGGTAGCTGCACCATCATAAGTTCAGGGCAACATGTTATATTTGGAGAAAAGGGGCAAAACGAATACTTGTACCTGAGCCTCTGATGTTCAAAGTATCTCAAACTGTGTTGTAGTGTGTGTATCTAGTCGTGTGTGTGTATTTGTGTGTGTGTCTATTATGAGACTTAGCTAATTGTGGGGCAAGTGATACGAACGATTTGAAACCTGAATCTCAGTACAAAACAACAAGTTACTTAATTATAATGCACCCAAAATCAATCTAAACTTTATTTACATTACATTTATTTTGATTGTGCTGTTAGAAAATAATTTTTGCATTTTTATGTGCAGGTTTTTGTTTTTATGAGATTGAAATATGTAGTGAAAGTTCCTCGATCTTTAGACGTCGGTGTAATGCATGAAATTTTCTAATAGTTGTTATTGTAATTACAAGTAGCTACTAGCGTAGTCTGAAAATATTTGGGCACCAATATACACACAATACATACAAACAGAAGAACAAAACTAAATGCGATGAATTTGAAAATAATCAAAAAAGACAAAACAAAAACAAAACAAGTATTATACTAAACAATTTGTAACTATCTATTTATGGCATACAAAAAAAAAAGTTATCAAATCGAATCATATTTAAACGTTTTATATATATGTATACAACTCTTAAGAATTGCTTGTGACTAAGCCTTCAAATTTTATTGAACACACTACATGAGAAACGAACATTACATAAACAAACTAGAACTTTCATCTATCTGTGTGAAACAACAGTTTTAAGTTGTTTGAACAAATGGCACTGATTATATTTTGCATATATGTATGTATATTTCTGTACGTAACACACTCGTATATTTTTGTATGTATTTTCGTTGAGTTTGTATTTGTATAATGCACGATATATGTATATTATGTAAATACATATTGTATGGAATTTTTGATATGATTAAAGAGATCTTTTTACCACATATTGAACTTACTTACTCAATATATGAACACTATGCTTACTTCTTTACTGTGGTCATGGGAACCAAAAGTATTTTCTTTCTGTTTGATCTAAGAACCAACCAAGTTTAACGAAGAAAATCCCAAATATCTCTATCCTAAGAGCTTAAAAACACAACATATCATGCAACTCGAAACAATGGCCAAAATCAAAGGAGCACAGGACATACCTAAGGGCATTTCTAACAAACTTTTTACAAGAACTAACGCTTTTACACAACAACAACAATGAACACGTGAAAACTGAACAACACTTGTATATACACTATATATAGAGCTGTCTATTCAGTTATATCTAACATTTATATAATATACATAGATGTGTATAAAATATTCACCGAATTCAATATCTCATTGTTCAAATGTGGCTATAATCGAATTACAGATCGTATAATTGGAAATGAAAAAAAACTAATAATTAATGAGATCGAGAAAGCGAGAGTGAGAATAGTAAAGATCAGTTGATATTCTTGGCTATTCCAGGAAAAACGTTACTTTTATCTAGCGAACATATATAGATATATGTATAAATATATATAATTTAATCGAGTTGTTAAACTTAACAAGAAAATAAAACAAATATCATAAAATTGTGCATGTAGTTACATAATTATTTAGTATTCGATGTATGTACTTGAGCGCAAGGCGTAGAATTTGTTGCATATATTAAATACAGAATATATAGTACATATACATATAATTTGTATGCATACAAAGTATAACCAAATTTCACTCAAATTAGTGTAAACATAATAATAATAACAATAATAAAATGAAGTAAAGAATGTATTTTAGAAATATGCAAATAAAAACCAAAAACAAAAACAACAACAGCGTTTGTGGTTTTTCATGCCCCTTGCCACATGCTACACAGCTGCGGCCTTATCAAACTGCTATCACAAGAGCATGTTTCATATTATTTTATTTTCTTTAGTTTTTAGTTGTTTCCCAGCGCATTCTGCGGTTTATGATAGCGATTGCTATGATGTTAACGGGTGGGCTATAAAAGGCGCTGCCCAAACCGAGGATAGGCACAGTTCTCAAGCGACTGCCACAAGTGCGTTTCACGTTTTTCAATTCACTTTTCTTTTCACTTGTGTTGCAAGTTTTGATCCTGCTGAAAATGGCCGACAAGAAGAATTTGCTTCTCCTGTTCGAGCATCCCACGGAGCCCGTTTTCATGGACAAGGGCAAGAAGGTGACCGTATTCGATGTGCCGGACAACTACTTGACCGATCGCTACCGCCCCATCAGCACTGAGGTGCAGAGTCGGGTCGGCGAGAAGGTCGAGCAGCGGGTTCCAGTTCGTGAGATCTCCATACCCGATCTGCGCATACCCATGTCCCTGGGCCGCGAGGAGCAGTTCTCGCTGTTCATTCCCAAGCATCGCAGAATTGCAGCTCGCCTCATCGACATCTTTGTGAACATGCGCTCCGTCGATGATCTCCAGAGCGTGGCGGTCTATGCCCGTGATCGTGTGAATCCCGTTATGTTCAATTATGCACTCTCTGTGGCACTGCTGCATCGTCCCGATACGCAGGGACTCGATTTACCCTCGTTTGCGCAAACCTTTCCCGATCGCTTCGTTGACTCGCAGGTGTTCCGCCAGCTGCGCGAAGAGTCCTTTGTGGTGCAGCCCGGTTCCCGGATGCCGATAATTATTCCACGTGATTATACCGCTTCGGATTTGGAGCCGGAGCATCGCCTGTGGTATTTCCGCGAAGATCTGGGCATTAATCTGCATCACTGGCATTGGCATTTGGTTTACCCATTCGAGGCCTCCGATCGCAGCATTGTGGCCAAGGATCGTCGCGGTGAACTGTTCTACTACATGCACGAACAGATCATGGCACGCTACAACATGGAACGCTTCAGCAACAACTTGGCTCGGGTGCAGCCCTTCAACAATCTGCGTGATCCCATTGTCGAGGGCTATTTCCCCAAGATGGACTCGCTTGTGGCCAGTCGCGCCTGGCCGCCACGTTTCGACAATACGCGCATTAACGATCTGAATCGCGAACAGGATCAGATCAATGTCGAGGTAGCCGACATGGAGCGCTGGCGCGATCGCATCTTCGAGGCCATTCACCAGGGCTTTGTCATGGATGTGAGTAGCGATTGCAACAACTTCACTTGTAGCTGTTTTCCCATATATTTATATATCAATAAATGTATTTTTTTGCTCGCATATTTACAGGAACGTGGACAACAGGTCCCATTGGATGAGGCTAGAGGCATTGATATTCTCGGCAACGTTCTCGAGTCCTCGATTCTGTCGCCGAATCGCACTTTGGTAAGTCGCATATAATCTAGCTCAGATATGATATTATTACTTATGTTGATGCTGTTTATTTTGTAGTATGGTGATCTGCACAACTTTGGCCATGTTTTCATCTCGTATGCCCACGACACGAACAACAAGCACTTGGAATCATTTGGCGTAATTGGTGACTCATCGACGGCGATGCGTGATCCTGCCTTCTACAGGTGGCATGCGTACATCGATCGCATCTTCCAGGAGCACAAGACACGTCTGCCCGCCTATACGGACACACAGTTGAACTATCCGGGCATCTCGATTACGGGCTTCCAGGTCGCTACAAATGGCGGCCAGCCGAATGTGCTGACCACCTTCTGGCAGCAGTCCGATATGGATTTGTCTCGTGGCTTTGATTTCACACCACGTGGCAATGTGTTTGCCCGCTTCACCCACTTGACCCATTCGCCCTTCACCTATACGATCAATGTGAACAATGATGGCGGCGCCCAAAGATTCGCCTACGTGCGCATATTCATTGCACCCAAGAATGATGAGCGTGGTCAGCCAATGCTGATGCGCGAACAGCGCCTGATGATGGTGGAGCTGGACAAGTTTGTGGTGTCTCTGAATCCCGGACCGAACTCAATACGCCGTCGCTCTACGGAGTCCAGTGTGACCATACCGTTCGAGCGAACCTTCCGCAATCTGGATGCCAATCGCCCGGCGGCTGGCACCGCCGAGGAGCTCGAGTTCAACTTCTGCGGGTGCGGCTGGCCCAATCATATGCTCATCCCCAAGGGTCTGCCTGAGGGTCTGCGCTGCGATCTGTTTGTCATGGTTTCCAACTATGAGAACGACAGGGTGAGTTACAAAAAAATGATGAATAATTTATTGCTAAGCTTTAATATAATATGTTAATTGCCTTTGCAGATCGATCAGCAGCTGGTTGGACGCTGCAGCGATGCTGCCAGCTATTGTGGAGTTCGCGATCGTCTCTATCCCGATCGTCAGTCCATGGGTTATCCTTTCGATCGCCTGCCCAGAACTGGCGCCGATCGTCTGGTCAACTTCCTGACGCCCAACATGAGCATTGTGGATGTCAGCATTCGCCACGACAATCGCGTGGTCAATCGACAAGGCTAGTTAAAACCAACTACATCTACAAATTGTGACGACCTTCGCTTGATGACACTGCACGCATATCTCACGTACTTCTAGCAAATAACGTATACATTTTATATTGCATTTATTGCATCTTTATTGAGCTTATAATAAACGCATCATGGCATTCAATGAAGACAACACGAATTTTATTTAGACCGACCAATTTATACTAGATTGTGGCCTTAGACGCATTTCAACTTGATCATTGATTGCGCTTATCAGCAACAAGAGCGTGCTCTATTGATAGCCCACAGAAAAAATTACTCTTTATACCCTGTACGAAATTTAAATCTAAAGGTATTTAGCAGTCTACAATCTATATATTATAGGGATTGATAATCAACATGAAGAGATGAGTTGTTATATACATACATAATAACACTAGCTAACTATTAATAAAACTGGCACAGAGTGAAAACAAATTGCGTTATGTTTGGGGACTTTTTTTTATATTATATTTGCTTTATTAGACAATCAACCTTAAACAAAGAAAGACTCTTTTTATATAGTATAAAGCATATTTAAAAATAATGTTGGATACTCTTAAAGCTAGGGAATATGGGTTCTCGTATGTAATACGCATCTCCAGTTTGCTTCAAAACTACACAACTTAAGTCTAAATTGATTTAAAATAAAAATAAGAATTTTTTAATACTGAATGAAGTGCCAATAAAATATAATAAATTTGTTAAAGATAAAGTGTTGAACTTTATAATATTATTATATATTAGATAGACGCCTTTCTTATGCTCTCAATTCTATAATATAAATCAGAGAAAATTAGTAGCGCAGATTGATGTTTTTGTATATATTTCGGAGTGTATGCTAATAGTTAAGTACAAGGTTTTCCCCAGCCAGGCACTCTCGACTAGATCACTCTCACTTTTTTCTCTGCTCTCCACTCCTATCACTGGCTGGCTGTATTTGAGCTGACGCTTATAATCAAGTTGATGTCGCCTATGTGGCTCAGTTTGAGAGACACCGTTGTGTGGTGCAAAAGTAAAAGTTGTCTGCTGAAAGTGATAAGAAATAAAGGAAGGAAAATGCGCAGCTTGTGCGAATCAATGCTGCTGCTACTGCTGATAGCAGCTGTTGGCGTAAGCATAAACCAATAATTAATTAAAAAAGAACCAAACAATTTAAACGATGATCTTGCGTGCGATCTTTTCTTTATTTGGCTGACCTTAGGTGGCAACTGCTGGCGTCACGCCCAGATCGGGTTTGACTTCTAGCTACGGTCATCAGGCGAAGATATTCATTGATCAGTCAAGTGAGAGATATTTCAGGCTGTACAATCAGATCGCCTCCGAGACATATTCGGCGAACAACGAGGAGGACTTCGAGGCGCTCTTCTCCAAGCTGACCACTGTGAAGCGCATTGCGGATGAGCTCGTCGGAATTTCCCGCGAAGCGAGCGGCTTTGATCTTAGCAAGGTAAAAAATAAAGTGTACAAAGCGGCACTGGAGGAGTTGCGCAGTGTTGGTGATTTATTTGTGCTGGGCGAGGATTACTTTTCGCTGGTGCAAATGAATCTGGCCTCACTGCAGAAGATGTCGACGGACAAGGACATCGAGCCGTATATGGGCGGTGCCAAAATGCCCAACGAGGACGATAGTCCACTGGCGTATTATCCAGATATTCAGAAGATTGTGCAGCGCAGCAGCGATGTGGATGAGCTGAAGTATTACTGGGAGACGTGGCGCGACAAGAATCAGATCTGGGCTTCAGTTAATTTCTATACCATTGTACAATCGTACCAGAAGGCAGCCAATATTTTAGAGATTCCAGTGCATCAGCTGTGGTATCGCTACGATAGCCAGGAGATGATCCAGCAAATGGAGCAGGCTATGTCGGAGCTGATGCCTGCCTATAAGGAACTCCACGCCTTTGTGCGGCATGAGCTGCACAAGAAATATGGCAGTGATGTGGTGAATCCCGATGGACCCATTCCGGATCATCTGTTTCAGCAGGTCCTCGAGCAGGCTTGGGAGGAGGGCAGCATCATTGAGTCATACTTTCCACGTCAGCGCCTTCCACAGTTCGATGACTTTGTGCAAGAGCTCAGTGCAAAGGCACTCGTCAATGAATCCGAAAACTTTTACACATCGCTGGGCTTTACGCCGTTGAGCCCTGATTTCCACAAGAATCAGCTGAAGGAACCGAATGAGGACACCCCCAATGACGATTGTCGTCCCTCACTCTTTGATCTGACGCCGCGTGTTCTCATGATGTACTGCGAGAAGGTCAGCTTCAGGAAACTGATGCAGTATCATGGCCACATGGCGCGTGTCTATTATGCCGAGCAGAAGAGGCATTTGCCCTCGTATCACTTCAAGGCCTACAACTTGGAGTATCCCGTGGGTGAAGCCGTCGTGCTGTCTGCCTCCACGCCCAGCCATCTAACTGGGCGTGGTCTGGCCAAAACTGCTTTCACGGATGAGGCACTGATGAATCGACTGTTTCGCATGGTGAGTTCAAAATTCGATGACACATTGAATAGCAAATATAGTTGTTCATTTTTGAATGGAATTTATATCCTGGATTTACATCAACAGAAAACCAAACGAATACACATATGCCATATGAAGTAGATATTTCAAGAAATTAAAGATTTTGCCCTTATCCTTTCCATTTAACAAGCAAGCCAAATGTGAATTTATCACGCATTGGTGCAGCTTTTATTCCACTGAATTTAACTTTACATTTAAACTAATCCACAATCTTTTTTTTTTAGAGCATTCACACTATACTCAATATTCCACTTTATTATGTGCACACGAAAGTAATGCACGATCTTTTGAATGGGACCGTGGATATGGATACAGTGAACAAACACTATTGGCAACTATTGGAACTGCATGCGGGCATTGAACCACCGACGGATCGCGCAGAGGGTGCCATTGATTTCCCCTACAAATTCTATGTGAACATCGAGCAGAACTACCAGACTAAGTAAATCAATTTAAATTCAATACAACACTTGTAAATATTGGCTTATTCATTTTCATAATTTACAGAAAGTTCATTTCGGAAATATTGGGCTATCAGTTCTATCGCGCTTTCTGCCAGCAGGCTAGCCATAGCGGTCCACTACACAATTGTGATTTCTATGGCAATTTCGCTGTGGGCAACAGCCTCAAGTGGGTATTTGATTATAAAACTGTATTTATTATATTAATTATGATTTACAATTTAGAGCTATGATGTCGTTGGGCTCCTCGAAGCCTTGGCGTCAGGTAATTGGCAAAGCGATACCCCAATATACAGGTCTGAGCAGTTTGGCGCTCTTGGAATACTATCAACCCATCGTGGACTGGCTCAATGCGCACAATAAGGAGACTAAAGTAAAAATTGGCTGGAATTCCACAACCAAAAGTAAGTTTGCGTCAAAACTTGGCATTGATTCGATTTTCTCACAAAACTCTTCTTTGCTTTGCAGAAATCGTTTAATTACGCTGCTCACAATTGTATCTAACCATAAGCATTTGTTTGAGTAAATCAATAAACAATTTACCTAAAAACATATTTCGATTTGATTTTTAAATTATAACTGTCCTGCTGCAAGAGTTTTGCAGCACTGAAAAGCAGAACAGCAGCTCCAAAAGGGAACTAGCTCAGCATGCAGCTGTTGTCTCGCTCGCTCTGCTGTACAGGTGAAGCTCAGCGCAGCTGCGCGTTCTGTTAGCGAGTAGATGAGACAAATGTATAATCGCAATTTGGCGGTAAATCTTTAAATTCAAAATTTGGAAATTGCTCTACTTTGATTTATGAATGGAAATCATAACTAAATAATTTAATATATATTTAATAAATGTTTGAAATAATAACATTTCGTTATAAGATAAGTTGGTATATTGATTTTGTGCAAAACATCAGATTTTAAATGAGTAAGATTTTTAAAATGAAATGAAATACTTTAGTCAGATGGTTTTTCGCAATGTAGCCTTGGACCACTTCTTATATTGATGCTTGCCCAAGACTGGTTGGCTTGTTTACCCGTTATTTCTTTAATGCATTAGCCGCAGCATTAAAAACGCTGTTAAATTGTCCATAATTAGCTACATTTCCCAATAGGCTGCCAGTCAGCCGAATAATCTGTTCCGGCCATTTGCCAGCGTTTGCTTCGATCGATGCACTTTAGCTTCTACATGGCTGTTGCCACAAATATTCGACTGCGTGTCTGCTGGGGTTGGGCGGCAACCTCTAAGCTCTAAGAGCTTTTAGCCCTCTGTTAAAGTGTCGCAATGCTTAGTCGCAGCTGTTGCAGTTGAAGCTCATCGAAGCGCAGCTTTGTCGCTTGATTGCATTCATGCAACAACAGCTAAAAGCCACATCCACATCCATATCCGAATTCAATTCCATATCCGAGACATCGACAACTTTTGCCAAGCCAACAGACAACATGACATGCAACATTTTTGTATACATTTTTCTCTGTCTATCTCTCTGCCGTTGCACATTCCTCGCTGCAGTGTCTGCCCACTATGTTGGCCATTCTGTCAAGCCGGACTTAAACTTGACGCTTCACTTATCACGCAATAAAACACAAGCAAACAATGAAAACTGTTGAAAGGTCAGCGATTCTGGTCAAGATGCTCATTAGCCAAGTCGCAGCTGAACGCCCCATGCACAGTAAAAAAGTCATAACTATTAATTACTAAAAATTTAAAAGCAAATTGAATGATGTACAATTAATTGGTATATTTTTGTTTACATGAATAACAATAGTTAAATTAAATTAATTTTTGAGTTGTGCAAAGAATGCGATTTTATTAATTTGTAATTTATTATCAATTATAATTTTATATTATTGTTGATTTCTGTTAGAATTTTGTGATGGATAATTTCGGCAATCGACCCTGAGATCCTTTCGATTGCAGTGCGAACTTTCAAGCGGAGAATGGCTGAGCAATTAAAATTAAATCGTTTTTACCTTCAGCTTAATCAATAACAAACTTACTTGGAATTAATTATTATGATTAAAGAGAATAAGTAAGAAAAAATGAAACAATGACCTCAAAGAGTTAACTCCGATTTTGTACTGTGTGGAGCAAGTTGGTCAAATTTCAATGCCCGACTGAAGCCAAAGATTCGACCAGTTGCACTTAGCAGCAGGCGTGCCACTAATACTCTTTTCTTTCACTATGAAATTCGGTTTCCAATTGTTTTTAGCTCTTGTGGGCGGTGATTTTGTAAATGCTTTGATAAATGATTTGGTTAAATGAATGCATTGCGTGTTTCAGGCACCCCGCACCCCGACCTGCTGCCAATTGCGCCAAATTGCAGTTGGGGCCGCTACACGGCTTGAATGGCCATGAAATTAAATCGTTTCTATTGCAGCAGCTGCTGCTCGCAATGCCACCATGTATTCGACTCCAAACTCTGACATGGCACGGTTGCCGCACCAGCCGGACGTAAACTTCCAAGTTGAAGTTGAAGTTGAAGTTGAAGCTGGAATTTGGAGTTGAGTGAAAGGCACCCACGCCAGCGCCATCTCTTCAGTCGGCTTACTGAATGCCTCTTTATGCAAAATACTCAAAATGATCCACAAAAAAAAGAAGAAAAAAATAAGCCGAAAAAGGGAAAACAAGTTGAATGAAATTTACATGCGGCTGTCAGCCAATTTGGCTTAACTTTTTTAAATTGCCGCATGCCCATCAACAAATGCATTAACATTAACCCAAAAATTCGTCTTAACTATCTCATGCGTCATGTATGTATGTATACAAATGTCTCCCTCTCTACCTTTCTATCTCTCTCTTGCTCTCGCTCACTTGCGAATTTTGTTTACATATTCAAGTTGCGCATTTTAAACAAATATTTTCTCACTGGTTTCGCACAAAGTAAGCCAGATGAAACGAAACGGCGCCGAACAAGCTAAATGAATCGCAATCAGACAAATGGGTGCGGGCAAAGATAATTGCATACAGAGATTACCATACTCTCTTAAAGTTTATAGTGTGAGAAATAGGTTGGAAGACGAGCTAATTTCATTAACAAAGGTTAAACTACTTCATTTGCGATGTGAATAACTATCTTATGGTATCCTTTATTGCGATCTTCATTAAAAAGTCATGATAGATACTATCTAAGTAAAAGTCCCAGAACAAAATTATTTTAAAGAACAAATTGGTTTATTTAATTAATGAAGCGTTCGACAAAAGACTCTGCTCAACTTATAAATATGAATTTTGAGTTTTATTAAATATATAATCACTATTTCATTCTCAAAAATCTGTGCTTATTATGATAACTTTCGTATTAGATGCAATTAATTATAAACTGTACAATTAATTATACCCTGTAATTTTCGCAAATAAATAACATCCTGTTTCATTTGTCAGCTTTCTTAAGGTTCCAATTTAAATGAGTTCATACTTATTTTTCAATTTTGCCACATTTATCTAGTTTTAAATTGAATTTTATTAAATTACCTTTGTAGCTTAAAATTTTGTACAAATCGTTATGAACTAAATCTAATTCACAATTTGCGTGTTCGCAAATCATATATCAAAACAATCTGAAAATTTCCACAACTTTTTGCATTAAATTGCAGATTTCATTCAAAGACTGTGGATCAAGTTACATTCAATCATCGAGGCGCCCTGCTAAAATTCTCCATGCTCCATGCTTTCATATGCGTTGTGGTCGCATCTGTGTAGTTGAAGCAAAAACAACAACATGTGGCAGCTGACCCCAAGCAATTAAGAAATTATGTATATTATGACTCAGGCTGTGATGATGGCAAACAAGCAATAATAATAATAAAGAAATGGGGGGAATGTGAAACACGAAGCTTGAAGCTGGAGGATTATGTATACGCACTGCTGGACAGCGCACAGCTGCTACCCCCAAAATGTTATATGATGGTTTAAGCACATACACATACATACATAATATATCTACACAATAACTGCAGGCGTTTTTTTTCTTAACATTTCTTTATGATTATTAGCAGGAAAAGCAGCACACAACAAGCCGCATTGACCATAATTATCATTTGTTGCATTTCATTTTTGTTTGTGTGTGTTTTGTGTGTTGTTTGAGGCAGCATAATGGTTGAGACTTTCGGCTGTCGCATTGTCTTCGGTTTTCCCCCTCACTTTGCATTTGTGTTACAAGGCGTGTAAATCATTGCTTTAGTGTGAAGTTTTTACTAGCTGTAAATCTTTTACACTTCTATTAAGTGGAAAGCGAACTTCGGGTTCTTCTACTATTTTTTGTTTAGTTTGATGAGCATTAAATGCAAATCATGGCATTTATTTCGTTTAATGTTGGCTTCCTGCCATGACGAATGGGAAAAAACAAAAGACTGAAGACACGAACGCGCTGAAAGATTTTAAGCACAGCTTGCGGCGAGTTATATAAGCGCGTGCCCGCCTTAAATTAAACTCAACCAAAGGGGTCAGAGTTGGCAGCGGGAGGAGAAACAGAGAAGGAGGACCGCGGCGCTTGACTGCGGGCCCGCTGTGTAGGTGGAGAAATTATGTTGACATCATCGCCAAAAATTTTGCCAAGAAGCCAACACTTAAGCAAAAAAAAAAAAAAAATGGAAAAAATATCAAAATAAAATTAATTTTACTTTCATTTTCGGCAGCGCTCATTTCATTTATTTTTGAGCTTGCATTTGTATCCGTGGTTTGATGAATTATTTCATGGACAAAACCAAATAAAAAAAGAAACAAATCATCTGTTGTCTATTTTTGGATGTTAGTTATTTAATCTGATTGCATTTTGATTATGTTGCAAAATCAAGTGCTGATTTTGGCAGTCACTTTTTCAGATAGAAATCAATTAAATTGTATATATAGTAATTATAATATAAAATAGTGTATTTAATTGCAATTGCTTGCCATTTGTAGTACAACGAGCAAAGAGATTTAGTGACTGACGGACTGACATAGAAATAAGGACAGGAAGTTTTACAAATATTGTGTTTGTAATTGTAACTGTTGGCACTTCGGTTAAAACGGTCTGAGCTGTTGAGACTAGAGATTTGTTGTCTAACTGACTGATTGCTGAGGCGAACGGAGCGCAATGAGGAAATCTTTTGTGTTTTTCTTATTATTTGCAGCATAATAAAAAGTTGAGCGGCCAATTTGATTTGATTTGCTGCGCCTACTGCACAATACTAACAATGAAAGTCAAAAGCTTTAAAATTACTTTTAATAGGCCACAGCGTAAATTTCCTGGCTCGATGCCAGAGTAAAAGATATAGACACAGTTACGGTTACATACATACACAGTTGCGAAAAGCTGGCCAATTTGCCTACCAATTTCATTGTTGGGTTACCAACTGCGTCTTATGAAACGCACAGCTGTCAACTGTTTAACCAATTTTCTAGGTCAGCTGGCGAGTCGCCTAAATAAAATTAAATATAAATGTACCAACGAATTTCCAAGTGTTTCCCAATTCCCCAAAGACTTCTGCTGCTGCTGCTGCTGTTGCTGCTGCTGCAAAGCAACTGCACACTAATGTGCAAATTATTTATGCGCCTCGCTTCAAATCTTGTCATCTTTCATTTTGACAATCAAATTTTCTCAAATTGCAACTCAAGTCGCATGCCTAAAGACCTGAAAGGTAATCAACTGAGGGCTATAGCAGTAAAAAATGAAAGAAAGAAAATGTTATCTTTACCAAACCGAAGATTAGATCCCCTTATCGGCTTATAAATTTAAAATTGTCAGGGGTTGATATTTCTTCAGAGTTGCTAATGATAAAGTTATTTTAGTATTTAAAAGATTACAATTTTTAGCGGATTAAGTAAGTAAGAATATGTATGAAAGAATATTCTTTTATTATTTGTTGAACGATTGAATTTAATAAAACCAATACCAAATACTATTCAAAATAAAAAATAGAAAACTAAAAATCCAATAACGAAAATGTTATTCTATTTTTTTTAAAAGCAATTAAACATTAAGTTGCTTGACTTTTGTTGACAATAAACGGAAAACATTGTCGTTCTTGAGTATAATATATTATTTTACTTATACTTTTCTTAAATTACATTTTTTATAATGTTTATTTAGATAATTTCAACTAACAGCCTTACGCATGCCGTAAGAAAATTATAATGCCATCTGCAAGGGTATAAAGTGTTGGGCCTCTCCTTGAGCACTGCACATGGGCACAAAGAAATAGTTTTCTTTGTGCATCTTATGCATGAGCTTTGTGAAAGAAGCCCATAAAGCTCATTTCGCTGAGCACACGAAACACCCTCGGTTACGCATGGCCCGTTGAATCTGCTGTCTGTTGGATTGTATAAGCCTTAATTCCCCACACACATGACACATAAATATGTCGCAGTCACAGTTGGAGTCGGTGTCGGAGTCGGAGTCGAAGTCGAAGCTGCTGCACAGACAATTGTGTAATTAGCTGAAAAAGAGGAAAGGAAAGAAAAAGACAAACACAGAAACAAAAAAGGGCTTAAAGACAGAGTTGTAACAAAAATCTGAACAGCCATTAGCTTTTCACATATTCATTTCCATAAAGCCGACGCTCAATTGTCTATGGCCTACCATTTGGCAATCCCGACAAACAGCCAGGCAGCTTAGAGCTCAGACCTCAAACTGGTTGACACTTTTTCTCTGCCGGCGCCAAAACTGATTTATGACTGCCTTACTGCCATTCCAGCTGTCATATGCGCTTCCATACATCACGATCCATTATTATATATATATATCTATACATATATATTTTTTTTACTTGACCAGTATGTATTTCTTTTTTGTTGTGGCTATTTTACCAAAGTCCACTAATTGATGCTGGCACGGGCAGATCTCTTAGTAACTTCGAATTGTGGCACGTGCCCTCGGACAATGCGAGTACACTGAAAGAAATTAAATAAAACTTTAGTCTTCTTACACAGATAGAAAAACTCGTTCTATAATAAAACAAGTAAGCTGTAGAGAATGCAGATTAATTTAATTAATTATTCAGAGCGGCTAAAATTGCGTTCATATTCAATCAATAACATGGAAAGTTTCCACGTACATCACTTTTAAATGCTCGGAATATTTGCAAGGGTATTTTTTATGCTCTGATATCGAAGGTATTTGAGTATATTGGATTGGATGAACGGGAGCTGGAATCGCTCCACATACTTTTATGTTGGTTTTCGCTCTGCTTATTGAAAATCGTGTCGCTTAGGCACTTTTTGTGGGCACATTCTTAACATGAATTTCGAGCTGAAATAGTGTTTCCAACTTTAAATGTAGTTTTTATATAGGGACGAAATCATGTTTTGCAAACATCCTCCAAGAACATTTTTGCCATCTGATATCACTGGTTTTGCACTGGCGTCAAAGTATTCTGCAGTCGGCTACGGCCGACTTCAGCGGTCTTATTTTTGTTTGTTTTTTTTTTTCAGTGTTTGGGCATTTAAAAAATCTAGAAATAATTAAAGTCAATTTGTTACACATCGCTAATTTAATTAGTACTCTCGGGACTATAGTTAAACAAACGCTGCTAACAAATGGCAGCAGACAAACAAAAGACTTCGAACACGAACTTGATATTGAAAAACCCAAATATTGAATTAGTGAATTCTTTGTAAGAATTTTGGCAATTGTGGCGCTAAATGGTATCACGCGTTATGTTTAAATCCAAGTAAAGTCAACAGTGTCACAAAGACAATTAAAGGGGCAACAACAACAACAAGAAAACTGTGGCGCATCTCGAGGCAGCTGTTGAAATTTGCTGTGCCTTCAGATGCGATTTTGCGCGTTGGTTTTAGCTTACAGGCCAGGCCGGTAGTTATTATATCACCTCTGGGTGAAAGTGATGATGGCATTCGCAGACACACATACAGCCATCCAACTATACACGTAAATGAAGCATGTGCGAACATTTTCCTGCCCCATCATTTTGGGTGCTTAGCACAGACGGCAACACAACGGTGCAACAGGGTGTGTTATTGCAGTAAATTGCATACAATATGTATGATTGTTCAGCTGCTGCAGCACCCTGTTTTAATGTACAGCAAATGTATGCTAATCTCAGTCTCTATCTCTATTTCTCTTCGTCTAGCATATGTCTGTGTGTGCCTATTGCATATTTGTGCCGCTTGTGAATGTTAATATTTGTGTTGCCATTTTTCCAATTATCGATTTTTATTTGCCTTTTTACGTTGAGTTGTGAAGCGCAGTCTGGGAAAACTTCCTCATTGCATATGCTGACTGTTATGCAGTTGTAGCAGCCGATAAAAATAAAATAAAAAAAAAACATATGACAGCGGCATCATTTTATGTCTGCAAATATTGCGGTTTTGTCTTTGTCAGTGAAATCGGCACAAATGATGGTGCCACACAAACAAAAACCCATCTAAATAAAATGTCTGTCAAATGAATATTCATAAATTGTGCACAAGCAAACACAAAACCGAGCAGCAACCGACGCAGCTGCAAAAATTGTGCCAGACTAGCGAAATTAAGAGCAATTGCTACTCGAGTTTGCGGTTAAGGTTTTATTTTTTTTTTCTTACTGCTTTATGCAAATATTTTCGCAGACCTCGCTGCCAGGTCAAAACACACACAAAAAAAAAACACACACTTTCCAACTGTCGCCAGCATCCGCCAGCAGCACCCGCGCCAATGCCAATGGCCATGCCCGCCAGCTGTAGTTGGAGTAGTTCCAGTCACAGATATAAATACAACTACAGCTACAGCTATAGCCATAGCTTCAACTTCAGTTGTAGAAATGAGCTGCTGCTCCTTTCACTTTCAATTCGCCACTGAGCAGAAATGAGAGCAAAACGGACTTTAGCTTGCCAGTAACAAGGCAGATAACACAAAATATCAAGAAAAACAACAACAGCAACAGCACTCTTCAGCTTTACCAAACATAACAACAATCGAAATAGAAGAAATTGTCTCGATGATTCATCGGAATTTGAACGAGAGCGGATGCTGCGAAACTCTTTCGTTGATTTTCCAAAGGCCATTCCACGCTTGTGTGCTTAGCTGTGTGTTAACTCATGAGAGTTACTTTTTTTGTCAACTGCTTTTTGGGTGTTTCCCGCGCCCCGTTGACTGTTGAGATCAAGGCTTCAGCATAGCCTTGACGTTGAATCAATGCACATTGAGCGCAAGTTCGTTGCCTAAGTCTTTTGTTTTTTCGTTGGTTTTTGGACGCTCAAGTTGAGTTCAAAGATGAACTATTGTTGGGAATACACCAGTTTTAATTGCAATTAACCTAATAAGTATGGGATCATGGAAAGGTGTTTGACTTTAGCGAAGTTTATATTAAATACTCAACTTTTTTGAATATCATTGTTCGATTGCTATGAAATGTTGTTTTTTCCTGTTTTGAATAATACATAATGAGTATTTTATATCTTCATTTTCTATTTCTTTATCAATACTTTGGCAGATTAATTTATATTCGTACGAATTGCCCTTGGACTTTGCTTGTTTTCTTGGTCTAGTTAATTGACAATGGGCTCAGCCCGAATAATTATCGTTACGTTGTGGTCAAATACCCTCGACTTGATGTGACTTGCTACATTTAAGAGTGAAGATTGCTTGCGTTGCTGACAAGGCGAGCCGTTTACATTTCAATCGCATTGACGCGCCGCAGCATAACTGCAATTAGCTGTCAAAGCCGAGTCACAGACATGTCACAGTCTGTCAAAAAGCATTAAATATGTCAATGCTTTTGTTGTTCTGTTTGACGGGACGATATAAATTTTTTTTTTTTTGTGAATTTAATTGGCGCTTGTCATGGCTGGACAGTTGGTGGTGCTGGCTTTGAAAGTGATATAAAGCACTGCTGGCTAGTTAGGCACTGAATGCGAGTATGAGTATGAAAATTCGTTTGTGTACTTACTATTGACCATGGCGTCCAATGATGCCTAACGACTTCATAACATAATTATAGTTTACGAAATGGGCGCTTGTCGTTTGCAGCAGCCGCAGCAGCCGCAGCAGCAGCAGCAAGACCAACAATTGGGGAGGTGAAGGCGCCGCCGGCTGTCTGGGGCTGCATTAAGCAATAATTTTTGTATATATGTACATACATATTTTTTGTTATTTGTTATAGTAAGTATTTGTACAATGCGCTGGCTGTTACTGGCATTTAATGCACACCAATACACTCAAACGCACACAAACTCTCATCATCAGCGTCGACCCCTTTCATTATCTTTTACGCTGTGTGTTTGTGCATATTATTGTTGCCTCATCGCCAACGCAGCGCCAGCTGTTTTTCACTGACTTGCTTTTGCTTTTAACTTGCAAACAGCCAAACAAAAAACCGAACAAAAAAAAAAAAATATACTCAGCACGGAAGAGGCAGCGACTGCGCGACGGCGTCACATGAAAAACTTTGGCAGCTGCAGCTTCGCTCAGCTTTAGCGGCTGCGCTTGCGTTCAGACTTCTTTGAGACTTCGCTCAAGAAGGTCGTGTGCGCGCTCGCCTTAAAAAAGAAAACAAATATCCAAAGCTTGTCTCATAAAAAGCTCGTTTCGTTTCGCTCGTTCGATCGGTTCGCTTCGACTCGTTTCTTCGTGTTTTGAGTTTCGCAGCACGCGCGCAATTCGTAAGTGTTTGCTACTGTTTTATGTCTCTGTGTGTGTGTGTGTGTGTGTATGTGTGCGTGCTCACAAGTAGGATAAAGAGCCACAAGGACCTGTGAAATGCTGCAAAACTGCATATTGAAACAAGAAACGGAGCTAAAAAATAAATAAATAGTTTTAGAGAGAGGAATAACAATTTCTAAACTGAGTGTGTTTATCAATAATAATGGAATCGAGTGGCGTCGAGTGCTACGGATTGAAATTGGATTGAATTGGATTGTATTGGATTGTAGTCGTAGTTGTTGTTGTTGTTTGCTGCTGCTGTGTGTTGTTTGTGAGTTGCAATTTCGATTTCGTTGCGGCTGCGACGCCTGACAGTGAAAGTAATTTGATTTTGCAATTGAAGTCTGAGTCGCAATCCGCAATCTATAGCTGTAGTTATAGCTGCTGTAGCTAAACAATACGTTTAACTCAACTGCAGCTTGATCTGTTTGCAATCATTGTGTATATTTATTTATATATATATATGACTAGTAAAACAATTCATAGCAAAACGCAACACAACGTTCAGCCAAGCCAAACCAATTCATAATTAATATAAAACAAAATTTGCGAGCAATTTTTCATTGGAATTGAATGCATTTAATTTGTTAATATATTGTGCTTCAATACTTATAGCTAAATACATTTAAAAAAAAGACTACACCAGAGTAGTAAACACGCCTTTTGGATTAATTCACCATATACTAATAACAACGTTGGGTAAGCTATACACAAACTTGTTTACAATATCCAGTTGTTGCAACACAGAAAAAATGCGAGCTTACTAATAAAATGTTCATGATTTCATGTTCGATCGATATTTATTTGCAATCGGCAAGCAAGCGACAACGATAAAATAATTCAAATTACAACAGCGCTCGAACCGCAAAGCGCAAAAATTAATAATCAAAAAATAGACTAAAGCGTCATTATCTAATAAATCTTGCAATACAATCGTGCTGCTTACTACCCATGTAACGCCTAAGCATGGCGCGATCTCTTGCAAAACATGTGGAAAGTAGACATATAAAGCGTTAGTTAAAAACATGTCCAAGCAAATGGCTGAAATAGTTGGCTGGGTGCGTAGAGTTACTAACAGAGCGATATAAAGCTATTTGCTTGAGTAATTTAATTATTAAGTCGTTGTCCCAATTTTCTGAATATTACTGGCAAATTCCTTTTTATCTTTAAATTAAGTTAGGTTGCATAGGACGATTGGTTTTCTCTCCAAAATAATCAAATCGGTTTGAATAGCGATGCTTAAGACTTTTAAGTATTGTATCGAATTAACCGCAAAACATTTGCTCAAAAATAGTAAAACAACCAACAGCTCCATATCTATTAATCTTATTCAATGAGCAATATTTCAACAGCACTTCAATTTGTTAATTATTATATAATAAACATATGCAAGAAGCACGATCATTGAATAATAAATAAAAGAGACTACCATCGAAAAAAAAACAAAGAAAAAACCATGTCAAGTTGCCTATAAAAACTGTTTATGCAAAAACAAAAACGAAAAGAAAAGAAGCACAAAAACAAACAGGAAAACATAAATAAAAGTGCGTCGAAAAAAGGGCAAACGAGACGCAGCAACAAAAGCAAGCAACGAAAAAAATTTAACCCAAATTAAGCTTTAAACACAAGTCGGTCCAAAAAATTATTTGGCAACGTTTTATAGCCCGGTGGAAGCTTTTGTATTTGTGACTGCACAATACACTAAATATATAGTGTATATTGTGTGTATATGTGTGTGTTGCAGAGTTATACATATTTGACATGAACTTCATTATCATCATAACGCCACCAACGCTATCGAAGTCATTTACTTTTTTTTGGTAACATCTCTTTTCTTTCATTTCTTGTTCGCTTTTTTTTCTGTTGTTGTTGTTTTCCTGAAGTGGTTTTATTTTATTTTTTATTTAGGGCTTTGCTTATTGCATAAGCGGAGAAACTCGTATTGCTCTTCATGCTCTTTAGACCATGTTATATATTGGATTGACGCGTTGTGGTTGAAGTTGTTGTTTTGGCTGCTGCGCTGCAGCTGCTCTTCATTACGAAAGACTTAAGGCACAAACTTGAGAACTTTCTTTGCAGTCGAATGCCCGCCTGACACAAACTACTTGATTTAAGACGTGTTTTTATCTTACATTTAAGAAATGTGCGGAATGGTATTATTACCTTATTGTGTGCTAGAAGAAAATACACATAATCATTTTGCTAGGTGGATTAACTGATTGGAAAATCTACAGAAATATGTTATAGGGTATCGCTCAGTTGGGTAACTGCAACCAGACGAACACTTAGTTGGTTTTGGTCTTGTGGCGCCTAAAATGTAAAAAAAAACCCAAAATCCGGTTGAACTTTTCAGGCCGAAACCCTTTCCGAAATCATCTGGTAATAAACCCAAATTGTGATTATTGTTGTTGGTGCTACTGCGCATACGAGAAACAAGTTCCGCCAAATTGTGACCATGGCAATGGATTTCTGGCCAGCAGTTGTTTTTATTTTTAAGTGTTTATGTAAATTGTAAATATATGCATTTCTATGTGTTTTTGATTGGTGCCTCAATCATTCGTTATTTTTCCCTCTTTTCTTTGACGAGCTTATGTAAAGCAATCGAAAAATGTAAATGATTTCTCAATGCGCATCTACTTTGAGCAATGCAATCGATTATGCATTCATTTCGACTGTTAATTGGATGTTCGCTACTGTTTTTATATATATCAATATATATATATATATATGTAGATATATATTTTTATAGAGCTTTTAAGTCTGACTTGGTTAGCATGTGCAAAGTGTGCAGGCTGTTCATAGGTTTTTAGCGGTATTTTGCGGTTAGTGACCGGCTAAGAAAAGTAGACAGATATAATTTGCACGACTCATTAGCGCGAGCCAAATGTATAAAAAATATAGAAGATATGTTCATCGAATGTGCAGTAGATTCAAAATATTGTTCAGACTCCGTGCGGGCAAACGCTAATTATATAATCATTATCGATATCAAAGGGAAGCTTATTGTTGTTGCTCAAAAATTTGCATGCAATGCTTACGATGTGCATTTTGTTGCTGTTGTGGACAGCGCTTCTTAGCACTTTGCTGCTGACGGCGTTGACTTCACACATTCGTAACAATTGCGCAGCGAGCGCGTGTATTGAATATTAATTAACACGTCCCCCTCCCTGCGTTGCCACTGTTCCCCGCTCCGGCTTCGGCTGTTCGGGTATCTATTGATGATTATGTAGTTGGGCGTGTGGCAACAAACACTTTTGCGACTGAGTATTGTTCGATGGTATTACAACGACACTTACCTTACCCAATAGCCAGTGCTATAAGTCTCTGGCTTTCCATTACGGTGTTTGTTTGCTTTTGGCCTGGCTAAATGTGCCAATGGCATGACACCAATTTTCATATAATGTGCGCGCCTTTGCTTGGAGTTCAGCCTGCAGCTGCGCCGCTGACCCACTTGAGCAATTTCTGTGTTTGTGTGTGTGTGTGTGTGTGTCTGTGTGGGAAAGTCAAACGTTTTGACCTTTTTGCATTGGCCAGGCAGTAACAATTGCAATTTACCAAATTATAGTAATTCAAATAATTGACATATCTTTATTTAATTCGTTTCTTGGCTTAAAGAGGATTTCTTTGACGTGCAAAAAAAGAAGGTTAGCAAGCGTAAGGCGGATTTCCAATAAATTTCTCTCAAATATGAACCTGAAAGCAACATTGAATTTGAAGTAATTTTCTTTAATCGATTTAATTTAGTTTCCCATTTATTTTTTTTTAATCTTTTTTTTTGTATGGGTTTTTTTTTTAAAGTTGAATATGCTTTTTGTGATGCATAAAACTTTAATTTGCTGACAATTTTTGCTTATTTCTTTTTTTTTCAAGTTTATTTAAGCTATCCTGCAATTTAAACATTTGTGCAAACGCATGCATTAAATTTATCATACACTGACATTTATTTATGCGCAACTCGTCAGTGTCACAAGCGAGATGCAACAACAACGATAACAAATAACGAACAACGACTAACAACCGGCGACAAATGAGCGACGAACAACGAGGCAACATTTTGGCTGCGATTGTTGCCATTGTTGTCATCATTTTATGCAGTTGTGAATTGGGCATTGTTTTTGGTTTCTTTTTTATGAGTTTTATTTGCGTTTTATGCGAAAGAAATTCGTTTGCTTTAAATTGTGCGTGGTAAAAAGTGTTAAAGTTGATTTAACAGCGCGCAACGCTGCGTATACGCAATGCGTTGTATCCGCATCTGCGAGAGCAGCTGCTACTGTTGCTTTAGCGCATTTAAAAATGCATTTATCTCAATTACGAAAACGAAACAAAGAAAAATCTAAAATTGCTTGTTTACAACGAATAAACGAAATAAAACGCATTGTTTCCAACAGCTGAAATAACAAACAGCAGAGTCAAACTTTCACTAGACAGCGCGCAAAACTAAAACAAAGTGCACATGCAGATAAAACAGCACAACAAAGGAAGGGTGCAATAAAAAGTCAAAATAAAAGAGAAGAGGAGTAGCCGCAAGCAATGGTTAATTAAAACAAATAAACTGTCAGGCAGTTAAAAATGAATGTGAATTATGCGTTCAACAGAAGTGTGAAAAGAAAGAAACGAAAGAAATGAAAGAAATGAAAGAGAAAGAGAAGCGAAAGGCAAACAACAACAAAAAGAAGTTAAGCCAGTTTCCGGCGTCCTTCTCAAGGCCGTTGCAATAATTGCCGATGCGGCAGCGACTCCGCTCAAGTTGCTCATCATAATGAGGCACTTCAGCATGGCGATAATGATGCTGTTCATAATACAGTTGTGCCAGCCACTGTCCACTGTGGTGGCGCTGGTCATTTTGAACGCATTTTTATGTAACTTCAATCAATTTGTCGAGTCGCCTTGCTCAAGCGTATCTTTGTTTAATTTTCTTATTTTTTGCATATGCTTTTCCAACATTATTCAAGTTTTATTTTCATGTATTTCATGTGATTGCATCACACATAATTCGCATAAATCGTGCAGCTCAGGTTGCTGTGTCAATTTCAACATAAACTAAATATTTCACTGCATGTTGACAAACCAGTTAGAGGCGCCACATTTCAGTTTTTCAGATTTCATAATCGAAAAATAAATCTATTAGCCGGATCTGCCAAATGTGTTTACCCATTATGGAAAACGAACTTCATGGCTCTCTCTACCTACGTCTGGCAGTAAGGAAGTAAAAACCTGACGTCTGCTCACGCTCGCATAATGCTTCCTTATGAGATGACCTCGCCCCCTTGTGCATAAATGCACATCGGCTCACTTCACCCTCTGACACAGACACGACCGCGTGAAACATCTCCATGCCTGCAAATCAAGTTCAAAATGTCAAGTTTGCGCAGTTGCAAGAGGCGGGCACAGTAACGCCCGCGCCAGAGGAAGCGTAAGCTTAGCAGCAGTAACTGCAACTGCAACATCAAAAACAACTACAACAGCTTTACATCTCCAGCTGCCCGTGTGGTGCTTGAACTCGAAATGAAAGTGAAAATATGTTGGCAACAGCGACGACGACGACGCAGACTGCAGCGCAGCTGAGCGCAAAAAGTTGCCAACTCTTACTTTCGAAGCTGCTGTTGCTTCTGTTGTTTTTGTTGTTGTTGTTGCTGTTGTTGCTGTTGCTGAGTTGTCTTTACTGCTTCGCTAACCACGAAAATAAAAATAAAATTGCTACAAGGAACGCTGCTATGGAAACAGGTCGACTATGAGATGCTCTGCCTGCATAACATGTTATTTTATAATAATTATTAGTCAATTAGTTATTTTATTCAGCCACACTTAGTCAGTAAGTCTTCATACATGATGATTTACTAAAAGACTGCAGTCATTTTTTTATCATGAATGAAAATTAATATTTTTAATGCGACAGTCTTCATTGTTTTCGAAAAAGTTTATTTTTGGTATGCAGTTTTTTTTAAATAAACGCATATTGATTTATTATAATTTTTAATTATTTGGCAAACCTACAAGCATTCATGAAATATTTCATTAGTTTAAGTGTGTGGAAATTAATTGCAAAAACAGATTCGAAATTTGTAAAAATAATTAGAGAACATCTATTAACAGTCTGTTAAACTGCACATCCGCATACAAAATGCACTTAAGGTGCAATTAACAACGAAATTAACAAAATAATACTTATAATTATTATAGCAATGTTGAATTTTGTTTTACAATAGCCGTTAATAGTTGCAAATTAAACTATGCTTGAAATTCGGCGATTATTAATGTTGGAGATCACGAAGCTAAGCTGTCCAAATGAATGTAATCGCTTGCACTTTCCATTAAAGCGCATTGGCTGCTTTTATTGCAGCTTTTCATTGCAGTCATTCGTTTCCTTCTATCGTTAAACCTAAAAATAACTCTTCACAAACCAAAAAGAAAAACAAAAATAAAACCCAAAAAAAAAAAATTGCAGAAAAATAAAAGCAACGCAGTAAAAATGTTTGCAGCTTTCCAGTTGCACAGCGACTTTTATTTTGGTAACTGGTTTTGTAAAGTTGTTGCCAAAAGTCAGCTGCTGCTTCTTCTGTTGCTGTTGCTGCTGCGACTTGTGACCGAGGAGGAAACGCGTGACGCTCCTAATGCTGTTGCTGCTGGTGCTGCTGGTGCTGCTGCAACTGATGCTGCAAGCAGCAGCAACAGCCGCAGCGTAAATTGGTAATTTGCAATTAATTTGTTGCCGGTTTAATGTGCATTTAATGCGCATATCTTTGATTAAAACTGCCAGATGAAAGCTCATTTGAACGTTTAGCTGTGGCTAATGGTGTGGTACGCCCACCGTACAGACCCCCCTCCCCCCATAATCGCACTCACCGCCCAAGAAAGTAAGATCTATGTATAAGCCAAACACACCCACATTTATTGTCAGGCCGCCGGACATTTAATGGCCAAAAGAAATGCTTTTGTAAATGCCAAACCGTTTTCTTTTATTTATTTATTTTGATTTTTGTTTCTTTTTTCTTTTATTTTTCTGCTGCTTGCAGGCAATTAAGGAAGTAATTTGTGGCCGAAGTTGTTGTTGTTGCTGCTGTTGTCGTTGCAAGATCATCAGCCACCAGCGTCATGAATGCAACCACATGAAACGTCGGCTGTTGAAGCGTCAACAGCAATTGCCATAATTGCCATTGGAGCAGCAAAACATACACTAAACACACACTCCTCACACACACACACCAACACACATACACACACCCCAGAGCTGCAGGCAAGGAGTCCAATAACCGCACCACCACCAGCAACTGGAAACTCGCCACACGAGCTTTTCGCGGCAGGCACAAAACCGATATCCAAACGGCTCCTTCAACTGAATTGTAACAGCATCGAGTACCGAGCGTGGAGCGTGCAGCAAACGGGCGCCGGAAAATCCCCAAAGCCAAAAAAAAAAATTGTACAACAACAATATAAAAACCAGTGGAGTGGGGATCAATGAACGCGGCACGCAGTAGTTGCCAGCAACAACAACAGCAACAAAAAGCGCAGCAGCATAAGAAAAGCGAAACGTGCCAGCAAATCGTTTGGCAACGTTCAAGTTCAAAATCGCCATAACAACAGCAACAACAACAACAACAACAATTGGAGGCTGCAACTGCAACAAGCAGGAAGTTGGACAGCTGCACCTTAATTGGGATCAGTGTCATTACCACGATACCGACAACAACAACAACAACAACAACAACAGCATCCACACGGCAGGCTCATCTACCCGCTCAATGTAAAATGTTAGTGGCCAACAAGCACAACGATAACAACAACAGCAGCAGCAGCAACAACAACAGTAACAGTTGGCACAGCAGCTGGACTCGCCTGAAATACTGCCTGCTCATTAGTTGCCTGCTCCATTATGCTGGCCACGCCCACGCATCTGCGCCCACATCGACGGCAACCACAGCGCTGCTATCGGGTCAACATTTGGCACCGTGGCAGACAACAGCTCCATTTGCTGGAGCAACTGCAGCACCCACAGCGCGTAATCTGTATGCGCCATATCAGACATTCAGCCGGCACGACGATATCAGCTTTAAGGATGTGCGCCAACGCAACGATGGCACCGTAGTGCAATCCTTTGGTTCCTATCGCACAGCGCGACAATCGTCAGCGCAGCGTCGCTCCGATGTGGAGATCATACCCGCACCAAGTGTGGAGCTGCCCCAGAGTGATCTGATAACGATACCCAAGCAGCTGGTGCCAACGATGCCCGAGAATGTGACGCGTCATGGACGCCAACGCAACTATATGTACATTCCGCTGCAGACGGAGTCGGCGTCGGGCAGTGCTGCACCGCTGCTACAGCTGCGACCCAGTCGAAATGCGACACTCTCAGCGCTGGGACCGCCCGCCGAGGGCGTCGCAGCAGTGGCGCATGAGTTCAGTGCCGAGCTGGCGGCCCATGTGGGGCAGCTGCAGCAAATGCAACCGGAACGCACGGAGCGTAGTGATCTGGTCGCTGCAGCCAGCTCGACAGACAAGCTGGAATATGCTGAGCCGGAGAATACGAGTCGTCGTGTGGGCTTTCAGTTTCCCAGCTACAGTCTGAAGCCGTCTAATCCCTTCTACCCGCAAGGCTATCGCGAGGACAGCCCCATCCTTGACGAAAGTAGCTACGCGTCGCAAGCATACAGCGAGGATGCGGCTCCCACGCAATATGAGCAGGAGACGCGACATACGCGTCAACTGTACTTCGACTCGGAAGTCTCGCCCAGCTCCAGCTTTGAGTTTCCAGGCCTGGTGGCCAACTCAAAGCCACATACTCTAAATGCAGCTGTTGCAGCAGGCAAACTTTATCGCGATGATGTCACCAAATTTGGAGACATTAATGGACCCATCACGGCGCTGCCGCAGCGACTGCAGCGCGGACTCTACTTTGGCGATACCGAATTCCGAACGGGACCGAGTCCCATTCGGCAGTTTGGGCCGCAGAAGGCATTCACTGAGTATGTGGGTCCATCAGACTATCAGAGCTCCCGCAAGAGTCGCTATTTTCCGTACAAATCATCACGCAGTCCGCGAGTTGTGTTTCCCAGCAACGATAACGTTGGCACCACAGGACCAAGTGGTTCCGGTGGACCCTCTGGGACTGGTGTCTACTTCAGCGACAACATTGCTTTTAGGTAAGCTGTGAAGTTCTTAAAATGTAGCTAGGAATTCTGAGTTTGAATATAACTTTAGTTTAGTTTAGTCAAATAAACTCAAATTTTAAGATTCGTAAATTATTATTTATGTTTCTTTTAAAACGATTACCTGTGAAAAATAGATAACCCAATATTAAATGATTTCCTTTCCACAGAGATCAAAACTTTGGCATTAATGAACTTGCTGCCGTTCAGGATGTACGCAATGATTATAGTCTACAGGATCTGGATAGCGCCTCGGAGGCCACCAGCAGTCCACAATCAGCGAGCACATTCAAGGAGAAGGGTAAGAATCGGGAACTGTAGCTTAGAGATGTATTTACGTCCTAAGTTTGTTAAGTTAAGCTTCAGTTAGTGTCGCTGCTGGGAACTGCTTGCACTAGGCCTAATTGCCCCCAAATACACCCAATCCCAACCAACCAAAAAAACACACACCACCACCACATGTTGCTCATCTATACATACATACAATTCCCCCAAACCATTTGACAGTCGACATCACAACGGACATGGAGTGTCAGCATCGCGGCGGTACTTGCGAGTTCTTTTTAGGCTGCTGGCTATCCGGCGGCCTCATACAAGGCACCTGCAATGGATTGCTGCGCGGCTGTTGCCATCGCACCGCCAAATCGGCAAATTTACGAAGCTCGGACTATATGGGCAATACGGTCGATCTGACCGATCTACCGATAAAGAACTACGGACCGGTCAACAACGAACCCAGTGAGTGTGGCTGCCACAACCAACAAAAAATACAACAACAAAAACAAGTCCATGCACGTGCACACTAAAAAACAACAACTTCAACTATTTAGTAACCAAAAAGTCAAGCTTGCTAAATGGATAAATAATCGCAACACAAAACCAATAAAAACTTCGGCTTCCCGAAGATTTAATACCCTTGCAGACTTTCCAATTTGATTATTAAAAAAAAAAAATGTAAAGCAACAGCTTGTCAACTATATATCAAATTTTATATGGTTATTGTTCATATCAGGTCAACTTTCTTCCGATTATATTTGCTGAATATAAATATATTGCTTTCAAAATTTAAATATTTTGCACATACAAAAAATGTTTCTATAGCAAACCGGAATAGTTGACCGATTTTTGCTAAGTAAGTAAGAGGATATGGTAGGCTGATCTTAATACCATAATGTAATTTGTATGATATAAGCTTCGTTAAAGAAACACCTAGCTATCGAACAAAAACTTAACTTTCTACGGAATCCATACAGTTTAGACAAACCACAAACCTTTATTATCATAGTAAAAAAATAATATATAATAAAACGCTCTGCAAGAGTATTTATTTAAATGAATTTTTGCATGCCTAACAAATAATTTGTTATAGTAACTGAGATATGTTTTTTGTTATGTTATGTCTTTTTTGTTTTATTTTGTGTTTTTTTTTTTATGATTTATTTGTTTTGTTCTGTATTTGTGCACCATTTTCGTAGTGATATTATCTAGTTTGGAGATGCTTTATTAGCTGCAAATTTATTGTAAATTTAAAACACGCTACTAAAAACAAACGTCTCGCACAAATTTGTTTGAGGGCACCCCATGAAAAGAAATATTAGTGAAAAATAAACTTTATGACTGCCCAGCATGCGCATGTTAAGTACCAGAGTTAATGACAATTAAGCCACATTTATGCAACATTTAACGGCATGCCACAAGTGAGCTCCATGTCCAAGCGATCCTCAGCCAAAAAATAAGAAAAAAAAAAAGCAAATGCAAAAGATGAAGAAAAAGAAAGACACAACAGCGACTAGAAAGTTAACGCTTAACAACTCCCGCACGCCTCCGCTTTCCTCCCTGTCCCAGCAACAATACCATCAACAAGAGCAATGAATTGCGGGCAGTTCCAAGCGGCGTTTATTTTGGCTTCATTTGGTTGCAAGTTCCACCTGCCTGTATACGACTCACCTTAACCGCTGCTCCTCACCTGTTTCACCTGTTTGCTAGTTGCTACTAACTCTGTCAAATTGTTTTTTATTAAACTCTGAACCTCTGAACTAACTAACCCCACACCATTCTCTGCATCTCTCTCTCTCTCTCTCTCTCTCTGTCTTTCTCTGTTGCTCTTTTAAATAGGTTGCGGCATCTCACTGGCAAAGCAGACCGCCCAGCGTCGAATTGTTGGCGGCGATGATGCCGGCTTTGGCTCGTTTCCTTGGCAGGCCTACATACGCATCGGCTCCTCCAGGTAAACACACCGGCTCCGTTTCTCCTCTTCGCCTGCGGCTCACAAAAACTGTTTTCTTTGTTTTTTTTTTGCGCAGATGCGGTGGCTCGCTGATCTCGCGTCGTCACGTCGTCACTGCTGGTCATTGTGTGGCACGTGCCACGCCCCGTCAGGTGCACGTTACACTGGGCGATTATGTCATCAATTCGGCAGTGGAACCGCTACCCGCCTACACATTCGGAGTGCGGCGCATCGATGTACATCCGTATTTCAAGTTTACGCCCCAAGCGGATCGCTTTGATGTCTCCGTTTTAACGCTGGAGCGAACAGTGCACTTTATGCCGCATATAGGTATGGCCGCAGTTGCAAGATCATGGGATCATAATGTGACTCGTAGCATGATAATTAACTGCACGTTCATAACATGATTAATGAGAGATTTAGCTGCATAAAATTATAATCCGATGATGTCAAATTTCGTTTCCAGCGCCCATTTGTCTGCCGGAGAAGAACGAGGACTTTTTAGGAAAATATGGATGGGCTGCTGGCTGGGGCGCTTTAAATCCCGGCTCCCGTCTGCGACCCAAGACACTGCAAGCCGTTGATGTGCCAGTGATTGAGAATCGCATCTGCGAGCGCTGGCATCGACAGAACGGCATCAATGTGGTCATCTACCAGGAGATGCTGTGCGCCGGTTATCGAAATGGCGGCAAGGATTCGTGCCAGGGCGACTCGGGTGGTCCGCTGATGCATGAGAAAAATGGCCGCTGGTATTTGATAGGCAAGTTTTTGATTTTATTTCTTTACAAAATTAATAGCTAAAGCTTAAATTGTTTGCTTTTTTTAGGCGTCGTTTCGGCGGGCTACTCCTGCGCCTCACGTGGTCAGCCGGTAAGTCCAATTTAAATATTTAAACTAATCCAACCGAATTTAATGCTGAAATTTATATTTTCAGGGCATTTATCATCGCCTGGCATATACGGTGGACTGGATATCCTATGTAGTTGGCCTGACAGCCAATATTTAAGCTATGCTAATTCTGTCTTATTTATTCTTAACCCAACGCTTCATATCCAGCTTACAACTTGCCCCCAAAATGGGCGAAAACATTTTGTACATAATTTACTTCCCCCAGCTTTGACTTCTATCGATTCTCGCGTTCTTTTACTTTATTTATGCATATCTTTAAAACATTTTTGAACAAATTTCGCGCAGCGCTCAATAAAAATTTCGATAATGTTAATGAAGGAATAAGAGGAAACGGCGTATTTTAGAATTTAGTAGCCACAAGATATCTGTTGGATATCTGCGAGCTAAGCGATTTTCAAATTAAACTTTAAATTAAATATAAATAATTTACTTAGTCATATGCGCTGTTACGTAATTTTAAACTATTTATGAACTAATTGTGTGTAAATAAATTATGTAAATCTTGAGAATTCAGCTAAATATTATTTTTGCTTAAACATTTCTTTCCTACTTTCATTGTTTTTTGTTACTGCTTGAACGGAAAACTTGGATAATATAAAGGTGGATATGGCAGGCCAGAGGCATAAGCATGATCCAACTGCTTGCTACGCAGTAAATTCTCCTGCATAACGCGGAAAAGGGTGAAGACCTCATGGTAAATTTTATAGTAGATCACTGCGAGAGGTTTCAAATTATCGAAAGTATATGATACACATTGATGTGCACAGAACTCACCCAGCACAAGAGCAAAGACCAGTAAACACATCAAGAATTTCGATAGATCTATGAAAAGGCCTGTCATGGCATAGAATATGCCCAAATACAGAGCAAAGCCGAACACAACGCCATGGTATATCAGCCAGGGATACATCAAACTACTCGAATCCTGTGATTTAAAAAAGTTCTTATGAGTTTTGAAAACATTTCGAATCGATTACGATCAATTACAGCAAACTATCTTTTGGGACTTACCCGAGCTACGCCAATAAGCAACAAAAGGCTGACGCCCAGGTTAATCAAGGACATGCCATAGGCGACAGTGCTAAATGCCGCCAACACTAAAGATTTTCAGCCATTTGATGATTGGATAGGAATATAATAAGAATTCTCACAACACATACGATTCATTAGAAGCTGCACTTCCTTATCTGTGGCATCAAGTAGCATCACTTGCTTAATCATTAGTTCGACATCTGTTTTCATATTAATGATCATCATGGAGCTAAAGATCATTACGCTTGATATGATTACGCCCAGCCAGCCGATAATGATGGCATTATACTTGAGATTCTGGCACTGCACATAAGCAATGCTGCTGGCGTGTGCAACAGCAATTCCCTGGGTGGCAGCTTTTGCTGCTGCCTGGCTGCAAGTCATCTTTAACGAAAGTCTCAAACTGTTTAAATTTCGAATCGGAAATATTTAGAGTTTTTAGTATTTGATTGAATGTAAAACTTGTTGGATATAAAGCAAAAGTGTTAATAGTATATTTTCTGTCGTGTTGTGTTTGTTGTTTTTGTATCGGATTTAAATTTTTGTTTGTTTGGCAACAAACAATTGACAACTGAGCGAAACGCCTGCTATGAACGCCAGCTGAAATATTTCAGCAGCATATTTGATATGCTAATGGGTAGCTCAGAGCAGAGCAGCGTCAGCATCATCAATAAGAATTGGATTTTTAGAAAGTAACATCAAAGAATAGCTTCCCAACTCTGGCACGCAGTTAACCCAAAAAAAAAAAAAAACAAAACAAAATCTTTTTTCCAGAACAACTCCCATTTCTCATAGAATAAAAATTATATATGCATGCAGAACTCAGAGCTTATTGTTGTTTATTGTTGTTGCAATTATGTCGCATAAAATAATTATAGCTCAAGCTGGCGCAAACATTTCCTGCGTTTCGTAATAATTAGCTAGCTAGCTGCAGTGAGAACACAAGCGCCTAAGATCAAGATGCCCAACCTGTTAGTGAGAAGAAGTTCACAGCTGAAGCTGATGATGAAGAAGTTGGTACTGGCACTGAGGCTGAAGCAGTGGCGGAAACTTCAGTTGGCACCCAGTTTGATTCTGGCCAGCGATGCGTGCGGTTGTCGCTGCTGCCACTTTTTTTTAGCTACCTTTTAGCGCTCTGTGTTGAGACATGCCACAATTGCTAGCGGCGTCTGCTTAAAAAAAATAAAAGAAAGAGAAGAAAAATAATCATGTGTGAAACTCTGTGAGCTGCGTGTGCCAGCAATTGAAAATTGTGCCAACTGCTGCATTGGCACAGTTCTAACATAAAGAAGTAGTCTGTTAACATATTTAGCGAAAGAACTTGTTGCGGCTGCAAAGCACATCAAGGACACGAAACATCTTTGAAGCCAGCCGCCAGCAAGAATAGTCGCCCATTAAAGTAACAACAAAAATATCAGCAACAGCACCAGCAGCAGCAACAACAACAACAAAGAGCAGTAAAAGTGGAGCAGCAATAATAAGAAATCTAAGTAGAAATATCAGCTCGAAATGGTAGAGCAGAAGATACCCACAACAGCAACAACAAAAACAACAAGAACCACAACAACAACAACAGCCACAAAATAGACGGCATAAAAGTGAATAAAAAATTGTCATGCTTTCATTAACAGCAACAACAAAGAACAACAAAACACAAATTTAGTTGTCAGCAATTTGTGTTAAACGCCCACAAACAAAAACAGTGACTGCCAGAGTACTGTGACTCTGTGAACTGTTAACAGTGACTCAAAATGCGGCGACAGTGGAGTGAATTTCTGCTTCTGCTTAGCCTTTGTTTGCTGCTCTGCCAATTGGCTCCGTTGCAGGCCAGTGAGTAAAGCCTGTCTCCCTAAACGGTTCTTTCCCATCCTGTTAAGCTAATGACATTCATCCTCCAAATTAGGTATACTCAATACTCTGCTCGGCGTTCCCGCTGAGTGTGTGCATCAGAGCGGCGTTTGGCCCTGTAAGCTGAGCTTCTCCTGCTGGCTGCAGGGTGGCAAGCATGCCAAGGGCTGCGGCAGCAATAAGTGGCTATTTAGTTGCTGCGTTGCCGAACCGCATTTGCAGCATCAGCATCCGCATCAATCGCCCCTGGAGAATCTAGTGGACTATGGCAAACTCAGGCTGGGCCTGAACAATTTGCCCAAACGCATTATGTTGCGGCGACGCGATGATAACGAACTACTCAATCTCAAGGTAAGTAGTTTGTATGACCACAACAGGGCAATTACACTAGACAACAGGCTTGCAGTCACTTAAATTAGAAAACATATTTGTCCATGAATATTAGAATCGAGACAAGTCTTAAATATGTTGTCTATATTTTGTCATTTTGTTACATTTTGTGATGGTAACTAGTAACTATTGCTACGATCGTAAGGAAATAACAAAGTATAAGTTGAGATTAATTAATTAGTAATAAACTTTTATCTCTTTGAAAACTTTGTTCTACTTTGCTTTTGATTTTACTTTCTAATATAATTCAAATACAGTTTTCGATTTATATTATTGTATACTCGTCCTAATCTATAATTATGTAGTAGCATTAGAAATCAATATAGTAATTTTAAATTAATAATTTAAGATTGTGTATGAATTCTTCAAGAATTGTTAGGAAACACAGTAATTATACCGAAAAGCAAAATGTATATTTCAAGAGTTAATTTCAAAAAGTCATCAAGTTCACCGCGTGTGAGCAATGTTAGACAAAACACAATTGAAAATATGATACTATGGTAAAACTAGTTTTTCACAATTATATGCATTTTTATGTGAAGCGTTTGTATGTTAAATTTCAGTGGTCTCCATGCCGTTATTAATTATGCTGCCATGCATTGACTAATCCCTTGTACTCCGCTTTTAGCCGGAATGTGGCGTGCCGCGCACCTCACAGAATACGCTACAGAAGCGCATCATTGGCGGGAGGCCGGCACAGTTTGCCGAGTACCCGTGGCTGGCACATATACGCATTGCAGAGTATCAGTGTGGCGGTGTGCTGATCTCGGCGAATATGGTAGCGACAGCAGCGCATTGCATACAGCAGGCGCAGCTGCCTGACATAACTGTGTTTCTGGGCGAGCTGGACACACAGAATCTGGGGCACATACACGAGCCGCTGCCCGTGGAGAAGCACAGTGTGCTGCAAAAGATAATACATCCGAGGTTCAACTTTCGCATCACACAGCCGGACCGCTACGATCTGGCACTGCTCAAGCTCGCCCGACCGACGGCTTTCAGCGAGCACATCTTGCCCATTTGCCTGCCACACTATCCCATACGGCTGGTGGGGCGCAAGGGACTTATCGCCGGCTGGGGCAAGACCGAGGCACATATGGGTCATGCGGGCACCAACATGCTGCAGGTGGCTAGTGTGCCAATCATCTGTGAGCAACATAATTAGATACTCAATAGCTTTAACCAACCATCAATGAGAGTTTCTCACTCAATTTACAGCCACCTTGGATTGCATTCGCTGGCACGAGAGCAAACAGATCAATGTGGAAATCAAATCGGAAATGTTTTGTGCCGGCCATTCAGATGGGCATATGGATGCGTGCTTAGGTAAGAAATGTAAATCGTGTGTTGCATACTTTTAGGCGGTGCGGTTACAGTGCGCTGTAAGCCTGTTAACAGAGACTTAACATAATTCGGCGACTTTGTTTTAAGGAAAATACTTGTTTGAAGTTCAGAAAAATACAGGGAATGGCTTGATTAATTTTATTTATTTAATATAGATAACAGATAGCTAAAATGTCTAAATGATGTGCTCCTATTTATTTTACAATATAAAATACATTTTCTTCAAACAAACAGGTTCATAAATTAAAACGGATTTTACTTAATGACCAACATTAATTTTTCAAACTAGAAATGCGAAGCCAAATTGTTTACACAACTTTCCAGAATGCTGAGACTACAAACTTCAGCTCTTAAGTGTATATAAAAGTTCAGTAGTAGAATTAATTAATATTTTCAAACAATAATACATTTTCTTGGTTGCCTTTTCCACATAAATGCCTTAGAATTTATTTATTTACCAAGAATTGATCTGAAATAAATCAAAATGCATTGTAGTCGCAAATAACATTAAAAATTCAATGACGCCATTGCACATCTTGCAGGTGACTCTGGCGGTCCGTTGGTCATCAAGGAACGAGGTCGATTTGTGCTCGTGGGCATAACAAGTGCTGGCTTTGGCTGCGGAGTGGATCATCAGCCGGGCATCTATCACAATCTGCAGAAGAGTCTGCGCTGGGTGGAAGATGTGGTGGCGCATAACGAGCTGTAGGTACGATAACAGAGAGCAGCAGGAGAGAAGACAGCAAGTAGCAGATGCAGCTGGCAAGTGCGGCAGACTGAATTGGCTGCTCCCGGGGATGTGGCAAACAATCTCATTAATTTATGCCGTGTAGCATTAAGCAATGGCCATGTGCAATGACGACAACAACAAAAACAAAACGAAACTAATTACAATTTATTAGATTTATTAAATATTATTATGTAGCTTTTGTAAGTGGGTCTAGTTGCCTTCTATGTGTTATGTGGGTGGGTGAGTGTGGCACAATGAACGACCTTGAACGTTGCCTGTGCATTTGGATTTTCGATTGAATTACGCACTTTACAACACGTACAATAAATTTTACTGTGTTATGTCATTTGCCAAGCCGCCATTTGGCATTCGCTGCTGTGGTGGCCCATTTCCCATTTAGTGTGGTGCTGGCGCTGGCGGTGGTACTGCTGCCATAAATGGCACAATCAACCGCTTTCAACTCTAAAACAACCACAACAAACAACAATAAGCTGCAATAACAAATGGCAAAACACAATAATCATAACTTGTACATTAAAGACATTAAGACTGGGCCAAGTCAAAGACTCAACGAGTGTCATCTGCCAATTGCCCAATTGCTAGTACTGAAATTGTGTTACGTTTGTCTTAGATACCACGTAGTTATCCACTTGATGTCATGTGGCATATTGAAGACGTAAAAATAGATACAAATAAAGGATAAAATATATGAGGAAAAGTGTACCTCAGTTTTACTACAAGTATTATCTTATAATGTGATAAGAATAATAATGATATATTTTGATAATCTCGGCATTTGCCCACATTAAAACATCTTACAAGTTATATGTATATAGTCAAAAGTAACTTTCTGCATTACTTCACAAATTAAAAAATATCTTAATTGACTAAGTAATTTTTTTTATTTTAGCACAAAGCTGTTACAGATTAGACCAGATTACAGGGTAAACAATGGTTATGCTTACTTGTTTCTTCTATTTTTACTTTGATTGCTTCTTTGTTTTCATTTCGATTGTTTTTCAAGTATGTCATCAATTTAACGGGCAATTATCAGCCAATAGTTTTCCATGAGCCCAAAAGCCGAAAGCTTAGCCATCAATTATTTAGGCTTTATTAATTTTGAAGTTTTTCAATTTTCAAAGTTACAGCCACATTGTTGTAGCCAGCGCTGCTGTTGATTTTTTACGCTTGAGATAAACTTGAAATAAGATGTTGTGTGCGTTTGGCTTTCGCTTGGTTGCCTGATTGCCAGTCCGCATTTGCTTTGCTGGTTTTTCCTGTTGCAATTTGTACAATTGTTGATATTTCTTCGCCGTTTGGCTAAATTTACTTTGACGGCCCACGCAAAAAATTTGTGGCAATCATGAGAGGTGCGAGTGAAACAATTTGACTTCCTCTTTTTTCTCTCCCTAAACGGTAAGCTCTAATTTTGACATTAGTCATGCCAGCAGCAACAGCAACAGCGACAACAGCAACAGCCACAACAGCAACAACAGCAACAAGTGACATGCGATATGCAATTGCCAAGTGAGCGACAAAAATTGTTGTCTCTGCTCGTGGGCCACGTCTTGTGTTGTCTTTTTCTTTTCACTTTCGATTTCGATGCGAGTCTGGCTCTCCACACACACACACAGACACTCGTACATACACCCATTTGCTGAGAGCTTCAGTTTCACACTCTTTGGCGCATATTACTCAATAGTCGAAGTTGCGACGTCTCTTGAGGCCCTGTGTGTGTTTGTATCTGTGTGCGTGTGTGTGTGTGTGTATTGGTGAGCGTGTTGATGGCCTTTTTGATTTTGAATTTGTCAGCCAACTGTTTATTAAGTGTTTTGACGTTACCGCAAACTGTTCGCAAACGCACAACTCGCCGCATCACAGTCAAAAACTGTTTCGGTTTAAACGTTACACACAACAAAAAAATAAATAAAAGAAACACAAACAACAACAACGGCAACAGCTTGTAAAAGTCAACAAAATCCAATTTATAGAAAATACAGAAAAAGTGCGTGTCGCGGCGCTTGGAGTACTTACAAATGTTTAAATATGTTTAAAATGGCCGCGAAATATGCAAGGGGAGTTATTGCCAAATATTAAGCAAACTGTTTTGTCTGCGAATTTTATTTAATTCAATCTTAGTCTGCGCGCCCGCTATGCAAACGAGCGATTATTCAATCAAAAACTCGCGCCGCTACGTGAATTAAGTGAAACACACAATTGCACAAAGTCGTAGACAAGCAAGCAACAAGGCAATCAGGAACCAACAACAACAACAACAACCACAACAGCAATTACAAACAATAACAACGATAACAAAATCAACAACGAAAGTATTGCAAAATGCGCGCAGTTGCATGGCTGCTCCCGCTGCCAACGTCGCTGCTGCTCGGCCTAAGCCTGTGCCTGTGCCTGTGTCGCTGCCCCGAAGCTGCCCACAGCAGCAGCAGCAGCAGCAGCTACAACTCCGTTTACAAAGCGGCGATTACTCCGGAGCTAAAGCAGGCCATTGACAAGGATTTGCCCAAGCAGGCCAAATTCTTCGATGAACTCGATTGTAAGTATACAAGTTCATTGCCTAAGTGTTTAGTTGAGTTTGACCAGTTTGATAGTGGTAATTTGCCAGTTTGTTGCCTAAGTCTTTTGTGTTGTGCCAATAGTAAAACTATTATTTAATTGCTCTCCATTTATCAGAAAATTGTGGTGGAAAATTCAAGAATCAGACTGTGTTTTATTTGTGTTGAATTTTTATATATCGGCAAATTTGTAGCCTAAGTTTAAGTCCAGATTTTTATGGTCTCACTGGCCAAATCATTCTTCAAAGTTTGCTGTTAATGAGAAATACAAAACAATCAAGTAACAACCAGGTTCGTAGGCAAAGTCTTTGGTTTGGTGAGTTTTCAATTTAGTTTTTGTAGTGGGACATTTGTCAACCATTTCAGATAATCTTATGTAAAATCATTTGGGAAAGTTTTGACCATTTGCCCATTTACATCGTGTTTTTCCAAGCAAGTATCTTGCCTAAATCTTTTGTGACTCAGCAAATATGTTCAAAATGCTTCAATTACATCATTTGCATATTAGTTAACCTTGAGCGGAAATATCGATTAGATGTCAAGTTCACATGAATCACGCCACTATTTCTACCAAACTAGATACGGATTAAGTAAACAGCACTTTTATTAGTATGGAAAGGGTTTACTTTCGTATTCTCGTTGCTCCCCACCAAAGAGTCAACTTAATACAACATGTAAGCTCAGACAAGATTAATTGGACTTTCCAAAAAATAAACAACAACAACAAGAGTAGCTAAAAGAGACAACATGAAGTCCAATTAGCCCCGAGAAACGCAGGCCCAGAGTTTAAAGTTAAAGCTGAAATCTTAGCTGTAATTATTTTCACTCAGAGCTCACATTAACATATGGCCCATCTGCGCCCCAATGAAAGCGCATTATGCTCCATTAAAACAATTAGCCAAATTTTAACAACAACAAATAAAGGCTAGCTGCATATCACAATAACGAATAATAAATACTCATAGCAACAGCGGCAAATAAAGCGATCGCAAATTGCAACACAAGTTCAATGGCACCAACCATGTAATATAGAAAAGCAAAAGTTTTTCGCCGTCAGCAGATACTTTAAAACTAGTCAAGAGCAGGAAAATCAACTGCAATTAAGCGACAATTGCGGTGACTACACGACACCACCGACATTCGAAAGTGTTAAACAACCACATGCTATATATGGTATAGATTATAGATTATTTGTGCTCGGGTACGTCTAGCTCGGCAGCTCCAACGAAACCTTGACCAAAAAACCAAAAAGAAATGTGTACAAGCAAAGTCAAAAACTTGGACTCTTAGCAACATGCTGCGCAGTTGGCCCAGCAACAAAGTTGCTCGCTCTCTGCCTCTTTTGGCTCTCTCTCTTACTTGGTGCGTCTTCGGGTTTGTTGGTGAAATGGCGAAATGATAGCAAATGTCTTCGGCAGCTTTAACGCTGCGCAAACACCAAACATTGGCTTAGTTCTGAGCTGAATTTCCCGACGTGCGGTCGCCTTTCGACGCGCGCATGCCAAACGAAGAGCCAACATCAACATTTGTGGCAACAATCAAATTTTCTTTTTCGTGCGCCGCGTGCCGTGAAAAAGTTGTCGTTGCGCATGCGTAGCTCGACAAGAAAGTCGCGCCGTTTGAATGAAAACAAAAGTGAAATCCTGCCAAAGTTTCCAAACACAATCATTCAGTTTAGCAACTAAAAATAGATGGTAGCAAAGGATAGCTGCTCAAACCAAAGGGGCGAAAAAAAAAAACAAAAAGAAAGTGATCGCCAAGAGAGCAAGCAACAAGTGTCCAAGTTCGAAAGTGAAAGTACGCGTTTTATTGCCGCGCTACTCGCCAGGAGTCAGATATGTCGCGCCCACGAACATACATACAATATCTAAAGAATCATTGGCTCAGAGTGCGTTTTAGCCTGCTCCTCATCTGTTCGCTGACCCCGAGCCTGAGCTTGGCCGCTGTCAGCTATCCCAGTGCACAGCAGGAGCATGATATGCTCATATTGGATGCATTGTCGCGACGCAGCGGCAACGGCTATTATGGCGAGAACAGCGTCATGGAGATGCTATCGAGAAGTACTCGCTCTTAACTCTTACTCACCCCAATTGTGTTGATATGTGTGTGTGTGCTAATTGAACTAATGCCCTTTCAATTTGAATGTCTTTGCAGTGATACCGCAGTCGTGCCGCTTCCGTGGACACAAATTCGAGTGCGGCCTGTCCATCTCGTGCGTCTTGGGCGGCGGCAAGCCGCTCGATCTATGCTCCGGCGGCATGATCTGGTCATGCTGTGTGGACAAAGATCTCGATGCCGAGGAGAGTCCGCATGCGGCACCGATTAACAACACAAGTGAGTAACAGTAACTAAGTTCTAACTCCCACATCCTTCCCCCTTTCAGCTGCTTTCCCATAAATCCCTCGCCCCTAGCTACAATTTGCCATGCCTAGTTACTTGTTGCATTTTACTGCTGCTCTTTAGTTTGTCTTAGCGAGCACAAATTGCAAATTGCTGCGCTCCAACTTATGCAATGCCCTGTATAATAGCGCTATAAATTAGTTCGCATTTCGAAAATGACAACAAATTGCTCGACTCTGCCTAAACATACACAAATACACACAAATACACACACACACACAGGCACACACACAGCCACACTTAGCCGCAGGGCCATCGAGGCAGAAGCAAAGCAAAAACTTTGCACTGATATTACTAAATTCCATTCGATGTACTCCCGAGCAGTGGGCGCTGGAGTGGAAGTGTCATGGTATACCATTAAATGGATCATTCAGTGTATATTCAATGCATATACAAAAACAAAGTTACAACATAACAATGAAATTTATAATAAACTTATTACTATTGCCACATGTCGAAAATCTAGAAGTATCTGAATGTTGATTCCCGAATGAACTACTTTTTTCGAGTAAATATTTTAAATAATATTTACATTTTTAACTAAGGAATATTTAATGTACAATACATGACATGACAATTTGCATATGGATATAGTATCAAAATTGCATTCAGCTTTAAATAATTCTCAATAGTAGGAAAATCTTTGTTTATTATATATTAAATATTGTAGGCCGCAGTACAATAGACATCTACATAAATCGAGGTAATTGTCATAGACATTGTCTAAGATAAATACAAATGTATCATAAAAAGATATTAATAAAAAAATGTAATGTTTGGCAAAAAAGATAACAAGACATTTTAAAATAGCTGTTAAAACATTATGTTATTTGAATTGGTTTTTATATAGCTTCTTCCACATCAATATATCAATGCAAGCTTCCATCCATATTTATTGTACTGGTATTTTTGCACTTCACATTCCATGTTGAATTTTGGTTTTGAACAAATTCAATCAACATCAAGTGCATTCGCTATATCGTAATCTCAGGCAGCAAGTCGATGAGCAAAGCTATAACCAACCAATATTATGACACACACAAACAATAACACACACGCACACACAGATACTCAGCAACTAACCAGCTTGCTGCCATTTTGTTGTGCTCTGTTTAATTTTCTAGGCTTCTGTTGCTTTGAACGCGCTTGCTACAAAGCAACTGCAGCAAAAATACTCACAAAAAACACATTACAACATATTATAAATAATTCTTGGTGGAAACTTTTTAAGCAGCCGTCAAAAAACAAAAATGAGCACAAAGTTAGTTGGTATTTTTTTTTCGCTTCATCATGGGATAATTTTTGTTGAAGCTCATAAAGTAGCGCGTTCTGTTTTGGCTACTCACTTTCTTAAAGGGAAAATACTTTGTACCGTTTTCTGGGAGTTTCTGTTGGATTTTGTTATTGTTTTTGTCTGCGTGTTGCTCAAGTGTAACATTTTCGTCTGTTGGCTAAGACAAACTCCGAACCACAGACGCGACAATGAAAAGGCCCCGAAAAACTGTTGCGGAAATAAACGAAGGTGAACGTTTTTGCATTTTAAAAGTGAAATTTCACGTTGCCAGCCTGCATCAAGCCCCTTCTTATTTCTGTTTCTGTTTCTGTTTTATTTTTTTTTCTTTATTTATTTATTTATTTGTTTTACACAAACAATAATTGTGGGAAATATCACAGCGCCAAGAGTTACGGCATTTCTTATACACTCAAGTCCAAGTCGAAACTCGGCCATAAACTCAAAGTGAAAAAAGCCCCCCAAGAAAGTGATAATCAACTTGAGCCGTTCTGTGGCGCCTGAAATTCGCTTTTTGGCTTTTCTTTTATTTTTTGAATTACGTGCGAAAATTATCTCATACCCGTACCCGTTTGTCTTTTGTTTCTGTCATGGACACTTGGTCAGTGGTGTGTGTGTGTGTGAATGTGTTAGTCGTGAATTTAATTTCAACTTCATTGGTTTTTTAGTGACATAATAAAGTCGTGCAGGGCGCTAGCCGTCATTGCTGACTGGCTCAGTGGTTTTTTCTTATTATTATTATTACTTCTCGTTCAAGTCTTTCACTACTTAAAATTGTGGCGAAAGTTGAACTCTGTGTTAAGAGCTCCCCCCTCCCTCCTCCACACAAACACAAACACAAGCACGCACACACACAAACTAAAACCTTGCTGTGCATAGAGGAAAACTGCAACATCATCATGATTCTTACACACACAGGTGACATAATACACTTGCATGACATTTATCCCGACTTGTCGTCAACTGTCAAAAAGCCAGCACATCATCATCAGCAACAACCACAACAACATCATCATCATCAGACGCAGCACAACAACCACAACAACAATGGCCTGTCAGCGGTTCCCTCTTCATCTGCATCCCGACCCGTATATCCCAGCCACGCCTACTATAGCACAAAGCGTCCAACGCTTTATAGTGGCAATCAGTATAAGCCCAGTTCCGGATCGGGCACCGTTTCCAGTTCATCCGTACATCGACCCAGTGGCTCCAGTTTGAACAGCTGGGAGCATGACTCGAATCACTTGGGCATCACCAACCATCTGGATAGTTTCTTTGATGCGGATGCGCCGCCAGATAGCGCTGCTGTGACGCGTCCGCCAGCACCACACGAGCCGCAAGCTCAGCCCTTTGCAGTGGGTAACGTGCTGGATCTGAATGCGGGCGAGGCTTTGGATGAGTACGAGTCTGGTGGCTACAATGATGGCAGCTTTCGTCCTGTGCCGGGTACTAAAAACCAAATTCATCTGTACCAATCTCTTATCTCTCTTATCACTTTCCCAATCTATTGTGTGTCAGTCTCTTTTCTCTGTTGAGCACCACTGCAAGTTTCCTTTAGTACGCACTACACAAAACTCTCACATTTTATCAGTTATTTTATGTAGTTTTGCACTTTCCGCTTCTGCGTGCACTTAAAAGTTACAATTTTCCTATCATTTTCCTATTCTAATAGTTTTTATCTTTCAACTTTTTCTTAGGCTGCGGCGAGGTTTATTCCCGCTCCAATCGAATTGTGGGTGGGCATTCCACGGGCTTTGGTTCGCATCCCTGGCAAGTGGCGCTCATCAAAAGTGGCTTTCTTACGCGTAAGCTGAGCTGCGGCGGTGCGTTGATATCCAACCGCTGGGTGGTCACCGCCGCCCACTGTGTGGCCACGTAAGTATCACTCAATTGGAATGCACATCAGCAAACACTCAACTATCTCGCATTGCAGCACCACCAACTCCAATATGAAGATACGTCTGGGCGAGTGGGATGTGCGTGCGCAGGAGGAGCGCCTCAATCATGAGGAATACGGCATAGAGCGCAAGGAGGTGCATCCACACTATAATCCCGCCGACTTCAAGAACGATGTGGCACTGATACGCCTCGATCGCAATGTGGTCTACAAACAGCACATCATTCCCGTCTGCCTGCCGCCGCCAGCTACCAAATTGACGGGCAAAATGGCCACAGTGGCTGGTTGGGGACGCACGCGGCATGGCCAGAGCACGGTGCCTTCTGTTCTGCAGGAGGTGGATGTGGAAGTCATCTCGAATGATCGCTGCCAGCGCTGGTTCCGCGCAGCCGGACGACGTGAGGCCATACACGATGTGAGTTAAATTTCAGTTAATAAATCAATTTCAGAAATTCAAAATAATTTAAAATATTTAAAGAGAAAGTAAAACAAAATAATAAAATAAAACAAGGTAATAGGAATCTCAATAAAATAAATAGAAATTGGATCTCAAGATTGATATTTTCTGAATTTCAAACACTTCTCTTATTTGCTTCTCAGGTCTTTCTCTGTGCTGGCTATAAGGAAGGAGGTCGGGATTCGTGTCAGGGCGACAGCGGCGGGCCGCTCACTCTAACAATGGATGGCCGGAAGACGCTGATCGGACTGGTGTCCTGGGGCATTGGCTGTGGCAGGGAGCATCTGCCTGGCGTTTATACAAATATACAGCACTTTGTGCCGTGGATCACCAAGGTTATGGCCAATGACAAAAATGCGTGAATATCGCTCTTTTTGAAGCCACACGCGGCTGTCCCTTAATCAAATGGTAGACTGCAGTCACCGCTCAAGTGGCACAGCGCTGTTTTTGATGTTGTGCGTGCAACGGCGGTGCAGCTGCATTAACCGCTGCCTGGCCATGTGATTCCTCTACGACTCGGGGTTGCTAGTGTTTAAGTTTAAGTTCCAAATTTTCTATTTATTTTACTTGTATTCAAGCTCGAATTTTTTTATGCATCCGTTTACAGCATTGATTTAAATGCTATTCAACTCTACTGTTAAGCACTAATAATAATCATATTTATTACAACTTCATTTAATTTTGCATAGAAAAGAAATTAAAGCTAACCTTATTGCTAATTTTAATTAGAGTTTAATAATAAATAAAAAATAATGTATTTAAAACCATTTATTACCTTAGTTTTATTGATGGTATTAAAATAGATTGATGACATTTTAACATCAAATTTAACCCGCAACAGAAAATGGCTTAAGCTTTGTGTACTTCTTGTTTTTTTGTCTGAATGCTGTTTAATTAGGGACTGGTACCTCTAATTTGTCCAAATCCTTGCAGATCTTCAGACCTTCCGACCTAAATTCAGATCTAATAATGAATATGTGAATCATAATTAAGCTTATATATATTTTAAGGAAATTAGAGGTCTAAATTAGTATTTGAAATATGTTCTAAATTTAGTACACAAAATAATAGCCAACCATTTAATATTTGCATACTTTTAGGCATGCAAAACAATTCAGCTGCAACACACATTACGGCAAGTTGACATCGCTGCAACAACACCTTTAAAATGTTTTACCAGATTGAGCGGCAGATTCAAAACAAATAATTGGGCAAACAAAACAAAATGCAGTCGAAAAGCAAACGAGATAAAGATAAACACTCAAAAGAAGTTAAGATAAATATTAACACACAGAAGGCAAACATTGGAGATCACACTGCGAAGCGATGTTCCCAGAAGCGCAACTGACGAATAGTGAGGCACACAGGTGAGCCACACGAGGCATGCACAGAATTTCTAATGATGCAACTTCCGTTGCGTCTTGCCACCAACTCGAACTGGGTCTGCATTGTCAACATATGAGTGTGTTTTGATACCAACAACAACAGTATCAAATCAAATAACATAATCAAACAAAACATAAGCTAATTAAGCGCTTGACTCAGCTAGCTTATCAGGCACAGACGCAGATTCGTTTTCTCTCTCGCTCTATCTCTCTCACACACTCTCTCTTTCTCAGTCATTCTTCTCTTTACGATCTTGGCATCCACAGCCAAATGAATTCCACATGTTTGTTGCTGTATTTCCGTTTGCTCCTCTTGTCCAAAGAACTGTTCAAACTGGCCACAACTTGTTGCCTGGCTTCAACTTGGCCTGGCCTCAGTTGCTGTGGAGCAGCGCCAGTGTCAAGGTCTCTCAAGTTCAAAACGTTTGTTGTGCGTTGATTGCTTAACTTTAAAAGACAAGAAAACAGAAAAACAAACCAAAAAAAAAACAAACCAAAAAAAAAAAAAAAAAAAAAAACAAGAAAAGAAAATGATACGCGAAGCGGCTTTTTAAAAATAGTCTTTAAGCGATGTGCCATTAAGACTAATTGATTAATCGATTGATTGAATGTGTGTTTGTCTGTTGTGCTGCTGTCATTCACTGATTGCATGTGAGCTAATCATAAACAATAACATAGCCGTTTAAGCTGCTTAAAAGTGCATTAACATATTTATTAAAGCCATATGAGCAAAACACTTTTCAGCACCCTAGTAAAGCCTTTTGTCTATTAGCTTAATGCTAATGCCAAGCATAATTAGCAAATAACTAATAATCGCAGCTCAAATTTTAGACGAATTCTTATCAGCCACAAGCATAACAGGTATTAACGCTCATATACAAATAAGCAAAAAGAAAACTGAGAAGAAGAAAAAAACAGCGATAAAGAAGTTTGACTTTCTTAACCTGAAGACGTGCATAAATTATAACACAAACAAACTGCGACAAACACACACACACACACAGCACATTCACACACAAATACAAGCGCATACAGCGTCAGTTAGTGAACAAAGAATGGCGACAGCCTGTGAGAAACTCATTTGCACCACCACACAAAATAAAAAAAAAAAAAAAAATGTATTAAAGAAAAAGCGAAGAGCGAAGAGACTCCCAAGTTAACAAATGCGCCTGGCCCGCCTGTTTTTGTTGTTGTTGTTGTTTTTGGTGCTGTAGCTGCTTCTTGCTATTTTAATGTGAAAGCGCTGTTAACCCCAAACTTCAGCTGTACTCTCCCCAGCTTCTCACCTCCCCCGCTCCAAAGCTTCGACAACGGCCAGCATACAAATGCCGCCAATCAGCTGTGGCTTGTGACAACAAGAGAGCAACCCACTGAGAGAGTGTGTGCCAGAGTCTCTGTGTGTGTGTGTGTGTGTGAGTGTGTTTCTGTTCATTTGAATAAGGAACAACAACAGCAACAGAAACAGCCGCCTAGCATTTGTTGTTCTCACCATTTTGTGAACTGGCCTTAATGGAAACCGTTATGCGCGAAGCTCTAACTAGCGTCGCAGTCGCTGCCGCAGTCAACGTTAACGTTGACGTCGCCCGGCTACGCATGCGCACATGTTGTGGCTCTCGAAGTGCGTGTGTGTGTGTGTGTGTATGTGTGTTGGGTCCGCAGCTACTACTACCAATTTTGCTTTGTGGTTCTTTGGCGTTGCTCGCAGCGCAGTCGCAAAATCTCAGCAGTAACTGCGACTGCGACGGAGAAGTCGAAGTCGAAGTCAAAGTCGACGTCAGCGTCAGAGTTTTGTCTTTGGCTTTGGCTGACTTCAACTGGCGTGTGGATCTTTTGTATGCGCGCTTCTCTCCAGACGTGCGCAACTCAACCGCGGTCTTTGGCTCCTCTTCGGCTTTTTGACTTGCTCGCCTCGTTACGTCTCGATTGCGTCTGTGCGTCCGCGTGTGTGTGAGTGTGTATGTGTGCGTGTGTGTGAATCTGTGTCTGTGTGTGCGTGTGTGTGTGCGTCGAAAAGAACTTGAGTTATTGGCCTCAAATTGGCTTTAGGATTTTACGCGCAGTGTGCATTGAAACGAAGTAAACAAATTACAGTCCTTAAGCACAACGTTCTTTTTTTTTCTATAAATATATATTATATATATATTCATTCGTTTGGGCATAAAACAGAAGGCAGGTGGAGAGAAAAAGCGACATCACACAATACAGAGCAGCGTGAGTGTCAAACAAAGGCTAAATGTGAAGAAACTCATAAAAAAAAATAACATAAGAAAGAAACAAAAAACAAAAAGCCGCAAGAAGTCAACAGCAGAATCATAATTCCAACAACACAAACAACAATATCATAATAACAGTGTGGCAGCAAATTAAATGAAATGACCCCAAAATAGTTGCCAGTGAAGTTTTCCTACAGAAAACCACTTAAAAAAAGAAGATAAATTAAAAAAAAAAAAACAAATAAACTAAAAGAGTTCTACGCGAGTCAAGCGACCAAAAAAAAACACGCAAGTAAATGCAAAAGATACAAGAACAAAAAAAAAACAACTTAAAGATACGCATCCGTCAGATACGCGCGCATCGTTGCAGCTACTGCTACTGCTGCTGTGTGTGTGTGTGTGTGCTTAAGTAGCTGCGGCGCACTTTCTACCACGTACAAGTCAATTAGAGGCACACACACATACACACAATAGTTGCGCATAACTGCAACTAACTGCAACAGCAGCCGCAGCAGCAGCAGCAACTTGCAGCAAAACAAGAGCAGCAGGGGCAACAACAAGTTCAAGCGCCTTGATTTTGATCAACGGCCAAAGTCAAACGAGTCCAAAGCAAAAGTTGCCTTGTGCTGCAAATTTTTATTGAAATTCCAGTTAAAAGCAGCAACAACAATACCAACCGCAACAAGAACAACAAGCGGCAGCTACAAGAGGCAAGTGTTTCAATTGCCGCAGCAGCAGCCAGCGAGATACAAGAGCAAAAACTTCTTTTCGGAACTGGTCTGCTAGCTGTTGTTGTTGTTTTTGTTGTTGTTGTTGCTGCTCTTATTGTTGTTGTCGCTTGGCTTTGACTTTGGTCTAAAATGCTGCTGCTGACTGCCTCCGCTCCCTGATGTTGTTGTCGTTGTTCCTGTTGTTGTTACTGCCTGCTGCTTGCTGCCACTGATCGAACTCCCCCCATTGCAGCCGCGGCGCGCCTTTGGCGTTATTTGCATTTCTGCTTATTCTGGTTTTTCGCTAACATGATGAGAGGCTCGAGCTAAAGCCAAAAGCTGAGCCCCATTCTGAAACTGCAACTGGAGCTAAAATTGAAGATGCTGCCATTGCTTCTGGAAAGCACGCCCCGCAATTGTTTCGGTTAATTTGATGTTAATTACAACAATTTGCATGCGGCTTCATATCAATTGAACGTTTGAGAATATTTGTCGCAGCAAGTTTGTGCTCTAAGTCTTTTGTTTTGCTTGCTTGTGTGGCGTGGCTTTCTAGAGCTAACTGAACTAATGAGCTCCCGCATCCCGCAGCTAGCAATAGACAACACAGACACACAGACTTACACAAATACAGCTCTGAAGACACGTTAAAATTTCTCCAAAGCCGTTTTTGGTAACAAGCAGCAGCAGCAGCAGCAGAAATGAAAGCCAAGTTGCGGCAGCCAAGCAAAAGTGGACGCACTTCTGGTTTTGATTATGTGCGCTACCAAATATCAAATGGCATAATTCTATTGTTCGTACGCCTCTTCTTCTTTTTCCTTCGCATCTCTAATATTTTTTTTATTTTTATTTTTTTATTAGTTTTTGGCTAATAACACATGACAATATTATGCTTTCTGCATGCATTTCACTTTTCTTTTAAATAAATATATACATATATTCATATTACCAGTAACAGAGAGAGAGAGAGAGAAGAAGGGAAATACAATTTGTGGGGCTTTCGCTTTTATTTAAGGCAAGTGCTACACACATACACACACACACGAAGGCACACACAAATGACTCTTTAATAAAAA